CCAAGGAGATGGCCACAGCTTTCGTTCATCAAAAAGCAATGGAAGTTACCCAAAAGCAGAGACAGAAGTGGAAGAACATGTATAATGACGAATTCGCTCTCATCGACGATCTTGTAACTCGTTTTACAAAGCTCAACGGATACTTGACTAGTCTACCCAAAGACAGTCGACAGGTTCTAGAACCTGAAGTCTTGACTTGTATGATCGATACATTGCTGCGGCTTATGTTCGCCGAACGCACAAATATGCAGAGTAAAAAACACATGTTGATTGTAACACGCATTTGGGAGATTGTCACTTGTCTCGTGAAAATCAAGCAAGGGATCTCATCCGATATTGTCACATATGTCTCAACAGTCTGTCAAGTACTTGGTTTGCCAGATGCTCCGCTTCATGCCGATATTGAACAGAAATTATCTTTCCCGTCGTTCAAGATCCCCAAAGCAGCACCCAGCATGAGTATCGAGATGAGCCCAGTTGAATTCCAGCTTCTACACGGCGGGCCTTTTATGGAACGCAGCATAGACTCGTTGCCGGATTCCCGGACGCCTGATTTCGCGCCCGATCGCTGGCAGCGTGAAGTTCTGGACCAGATCGATGCAAAGAAGAGCGCATTCATCGTGGCCCCAACGAGTGCAGGAAAAACATTTATCTCGTAAGTTGCAATATGCCTCGATCTAGAACCTTGCTAACATGCTTCAGTTTCTATGCGATGAGACAGATCTTGAAAGAAGATCATGATGGAATTCTTGTTTATGTTGCCCCCACCAAAGCTCTTGTCAATCAGATCGCAGCTGAGGTGCAAGCCCGGTTCTCGAAAGCATTCCCAGCCAAAACCAATGGCAAGTCGGTTTGGGCCATCCACACCAGAGACTATCGCATCAATAATCCCCAGGGATGCCAAATCCTCATCACCGTTCCGCAGATTCTTCAGATCATGCTGCTTAATCCCTCGAACGCCAATGCATGGACTCCCCGCTTGAGACGTATCATCTTTGATGAGATTCATTGCATCGGCCAAGCCGACGATGGTGTCGTTTGGGAACAACTACTTCTGATGTCCCCATGCCCAATTATAGCGCTCTCGGCTACCGTCGGAAACCCCCAGGAATTCTACAACTGGCTAGATTTTGCCCAGAGAACCAATGGATTTGACCTCAAGATGATCCAGCACCAGCACCGTTATTCGGATCTGCGCAAGTACGTGTACCAGCCTCATGGTGACTTCTCGTTCAAGGGATTTTCCAATACTCCTAGCTTGGCCCGCCTAGGCCTCGATGAAGCAGATGATATGACGTTCGTGCATCCTGTCACCAGCCTGCTGGACCGCACCAGATCGATACCAGATGATCTTGACTTCGAACCACGTGACTGCTTCACTTTGTGGAAGGCAATGAAGGATCTCCAAACAGAGAAGTTCCCTGTTGATCCATCTCTGGATCCGTCCATCTTTTTCTCGAATATTATCATCCAGAAAGTGCACATCATAGAATGGCAGAGGCAACTGAAAACGTTGTTAGGAGAATGGATGAAAGACCGGGAATCCCCATTTGAGACACTGTTGCTCAATCTTGAGCACCCAACAGGGTTCGTAGTCCAGAAAGAAAAGGACTTGTCGAAACAGGTGTCTCGCATGAATGGCCTGTCTGACACACTAGACGGTAACTTGCTTGATACAACCCTCCCTTTGATCTCTTCGTTGCACGCTCAGAATGCTCTCCCCGCGCTATTCTTCAATTACGACCGCGGTAAATGCGAAGATATATGCCATGACTTGTTGACGCAGCTACAAAATGCTGAGACAAAATGGAAAGAAGAGAGTCCAGTATGGAAATCCAAGGTTGCCAAATGGGAAATATGGAAGACATCCAAGATGTCAGCCAAGAAGAAGCTTGAAAAGGCTACCAAGAAGAAAACAAGCGGAAACGCTGACGAGGAGCCAACTTCCAAGGCAGAGCAAGCCAAAGAATCAGCATCTACTGATTTCGGCTGGCTTGATCTCTTTGACCCGAAGAGGCCTGTGGATGGATTCCATTTGGCTGACTTCAAGAAAGTCCCCGCTTCCGAGTTCCTTGTCTATGCCAAGCAGCTGCAGTGGCGCTCGGTGCCTCAATGGTTGATAGACGCCCTGGAGCGAGGAATCAGTGTCCACCATGCTGGTATGAATCGCAAGTACCGTCAAGTTTGTGAGATTCTCTTTAGGAAAGGCTTTTTGCGTGTCGTGATTGCAACTGGCACTTTGGCCTTGGGTATCAACATGCCTTGTAAGACAGTCGTCTTTTCGGGCGATTCCATCTTCTTGACGGCCCTGAATTTCCGACAAGCCGCCGGAAGAGCAGGACGACGTGGATTTGATGTTCTGGGAAATGTTGTTTTCCAGCAGGTTCCACCATCCAAGGTGCAACGACTGATGAGCTCAAGACTTCCAAGTCTCAGTGGACATTTCCCCATAACAACAAGTTTGGTTCTACGGCTGTTCATCTTGCTACATGGCTCAAAGCAAGCTCCGTCCGCTGTGAAATCAATCAACTCGATACTCTCAAGTTCTCGCATCCACCTCGGTGGCGCTGAGATGAAGCAAACGGTCCTGCACCACCTCCGATTCTCTATCGAATACCTCCGACGAAACAGTCTCCTTAGCGGTACAGGTATGGCTTTGAATTTTGCGGGCTGTATCTCTCATCTGTACTACACAGAGAATTCTAGTTTTGCTTTCCATGCCCTACTGAATTCGGGATACCTCCAAGATCTCTGTCAGGACATAGAGACGAAGCCGAAAAAGACTGTTCATACCCTGATGCTTGTCATGGCCCACCTTTTCGGGCGTATCCCCCTGCGAGCGTCCACATTGGAATGGTTCCAAAACGTAGAAAAGAAGCCTTCCTCGATCGTGGCTCTCCCACCTTTGCCGAGGAAAGCAGCCTCCGCCCTGCGTGCTCACAACAGACAGATCCTGGATGTCTACACTGGCTACGTCTCCACTTTTGTCAAGCAGCATATCAAGGAACCAGACTGTTTGCTACCATTCAGTGGGATCAAGTGCGGTGGAGAAAGTTCCTCCGAGGAACTCGGTTTCTCGCAGTTCGATCACATCTCCCCATCGATCATCTCCCCGTTCTTCGCCCTTTCAGGAAACGGAGACCAATGCAATACTGTCTTTGAACTTAGTCAGATGGTCCGCAGTGGCGTTTGGATTGAGGATTCCGTCATTCCATATGTGGCTATTGACCCCAACGAGAACGCCGCCCCTCTCAATGCATACCTGTATGACTTCTTCAAACATGGAAACGTTTCTCAGTTGGAGACTGCAAACCGCATCCGTCGCGGGGACATCTGGTTTGTGCTGAATGACTTCTCATTGACTTTGGCCACCATCAAAACTAGCATTGAGGGATTCCTCAAGCCTGGAGGCAATATCGGTGCAGACATGCTCGATGTTGCTGGCGGAGGTGACGACTACGAGAATCTCGTTGATGATAAGGCCGTTGATCAGCTTGAGGCTGAAAATGCTGGAAAGACGGGTGTGAAGCCAGACAACAAGCAGGCGATGGCTGCTGCCCCCGTGCCCGCCCTCGCCCCCGAGCGAAGAAGGTTGTGATGGATAGCTGGGAGGATGAGATGGATGACGAAGACGACGAGACCGATGTTGAAGCCATCGATACTTCCAAGGATGCGACTAACGGGGTCGGCTCCAAAACTACGCAAGAGAAACCAGTGGACAAGTCCCACAGATCTATGTTCTTGGTTGCCAAGGCCTTCAATGAACTGCACACCGAGTTCGATACCAAGTTCAAGGCTATGTGGGCTTAAGAATTGTTTGTGATAGATGAGACGCTGAAACGAGATACTAAATTGAGAAATATCTGAAGTGAGAGATTTCTAAAGTAAAAGATATCTGAGAGTCAAAACCCGTCCCTTAGGATGTCAGCTCCAGTAGTGTGCTTGCGTCACTGATCAGTCGTATATAAAGACTCTTTAACTTCTTAGCCACAACCATGGTCAAGGTTTACACTGCTATCTTAAGAATAAAGCATAAACTCATGCCTTACTCAGCCAATTGCACTTTTGAAGATGCTGATCGCAAGAATCCCGCTACAACGGCTCCCACTTATCCTGGCAATATTACAACGGGAGTTTCAACGTGGACAAGGGTAGAACATGCAAGCATGTGGGCCTAGTGCGGGGTGTGGAGAAGATTATATAGGAAGGGTGCCCATGGGGTAGACCAATCCAGTGTTGATGTACTGTAATAACTTGTATTAAAGCATTGGAACTCTTCTGGATTGCACTTCCATTGGCTTGGTTTTAGCCTGGGGTAATGCCCATGCGTGGGGGTTGCTAGTGACAGGCTCGTGCGAGAGAGAAAAGCATGCTGATGTGCCCCTTGCAGCGACATCGTGGATCAATATACTATGATCTACATCGTATACTTGATCCAATACGGTCTTTGCCACACACCGCTATCCCTTCTATGACTCTTTTTAGTCTGAGAAAGACTATTGATATCTGGACTGTGAGGGTGATTCGTTTCGATCTAGGAATATTTGCTTATTGGATATGTAAGTACTTGAATTGTACTTAGATGGCCTTTATATGACAGTCTCGAAGACACCTCAGGTAGAAGTAACCACCCATGAGATTCTACCATGTGGTTGACCTATGGACAATCAAGATTTGGCCCGGCCCGGAAGCAACATACGTCACTATGGAGGACTGATGCAAGATGACCTTGACGAACTTGATGTTGACTTGGATGCAACCTCGTACCAGGCTTGAAGAAAGTAAGGAGTCATCGTAGGTATGTTGCGCCTTGTGATCAGATGCATTCGCTTCTTGCTGAAGCTGGATGTCCGAGTGCCATTGAATACTTACAAATGTAGGTATTGGATTGCTATATAAACGAGGCAATCTATCCCCAAACTTGACTATTCTTCAATCATAACGACATTATTCAGCATCAATTGCAATTACCTAAATACCCTCAAACAACCGCTTTCAATATGCTCTTCCTCAAGGCCCTCGGACTTCTTCCCTTCGTAGCCATGGCTTTGGCCGGCCCTTCTAAGTTTGCGGACACATGTCAAGACATTGATGGCGAAGGCACAACTCTGCGAGCACAGTGTCAAGAGAGGGAGAATGGCCAACTCAGATGGAGCACACTCGACCTGAACCGGTGCATCAAGAATAACAAGGGCAATCTAAAGGTAAGAGATCAATCCAACACACTCGAACTTGAATAATGCTAACGTGCCTATAGTGCGGAAAGAAGTAAGTTGGATCTCGAGCGAGAGCTATTTTTATAGTCGAAGAATAAAAAGTCTAACAAAAGCAGTGGCAATTACTCCGGCTCTTGCATCAACTGCACCCTTCGTGGAATCGCCGAGTTTTCCTGCCAGTGCCGTAACTCCGAAGACGATCACAGACACGTTGCTACCACCCTCGATCTCAGTAAGTCAATACTTGCTGGAAATGCACATGTTACTTTCTGGAAAAGGCTAACACATTGGCTCCAAGACAAATGTATCAGCAACGACCATGGCGAGCTTCGGTGCTAGATTAGCAATGTAGAAGTCAATACAAAGAAGAATCGAAATAGGTATTATGCTGAACTGAAAATCGATTTTGTATCTAAGTATTATTATGAGCCATGTCTGACCCCCCGTCCACGTCCCTATTATTTTCCATATCGGGGCTCTGTCTAGCTGCCGTAGCCATAGCATTGTAACCATTTGAATTCGCAGACGCTCCACAATCACTACCAAGCGCTCGAAAATCGCCTTTGTTTCCCCGCATCGAGTGTAAATGCAGGTTGGATCCGGTAGAAGGCTGAGTATGATATTTTGAGGGGTCACTTCTGACTTTGCTGCGGACCCCTTGCACAAGTGGGTTGAGAAACGGGAGACAGCCACAAATGATGGCCACATCAAGTTCCAGGCAGGTCCAGATGGACTCTTTGGCGCTTGAGGCTGGATGATATTAGTTGGGGTTAATAGTAAGACCTGGGGATAGAGGGATAAAAACGAACCGGCAAGGTCGGTGAGCTGGAATTTCCGGAATTCAATCAGGCGCATCAGACTGAAGATACAAACGCTGCAATATGTTAGAAGAAAGCAATATATATCATGTTGGGGGTCCGCGCGCACAGTAAACCCAGAGAAAACACCAGGGTTAATCCTAATTTCTGCCGACGGTTGACCTGTAACCGCCAAAATACGGGGATTGGCAGACAGAAAATGATAATATCTTCAACCAATGCGATCGAGCCCATAACCTGGAAGAATTGGACCTGTCCTGACATGCAGTGTCCTTTCAAGTCTTTATTGTAGTAGTATTGCACCGGGGTGCATTGGAAGATATTGGTCAATAGGGCAGCGAGAGCCCATGCGGCGATAAATCCTGCCAGACAGTTGGAGATAATAACATATGCCCGGATCGAGCTGAAGAGCCGTTTGATAAAGACGACAATTGAGATCTTGACACAGGCCATTGACGGAGCCCAGAACTTCTGTATCATCCATGATCCCTGCGAGATGTTAGATGTTCCGATACTATCAAGGTCATAAGCTATAACATACGAATTGAACACGCTGCCGTTCATCCTTGGGGAGGGATCTGATTGGCAAACCGACACCATTGAAGGCGGCTATAATAGTTAGTATATTAGGATATACCTAGGTAGTATAAGGGACAAGTACTTACTATCTACTACAAAAGCTGTGACGCAGTAGGAGAGGATCAGACCAGCTCCCATTAGATAATCTTCCAGATGCAGCCCCACCGCCTTCATCCGCCGGCCGTAGAGACGCAACAGGTAGGTGATCGTAGCCAGACCAGCCCCAATAATTGGCACGATAGTGAGGACATTTTTCCAATATGTATTCACCAGGGTTGCCATATTGACTGGATGGGAAAGAAAAATCAAGAATCTACCAAAAAAAAAAAAAGAAAAAAACCCCCCATTCCCCGAGATCTAAGAATCTTTGACTAACAGGGGGATCGGCATTTCTATGTAAGCAAGTTGAGGTCATCACTTCATATTTCAACTTTCACTCATTGGACCACCCAATTTCTCGAGTGGGGAAATAAGTGGAATTACGAGTGGGATTTCCAATGGAAGACAATTCCTTTTTCGATCGAAGAGAATCAAAGTTTTGCAGGAATTGCTTCTTTAAGCTTGATTAATATAATTCTCCGCCAATTATATAGACCATAGCAGATATTTCGATGATCCTTTACCTTAACAGGTTAATTTCATCGAGACACCCCCAGGGCTGGCTCAGGCGTACCTTTTCTAGCGTATCTTAAGTGTCTCAGTTCTATTGGGATTTCAATTTCTGCCTTGTTTATGCTTTTTCTTTTTGCGTAATTTTCATTCGCAATAATGTTGGCCAAGTCATCCGGCCTGGTCCTATTGGCCCTGCTACGCTCGACTGTTGCAAAGGACTGCTCTCTGAATGACTTCAATGCAACAGTAGGAGGCCGTGTGCAGAATCTCACCCCTTTCTCCTTACCCTGCTTCTCCAGCTACAATGGGAACCCGGTGGCTCGCGACAATGCTGCCTGCGCTGCTATCCAGGAGAATTACTCGGATCCATGGATGCGAACAAATTCTCCTAATGGCTACATGAACAATCAGGATGAAATGTGGGCATCCGATCCTAATGATCAGTGTCTCCTCGACAGCAGCAATCCCATGGATCCCCTGGCGTTTGTGAATACCACATGTCGTCAAGGCAATCTACCCTCTCACTATCTTGAGGTGCAGAGCGAAAAGGATGTCATTGCAGCTTTCAAGTTCTCTAACTGCTCCGGCAAGAAGCTCGTCATCAAGAATAGTGGCCATGATTACCTCACCCGCAGCAGTGGCCGTGACACGCTATCTCTTTGGACGCGAAACCTGCGATCGATGCACTACAGTGCGGACTTCGCTCCCTCCGGCTCCAAAAGCACCGCTCGCAGATATAAAGCCATCACCGTCGGCGCCGGTGTCAACTTCGACGAGGCGTACGAACTCGCACAGAAACACAACGTAACCATACTCGGCGGTTACTCATCCACCGTCGGTGTCTCGGGCGGCTGGGTACAAAACGGTGGCCATTCCATCTTGAGCCCCGTGTACGGTCTCGGCGTTGACCGCGTCCTCGAGTTCAAGGTCGTTACCCCAGACGGCGTCTACCGCACCGCCAACGAATTCCAGAACCCCGACCTCTTCTGGGCCCTGCGCGGTGGCGGTGGTGGCACCTTTGGTGTAGTTCTCGAAAGCACTCACCGCGTCGAGCCTGCCATCCGCTTTGTCGCTGCTAACATCAAGTTCCCCGGCAACTCCACCAACATGCTGCCATTCATGGACATTGTCGTCAACAACACCCTGAAATGGGGACAGGAAGGATGGGGCGGCCACATCACTGGTAACACCCTCGTCAACGTCTCCCCCTTCCTCTCCATAAAGCAAGCCAAGGTCTCTCTGGCAAGCGTGATCGCCTACGCTAAGGCAAACGGCGGCTCCGCCACCATCGAAGAGTTCACTTCCTGGTACCCCTTTTACGAGAAATACGTCAAGACCAGCTCCGTCGCTGTCGGCGTCACTCGTTTCCCCGGGAGCCGACTGATCCCCCGCTCCATCTTCAAGACCGCTAAGGGCCGCAAGAACCTCATGGATTACTTCGCAACCATCCAGTCCCTGGGCCAGACGCCTTACATCCCCGTCGTCGGACCAGTGTTGTACAACTACACCGAAGGATCCACCAGTGCTTCTCCCGCCTGGCGTGAGGCTATCTGGGAGTTGGGGTCTGGTGCCTCCTGGGCGTGGAACGCTACCCTTCCCACCCGGAAACAGAAGATCCAGTCCATTCAGAACATGACGGCCGTTATCGAGGGTATTACCCCTGGTAGTGGCGCGTACAGCAACGAGGCCAACCCGTTCACGACTAATTGGGTCGAGGCGTGGTGGGGTGATAACTACGAGAAGTTGGTGAGCATCAAGAACAAGTATGATCCCAAGGGCTTGTTGAGTTGCTGGAAGTGTGTTGGGTGGAAGGACTCGCAGGTTGCCGATTCGCCCTTCGCTGCGCTTGTTTGATTCAGAGAAACGTGAGATATTTCACCATTGCGCGTGCACGTGTACATATCATATAGACTTTACATATACACCATCTGCCTTCCGAGGTTACCTTCGCTCCTGTCTGGGCTCTAATAGATTCGAACAAACACCACCATGCTAATAGCCCGGCGAAGTCTCACAGATAAGAAAGACGTATCTTTCCCTTTGTCTTCCAGACCTTTGAGGAACGTCGAGCAGTCATTATTAGATCAACTATATCATATATACAAGCCTTCTATCCCCAGTAAAATGCTCTAAATCATCCCTCCTCCCACCACCCATAAGCACATCCCGCTCTTCACCCAGATCAGCAGGACCAGCCTGTACAATACTGTAGGTCGTTTCCGCAGCCTCCCGATTCATCCTCTGTAGAAGGATCCGCAGTCCCACAGCCAAGACCGCAACAACAACCATGAAAAAGGAGCAAGTAGCCATACCCCGGATATACCACGGCCCGTCAGTCTCGGGATACAGTCTCGTCCCGAGCAGGGGTCCGCACTGTCCGATTATATTGAGGATGGCAATGCTCGCACCCTTGCCTTCCTTTTCGACGCGGTTATCCATTGACCATGTGATGATGAGAGTGATTGCAGAAAAGAATCCAGCCGTGGCGGGGTAGACGCAGATATAGCGGATGAATGTGTGGAGCCATGGTGGCATGTGTGAGTGGAAATAACCTGTTGCTGCGATCGCGAAGTAAGCGAGTGATGAGATGAGAGCGTGAGCTATCAAATACGGGCTTCGGGAGCGGCTGCGGTCTGATGCGTATGCGGTGAGAAGGACTACAACGAAGGCGACAAGATAGGGAGGTGCTGAGAGGGCTTGGGCTTGTAAGGACGAATATCCCATGCTGTGAAGGATGTGAGTTGGCTGTCGAAATTGTAAATTGATGCTGGTGCAGGACATACTCTTTAACAATAGTGGGCAAAAAGACAGGCATTGAGCTGAAAGCAACGTTACAACTGAAGAACATAAACTGTAGTGAATGCGTTAGAACCGAACATTTGCACAAGTATCAAGTGGAGCTAACACTCACAGCAGCCATGTAAGCTTTGGGATCCGCTGCAGTCTTCAGGATTTCTCGCCAGTCAAATCGACTTCCATATGATTGCTGATAGTCGGCTGTGCTCGCTTCGAGACGCTGCTGGGCTACCACCCTTTGTCGGCGACTCAGGAATCGAGCCCGACCAGGAGAGTCCGGAATCAGGAACCAAGCAAACACCGCAACAATTACACTGGGGAACCCCTCCACAAGGAACAGAGTTCGCCACGGTGAGATCGGGCCGTCACTACTGAACCTGACAATCAAGTAGGCCAGACTGCTAGCAAAAGATGTCGCGAGTGGTGCCGCTGAGATAAACAATCCATTACGGAAAGCCAACTCATGTCTGCGATAGAACAAAGACAGGTAAAACGGGACACCAGGGCCAAAAGCCGCCTCAGTGATTCCAAGCAACGCCCGGAGAACGACCAGGCCCCCAAAAGAAGTAGCTAGACACTGGAATGATGCGACGAGTCCCCATCCACATACACATAGAGATATATAAATATGCGGGGGTACGACACGGTACATCAGCGTCATCCATTCAAAGAGAATGTAAGTAATGTAAAAGGCAGTAAGTAGCCATTCATATTGCGAAGATGAAAGTTGTAGATCGTCTTTGAGTCCTGCTATCTTTGCATTTCCAATATCTGGGTAAACAATCAGTACATTCTTGCAATAATGGGGAAAACACTCCGGTGTGCGTAATCAAACATACTCGAGCGGTCCAAGAAGGAGAGCAAGTAGAGAAGGGCCAGAAACGGGACAAGCCTTCGGTCAAATCTCCTTACTACCTCGCTCTCCTCCTCCGGTGTGTATCTCGCCCCTAAACCGCCGCGCGGCATCTTACCCTCAAGCTCCTCGTTGGTGTTATACATGCCGTCGTTCTCGAAATCGGATAAAGGGCCGCCAACGTCTTGATGGTCATGGAAGTTGGTCTGCAGTCGCAATGGGCCTATGGGTGATTTGGCGGGCCCCGGCACTGGATTATCTTCGTCTGAGCCATAAGAAACCGGAGTGAATCGTGGGTTTGAGGATGTGCTGGAGCTAGTGGAAGCCGCATTATTGCCCGCGCCGGAGGGATGAAGGTCCGCCATTTCTCAGGAGATACACGTTTTCGGATGGTTCTAGGAGCCTGATCGGTGAGGTAGTGTGTCCATGAGGGCAGAGACTATCTCTTCTCTGAAATCTAAATGAAAGAAAATGACAAGATCCCCCTCAATTCACGAGATCGGGTGACCGATGTTGATCACCTGGGCATGGATCTCCAAGCCGGGGCCTCTGGGAGGGATTATGTCATCTAAACACGTGGGTTTGTAATTGGCGCTAAGATGAGAGTGGCTTAGCGCTGAGCTTAGTTTTATTGGCGATCCCGGGATTCCATACTTCAACAACCTGTCAACTGTTCTACGAGTAGGAGGGTGCTCGCCTGTGAAATTAAGTTGATGTTTCGATTTGAAGCTGATTGCTAAAGTACATCCAGGTCTGTACTTTTTCTCAGCAGTAGCGTAGAAAAGGCTACCCTCATAATTCAGAACGTCTTCTTCGATCGGGAGCTCAGATCCGACAGTGAGCTTAAGGACGGTAGGAGTCCAAGTGCCGACTGTCCCATCCAGTTCTTCTGTTGACATGGCTATGGTCCCATCCACCCTTGTGGGTATGGTCCCATGTGACACTGTCAGGGACGTATCGGTCTCGACGGTTGTATCCTCCGCGCTGGTCTCTGTAGTATCCGTAGGGCCGGTAAGGGCTGAGGCTTGGGCTTCCCCTCGAGTCGCTGTCCATGTGCTCAAACTTGCGCTTTCGGCCGCCAGCAAGTTGGTTTGCATGTGCCTGGCTGACCTGAATGATGTCCTCGATCTCGGGAATCAGATCGTGGTCTTTGTCGACTGACTTCAGGTATCGCAGAAGGTTCTCGGCCGTGTCACGGAGGAATCGGACGCTGTTGGTTCGCTTACGGTGGCTCTCAGTGACTTCAAGGATGTAGTAGTCAGCCTTAGCCTTCTGGTACACCTGGATGAGCTTGTCGACATGCTCTGACTTGGTCTCTGGCGACTTGCTGGTCTTGGTGTCTTCGGTGGAGCCTTCCTCGTTATTGGTTGCAACAATCGGAATCTCGGAAATAGGGCCTGGTAGGGTGTGTTAATAAAAGTTAATTTCATCAAGACGCAACGACAGACCATCGTCCAGGATGCGCTGGGCAGCAAAGTGGGCAGCAATGACGGAGTTGCTCTCCTCCCCCGAATGGCAGTTCTTAGTTCCCAGATACTCGGCCATGTAAAATTCAAGCAGGCCGTAGTGTTGCATCGTGTGTCCCTCGTCGTAGAGACGAAGGAGAACACGGTCGTAGATCGTAACCTGGCCATCATCGTAGGACTGCGAGCGGTGGCGGATGGACTTGACCTGGCGCCTCAGCCCATGAAAGAGGGCTCGAGCATGCTCGCGGTTGCCAACGAGCTCTTTTAGGAGCTCGCTTGGATTCATCACCACACTCCACTTGAGGTACAAGCTGTCCTCCTTACCACGCAATCCGCGCGACATGACACGCTTGGTGTCTGTAGAACCATTCCACATCGTCAGCATGATACGAGATGATATTGGAGTCAATATGGGTAAAGTCAGGGCTGGAAGCAACCTACCGCGCTGTCTTGGATGAGCGAATGGCGGCATTCCGAAGCTCCACGCGGTCCGATAAAGATAGCCGCGCGGTGTTGATAAAAGTGGTTTGTGGGAGGGAAGAGGGAAAAGAAGGAAGAAGCTCTGAGATCTGATCAAATAAAACAATGACAAGGGAACTGATAGATGGCCAGGCTGTGAGTGACTCGGCCAATAAGGATCGTTTGCTAACTCTAGCGAGGGGAGCATCGTCCTCAACGCGTGACATGGAGCCAGTGGTTACCAAATACGGGGGTTCATCTGGGAAGGGCATAGGTTAAGCACAAAACTTAAATGTGGGGAATGCCTATGATGCGGGTGCAATATAATAATGTGTAGGGGGTCATCAGTGGCATTTATCGAGTCTCACGTCCTATCGTATGGGTATGAATGCAGGGTATGAACGACAAAAGTATCAAAATTAGAACTCAGTTTCTCTCCTTCCAGAGCTTTTCGACTTGGTCGACCAGGGCCGAGGGTTGGCTGCCTTCTCCATTCTGGGCACAGTTTTTCCATTCGTCGTTGTCACGGATGCACCAGACAGCATCATCGAGACGCACTGTGCAGCTAATCTTAATGCCGAGTTGTTCGCCTCTGGTAGCACTTTCGCGCAGCAGCGCAATGCCACTGAGTGGTGGTTCGCCGCCGTTGCCATCGTTAGGGTCATCATTCTGCTGGCTCGCACACTTGTTTAAGGCCTCAAAGTCAATACCATGCTCCATTGCGCAGTGGTGGACAAATTCGCGGTCTGGGATCCGGGCAAAGTCATTGATTAGACAATTTGCAAATCCTAGCGACCGGATAATAGGGGTCCGGGGTATTGAGGTGGAAGTGACGCTTCGTCCGCTGTCGGAGGGAAAGGAAGGTTGGCCGCACAGAGCATGAGCATATCACCGATGCATTCACCTGGGCCATGCTTGCACTCGATCTCTTCAGAATCTTTGGACACACTGTTACGATAGTATTAGTCAAATGTCTAGATGGAGTCTGGTACAAAATAGCATCCGTGCTTCTCCATATCTGGTTCGATGCTCACCTAGCAATAAATGATAGCTTGAAGTCCACCTTGTCACTGATCTTTTCCATGGCTGGTAGAACCAGTTTTTGCAAGCAAGCCTGGGCATCTGGGCATTTGCTCATAATGTGAGCTTCCAGCGGTATCTTAGTTTCCTCAAGTGTTTGATGTGCATCATAGTTGTCATGCTCTTCTTGAACCTCAGCTTGATAGCTCTCCGTCTGTGGGGCTATACTGGTACATCGTGGGGAAGACGGCCTGAGAAGCAAAAGGTAGCCGATGAAGAGCAACGCAATTACACCGATTCGACACAAATATGTGGTTGTAGTAGGACGGGCACGGCGATCAGACTTGTTTGCCTGTTCAAGTGTATCCCCATATCCCTCCTTGGAGTGGATCGGTAGTTTCTCCATGATGGACCAGAAGTGACGTTGTTTTGATAAGATCATGTGGAGAGTCCGGGCGGAGCTGGCCCTGAAGGGCTGCCAAGACCATTACATAAGATATCCCCCCAAGCTACCTAGGTATCCAGGGCTACATATGTTAGGTACCTTAGGAGGAGCGGAGTTATTATTATTAACTAATAAGGATATAGGTATTATTTTGTTTTTGGTAGGAGAACGGTATTATCTTGTCTCCTAAACGCTTAAATGTGTGCCCATCATCAGTAAGGCCATACGATGTACTCCATATCCGTGCACAATTCATCATATTAGGCTGGGCTCCGACTTCGGAGGCGATTTGGACTACATCGTAGCTTAGGTTTGAAATAGCCCCAGGTCTAGAATCACTGAGCTTTGTCAGGTATGGTCGACGGACAGACCGTGCGTAATGGCTTGGGATTGCGTGATTTGAGGCTCGTACATGAAACCTTCATTAATCAATTATATGGGTGGAAGTGTGCCAAAACACACGAGAACCACAAGACTATTTGCTGACAGACAGATGACCAATTATAGGCAGACGACCCTAAGGCAAGGTAGTTTGAACCGACCCAAGCAAGACCTGACAGCCCGATGTGGCGGGGTGCCAGCGAACGACCATGCGAACGGATTCATTCCCGTTGGATCAAAAAAGGTTGGGAGATGTGCCTGCGTCTGAATATGGGTATGCCCAGCCCGATCACCACGCGAATGCCATGAGTAGTATATCCCACTTAGGCGAGCCTCGTATCGAACGAATCACAACATTGAAACATGGATACTTTGGCGATACTTTTGGTGCCTTTTTTCAAGGAACTCTTCAATCCCACTCATGTTCCTTGTAGACATTTATATTAGTCTCCAACAGCTTGGAACTCATGCTTTCAAACGCCTGGGCTCGTTTGTTTTAGCCCTGAGACTGCCAAGAATGGAGAAGTTGGCTTGGCTTCTCCGGGATAATCTCTACTTCAGGTTAAGGAGGTTTAACCGGATAACATGACTTAAAGTAGGGTTACATAGACTTTCCAAGTTGATTTTAGGAAGCCAAAGAGGGGAGAATCCAAGTAGAGTTTTCTCAATCCAATAGAAGTCAAGTGCCGGGATACTCAACTTATCCCGAACAGCGTCGCATCGCCTCGTGCCTTCCGATGGTCGCATCTCATCTTTTATATATTTTCTTTCTTATAGCTTTCATTATAATTTGTGTGATTTCTGAACTTCTATATGATCATCATATCTGATAGGAATCATTTCCCTCCACTTCTGGCTTCCGACTGTTCTCCGACTCTTCTCCGACTGTGCTTCCGGTCACTGCAATACTTAGTTTGACCAAAATATAAAGGTACCTATGAACAAATTCAATATATGTGTTTCTTTCTGTTTACTCTTTTGCTTTTCCTCCCGTCTTAAAGCAGGGAGCTTTATACTTCCATTCTTCGCCAATTCCCTTAGGGCCATCTAGGGATATTTCTCTAGCCCAAAGATCCCCCAGTCCCCCATATATAGTCATCCTATCCCCCCGAATCCCTCAGAAGAATTATTTTCTTCGATCAGCACAATCAGTGCATACCAAAATTCCAGGGTATGTTACGGAATAAGATATAGATGGGGATTCCCCCTTCTGGCATGATCGTCGTGTTTTCTCTTTTTCCCCCGCAGCCCGAACGACCTGCAGACCGCGTCACCGAAATGTTCCCTTCCCTTTCATGCAACCTCGCTAACACAACAAGACTAGCTCTTCGGGCATTGGATTAGCTCCTTCGGTAGCTTGTCTCCACAATTCAAGGATTTTAAAGATATGCTGCCCTGTCTCGATTCCTAAACATTCCAGACCCTACACGTCACTATTGACATAGCTGTGTCAGCTCATTTTTGTCTGGTATTTTTAGCCTGACATCGGGAGTTTTTTTTTCTTTCCTTTTCTTTTTGGAATATATATCTTTCATCTTCCATCATGACCTCGGTCGACTCAACATCGTCCAAGAAGGATGAGGATGAGGAGCGCGAAATCATGCACGACTTGGCGGAAGATGAGGAACATGAGGATGTCAGTTCGGAACTAAACGCCGCTCAACAAGAATATCTGGCATACAATCAGCAATTGGAAGAATTCTTGTCACCAATGTTCCTGGATGAGGCTGTGCTGTACAAACTAGCCCGGCGCTTTTCCACCACATACCGCAACCTTGCCCTGACATCGGACCAGCAATTTTTACCTACACCAGTGACTCAGCTTCCTACTGGTCGGGAAACAGGTCGCTATCTAGCCATTGATGTAGGAGGTAGCAACCTTCGAGTCGCTTTTATCGAATTGCTCGGAGAAGCCGTGGATTCCGATGTTCGACCTACAGATGCCACGGAAAGGTCACGGGACACCATCCGGAAGGCTCAGCGCCAACGGGTGAAGCGAACGCTGGAACGAGCATGGCCTATCCAAGAGCATTTGAAGATGGACAAGGCTGAGGATCTCTTTTCTTGGATCGGTGATTGCATTGCGGAGGTGGTAGCGGAGAGTCTATCATCGGATGCCACTAAGAAGGATATCCCTGCCGAATTAGATATGGGCATCACATTCAGTTTCCCTATCATGTGAGTTTTCTTTTTCCCTCTTTGCTTCTGTTTCTGATATTCTCCGGTTGTGATGTTCCGCTTGGTGGATCTTGTACTAATTAAGCCCAGGCAAGAATCATTGGCAGAAGCCACATTAATGCCCACGGGCAAAGGCTTCGCTATCTCATCAAATCTCAATCTTGGCAACATCCTTCTGAATGGATACGAAAAGCACACAAGGAGACCGGATGATGAAGACGAACCTTCAACCAAACGTCGAAAGCTTTTCGCATTACCAAAGCTAAAAATACAAGCTATCACCAACGACACGGTGGCCACGCTAGCTTCCCTTGCATACAAGGTCAAATCTCTACCAAATAGCAGAGTCGCCATGGGCATCATTGTGGGTACTGGCTGTAACGCAACCATCCCAATGAAACTCAGTGCATTGCACGAATCTAAAGCCAAGAGCGTGAACACAATGGACCCCGGCGCTGTGGAGACTATTGTCAACACGGAGTGGACTATTTCTGGTGCTGCGCCACCCCTCAAGGAGCTCAATGTGACCACAAAATGGGACGTCGAGCTGGACCGGGCCTGTGCACGTCCAGGCTTCCAGCCCTTCGAATACATGACTGGAGGCCGCTACATTGGCGAATTGATTCGCCTAATCCTGATTCGACTATCTCACAACAATTGCCGAATTATCGAAACGCTCCCTACCTGCAAACCTCGTACAAGAATACGCCCTGACAACTACATACATCTCCGACCTTGTCGCCAAAGCACGATCTGACAACGACCTCGCTCAAGCCTTGAACAAGTCCCTCCCTCCACCAGAGAGCAGTGACTGGCGCTGGGATGCCCGAGCCGCAGGTGCATTCAGAAAGATCGCTCGTGCAGTACAGAGACGATCAGCTGGTCTGATCGCCGCTGCAGTGGTCGGACTCCTAGCCTGTGCTCGCGAGATCGAGCTGAAGGAAGACAGCAACAGCAGCTCACCCGAGAATCCCGCTTCACCTCAGAGCAACGGTGACGCCATTACCGAGTCCGCCGGTGCACCGGACGCTGCAGCTGCAAGTCTCAACTCTGCTGCCGTTGCTGCGAACCACGCAGCCCAGGAGCATGTCGTCCCTGTCCTCGATCCCACGCCGATAGATTGGCAGTCCGGTCCTGAAGAGCTCGTCGTGGCTTACACTGGAGGTATTATCCAACACTACCCGCAATTCAAGGAGATGTGTCAGCAATACATTGACCGTCTTATCATGCGCACTGGTCCGCAACGTGGAGGCAAGTCGGTTTTCTTACGGGAAGCCTCCGACGGTGGTGTCATTGGCGCTGGTGTTTTGGCTGGCATGGTTGTGCGGAAATGAGTTTTTCGTTTGAAACCTTAGCAAGCATTGGGTTTGGCTTTGATTTTTTTATGCTTTGGGTGGAATTTAGCAATTCGAAAATGGTTCGAAATTAGGAGTTAATGATAACCTTGGAACTAATGTCACTTTTAGTTGGGGTTTCACGGCATAGAAATGAGATTTTGTTTCTGCCACTGTGATCCTATTTTGGACGGTGGTAATTTCGTTGATCTACGCTTTCATTGTATTTGGACTAGTCCATTTCTCGGCCCCATAATAGTATGGCTCGCCGTGTTTATGTTCTCCCATTTTTAATGTCAAAATCCAACTCTCTGAGCGAGACTTCGCCGCCGACCAAAGCATGAAAGCTTGGCCTTTGAGGCACTACCCCAAGCATTAGCAGGACATGCAGACACCGCACTCGTTCCAACCTTTCCACCCCTGGACTCTGCATATTGTAATGAACTCGTTCCCAACCACCAAATGAAACTTTCCAATGGCATATCCCGAAGAATGTTCCAGCCATCGAAATCAAAAGTTCACAGCGAGATAATCGCGACTGATTGCGCGGCTCTGCCTAAGTAATCGTAATCGGAGAATGCAGGGTACACCCGAAGAGTGGAATGCCTTCGATTATGCATGACCGTTTATCTTTATCAAAGAAACGTCACCACGCATATTCCGGATACTAATTTGGCAGAATCAACCGAAGCAAAACCCGGGCATCACGGACGTCCTCATCTATGCTGTCGGAAACAAAGCTCAAGAAGTCTGGTTCCGATGGATGCCTGTAACTCCTAGGGCCGATGACCGAGAACATTCCTTTTCCACGTGTCTTGGCATATGGGGCCAATGCTGGATCGGAGGGCACGAGACCTCGCTTGGATATATATCCGTGACATTTGATAGGAGCAAGGTGCATATTCTTGTGATTATGTTGATGTCGAAGATTGCTTCAAATTAATCGGAACATGTTGTTTCGCACGCCGCGCTTCATTGCATTCGGTTTGCCGTCTTCGTATTCGATTCCAGAGGCCCCTCCTTCTCCAGACATTTGTTCCAGCCGTTCACGAAGCTCGGCGTCGGCCTGGGATACGGTTTTGGTCTTGGGTGGGAGAGTATGGCGCTTGTTATCTTGGTTCGAGTGGTTCTCTGAAGTTGATCTGATTTGCTCTTGCTTGGACTTATAATCGTGGTAACCTTGAGAGTCTGGAGTTCCAAAGCAATGCATGTTAGCTCTGATATGGGTATTTGAACTGGATAAACCGACCTTGAGCTTCTGATGGTCTCAACAAGCTTGTTGATAAGGATCGTACACCCGTAAAATGCAATTTACTGGATAATGTTCCATCTCGAAGGGATCGAGGCCCTAATCCCTTCACGATCATATTGGAGTAACTCCAAGTTTATCGTACGTTGACTGAGAAGTTTGTGAGGTCAAAGAATATATGTTCAAATGCCTTGAATTCATCTGACTCCGACGCAATTCTAGATAAGAATCGCCACGTGACTATAAGAAAATCACGTGCTACCGACCGCCCCCGCGATTCGGCCGGCGATGGTGAACTTGCTCTTGTCACTCACTCCTCCGATCCTCTTTCGACGAGTGTGCCATTATTTCATCTCAGAATGGCATCTGTGGCTTACTATGAGCTTTACCGTGGCAGCAGGTAATATACCCGATGAAGCAAACGGAAAGCCCCAGAGCTGACTTAAGGAACATCCAGCCTCGGGTTGTCCCTCACCGATACCCTGGACGACCTGATCAACGAAGGCCGTATTGAGCCCCAGCTGGCGATGAAGATCCTCGGGACCTTTGACAAGATTGTGACTGAAGTCTTGGCGGACAAAGTTCGGGCCAGACTGACCTTCAAGGTAAACTCATTCCGGTTCAGAAACCACCATTGCCTAGATGGGCATGGTTTCATCATAGATCAAGGAGGCTGACATGTACATTTTCCCACCACTTTTAGGGCCACCTGGACACCTACCGATTCTGCGACGAAGTCTGGACCTTCCTGATCAAGGATGTCTCGTTTAAACTGGACAACCAGACAACTGTGACCGCGGATAAGGTGAAGATCGTGAGCTGCAACAGCAAGCGGCCTGGCGAGGTGTAACTGGACCCTTTCATGGACAGAGATACTGGCGTTGTTGTTTTTTGATTCCTCTCAAATGGTCGAATAGGCGTTCTACTGGCAGTCCGTTCTTGATTTCGGTGATATATCCTGCGCGAGGCGTTTGAGGCCGTGCCAGTTCTTTTCATCTTGCATTACCAATGTCCAAAATGGCACTAGATACCCCAAAAAAATGAGGTTCATATTTGGAATTTTTTCCCGTAGTGAAGCTCCAAATTAGTTTCCAACCTCGGAAGGTTGTGTTGCGCGGAATGCGGGTGACCTCACCTTATCGGCCATGGATGCCTATCAGCAGCTCTCTTTCCCTCACTGCAATCTTTCCCTGAGATCGCAACACGTCTTAATTTTCCTCTATAATTGTCTTCAACTATGCCCAGGACATTGCCCTGGCTTCGCACCGAGAATAGCATCCCTGTGAAAAAAGAGCCAACACCACGGAAGCGTGTGAAGACGGAACCCAGTCCTGATCGCGACCTCACTCCCAAAAACACTCGAGTTTCTCCCCCCCAGGCGCGATTTCTTCAGATCCTGTAGGTTATTTCTTTCTTTCTTTCTTTCTTTTTTTTTTTTGGAATACTTGTGGCCAAACATGAAGTCTGATTACTTCGTACAGCCCAAAGCCCGCCGACATCTCCCATCAGACGTTGTCCCTCCGAAGAGTACGATCGCAACCAGGCCCCGCGCAACTAGAAAAGGTCCCTAATAGGCATATTATAGATTTCTGATTGAAGGAATTCAGTACGATGATGGCTGGATCATGGTTGAAGACGAGTTCTACGCTGTCGCGCAGACATTTACTCAACATCTACATCATGCGGAGTACCTGCGACGGCGGAAGCAGGTGAAAGCCGAAAATGCAGCCGGAATAGGAGAAATTGAAAGGCCTACAGACGGCCGTACCCCACTTCCAAGTGAAGCCGAGCGGAAAAGAGAAGCCGAAGCACTGAGGGAGCGACAAAAAGCCGGACTAGCGCAGATAGGGGACGGAGGAGTCGACGGGAGAGACGAAGATGATGATGATGAAAGATGGGCCGGGACACATCTTCACGGTCTCATGACGAGTCCACGAAAAGTACAACCCTTGGTGGGAGCTCACGCGCCTAAGTCCTCTACTAGAGCTGCTGCGGGCTTTGGACAGCCACCTACTTTGGGCAGTGGGCGAGCCCGGGTGAACAGTATCGGGAGTGTCACTGCACCATCAAGAGCACCAGAAGTTCCAAACCTTCAACTGGATGAAGAGACGGCCTCGGACTCGGATGACGATGACGATCTTGACCTAGAAACCCAGCCAGTCGTGCTACCGCCGCCCAAGAGAACAAATACCACTTTACGAAAAAGCCAGGCTCACGATCAGACAACACCACGAGCCCAACAACTGTCTAAAATACAAAGCACGTCTACATCAAAGCCAAAAGCGAAGCCGGTACATGGGCGAGCCAGCCCAGCGAACACGTATAAATCACGGGTTCAGTCGCTTTTTGATGACCTCGATGAACTACCAGAGTCCTCTCGGATAAATAACTCTATCTCTAACAAGCCCATGGAACCTCCTGCAAGACAATCGCCTATAACTGGCGGAGGGAACAATTTAGACGCAAAAAAATCCCGGCACAATGAAGTGCCCACCTTCTTGGTTTGATCATCCGTGTACCAATCCACAATTTCCCTATGACCACGCCAATTAGGCGTTTCGCATTTCCTCCATCCCGATCGACTCGGCCGAGGCCTTAGTTTCATGGCCTGCAGCTGGGCTGGATTTCCACCATCGAGATAACTTTACGCGCTCTCGGAGGTGGACGACAGTCTTACGCTCATCCTTCGAGCATGGGCCCGCATCTTGCTCGTTGTCGGCGATGGTAGAGATACCATTTCGATCGTCGTTTCGTCCTTCTCTACGGTCGCTGTGCGGCTGTCCTGGGACGTAAGCGTCCTGTGATTGATTGGTCAGATCTGATCGTTCCGTCAGATTTTGGCTGGGCGAGAGAACTGACTCGGCATCTGAGAAATAAGCAGGCAATTCTTCTTTTCGGAAGTTAGTGGGAGGACCCTGTTTCATGAACTTGTTAGCAACGTCAAACCAGTTCCCGGTTTTCATTCGACTTACGATTTCAATAATCCTTCCCTTTTCGCGTCTGAAAGGTGTCTTCAGACACCGGAAAATTTGCCGAAAGCATTCCATGTTGGATTGATGGTTCGATGGATCCGATCGGTGGACAAGGAGCTCTTATAAAGAACTAGGCAGTTTGCGGGAGCTTGGAACAATTCCGATTCCAGCTAGGATGTTAGGATGTCCTTGAATGCGAACAAGGAAATGAGGAATAAAGGCAACACTTGGTGAAACAAATTCTATACAACGAGCGACAAGGCGAAACGAGAGACTGGGGATAACAGCACCCAAAGAAAAGAAAAGGAACAAAAAAAGCAAAGGTCCACAACTGCTCTACACCATTGAGCTGTGCTTAGAGAATGAGAGAGACAAGAGACGGGCGAGAGTACATATATTAGTATGTACGAAGTTATGCACATCCATGCTCTTCCCGGCGTGTCAAGGACAAACCGATCCACAGTCTCGCCCGGGTTGGACTAGGCGACAGCCGTACCTTTGGCATGGACAGGATGACAGGCTCGGCACACCAATCTGGCAGGTCGCTCCCCTGGCGGCAGCAGTGGGTCCTCCCTGGGGCGCCTGGATTGAATGGGATTGGCTTTGGGCAAAGACTGCCGAATGCTTGGAGTCCCTTTGATCTATTCGGCTCTTATTGGGAATTTAAGTGTTTACTACCCGAGACGATCGTTTCTACGGGTATCTCTCTGTATGCGGACAATATACCCACGATCTGCTGCAACTCATCGGATGCAATACAGCAGGTGGGCATTACGGAAAACATGACCTGCAGGCTGCAGGGAAGATATGCTTTTAGAGACCCATGCAGATTAGGTATGCGACCCTCAGTGGATCAAGTGGAAAGCAGCCCAGACCAAAGGGGTAAAAGGGAGAATAAGCAAAGAGAAGCCTCGTGTGCTAGCGAAACATATCCCTCTCATTCTTCGTGTCCCCTTTTCCACTTTTGGCCTAGACACTCGTCTCGCTTTTAAAGTTTTGTATACCCCGTTATTTATACGATATTTCAATAATAACCAACTGCGGATCCCTTTAAGTCCCCGTTTGTCGGGTCGGATATGTGCATGAATGAACCCTGTGAGGGTCTTGGAAGCTGGGGGAAACGGGATTCTTTGCCCCTACCTCTGGGGAGAATACATTTTTCTTCTTTTTCATGCAAGCTCACTAGCTCAATTGGAATATCTCTTTGCCTCGTTTCCTTTGTCTTTGTCTCGGAAACCGGGTGTTCGTAAGAGCCGGTTCTCGGCAAGCAATTTTAGACATTTCTCCCAAGATCCATCGTCGATCACTAATTCTGTAGCCGTGTCGATCGATCATGAATTTGTCACTGACAGTGATTATCATATGGACCACCTCATTGTTCAGGGTTAGGTAGAATGTGCTCCATATCCGGAGTAATGGTTCCGATTTCAGTGCATTTGGTAGACCTGATCTTCGGGTTCAAGTGTATACGCAACCTTAGACAATTAAGGCAACTATAGGACATTTCCTGTATTAGCACAGGTGGAACACCAGCGCATGTAATGTTCCAGCCACATTGGCAATTCTGGACCAAGACAGGTTCCTCTTCTCGGCGTTCTTTGTCGCGTATTCCCTTTGTTTCGCTATAATAGTAACTCGGCTAAAAGGTTCCAGAAATACCGGCAATTCAATCGAAATAAAAGAACCTTGCGGGTGGCTGCGAGGCTCGGGAATGGTTGGCGTGTTTTATTATTTTCGCGTCTCCCTTGCATCGGAGCAATGCCGAGTCAAAGAACAGCTCATAAAGGTTAGTTAGCTTCGCATAAGATTACGCAGTACTCTGTACGTGTTCTAATATTATCAACTCTTAAGATGGAAGATATAAGCAGAACCAATTCAAGCTATTTTCTACTACAACCTCTCTATGTCGGGTATACTTGCTGGTTATTTCATCGGGACAAACAGAGTCGTGTCCTAACTTGAATGGGACCGCAGGGATAGGGAATTCTCGGACATTGAGTTAAGACCTAGTAAAACTATGAACAGCTTAGAAATACGCTCATTGATATCTTTACGAGAACTCAATTTAACCTTCAATTGAATCCTATTGTATTCTGGTATCCAACATGTACTATTCTGGTAAACGTTAAAAAAATCCATGACCAAGCCCGGGTTTGGTATGCATTGCAGTCCTCGCAATGCAAGGTCCTTCTAGATCTAGAGTTTTCAGCTAAAGCACCCGACGCCTACCTGAATACAATACTCTATTGGTGGGCCAACTCCCACAAGGGTGGTTCCCCAGAGCTGAGTCTTGGCTTACATTCCTGGCTATTAAACTCATTGCTATTTTGCCCGGGGATATGGTTCCGCGCGCTGAGGATCCATTCTTGTTGTATGGTTGTACACGAAGGACTGGCCCATAAGCGCTCTAGATTTATCTATGTTATGTATGTCAGTCAATCTGCAAGTCTTGGATTGGTGTAAAAAAGATGGTCAAATTAGAAAATTAGAATGGCGGCTATTGATATATATCTGTACTAGAAAAGTCCGTAGGCTATATGAAACAATTGGTAGTATGTATATCGGGAACGAACATGACATGCGGTCTATTCTTTCACAGTATCTACCAAAACCAAGACTCTATTTTCCATTAAGGTAGCAGATATGTGGAAGCTCGAAGCAGCGACTGAGAGACTTAGAAAACTCCATCGGTAAAGTCAACGACTTGTGCTTTCTCAAGGAGCCCATCAAGAGTTTCAACGAAAGCGAGATGGACCGGATCGCTTTCGACATAATAGTCTCGGTCTGCGGCACACGCAAACTCTAGGACAAATGCGTGTGTGATCCCATTCTATCATACATTAGTGAAATATCCTAGGAGTTTCCCGTGTGGGATACTAGGGACACTTACCTGGATGCCTTCAGGAGAGTTGTCCTTCCCACCAGACGCCGATTGGATATAGGGCTGCTGTGAAGTGGGATGGAGGCAACTGTCCCTGAGAGCAAGCATACGTTCACAGACCTTTGGGGGTAATTGTTAACGTCCATTATGAAGTGTTCATCGTTCACAGTCAACTTCATCTGCGTCATAATCTTTTGGTAAAACGTACATCGCGGACATCCTCAGCGGCCACTTCTGATTTGAACTGGAAAAGAACGATATGGGTAATCGACATTTTGGATAATCCTTCAGTGCAATACAATTTTGGGAAAGAGTCAAGGTAAGGGCATTGCTAGGAGCGGGGTAGAATAACAATATCGATCACATGACTGAAGTACTTTTATTAGGTTGGCAGAGGGCCTTTTTCACTGGAAGATACGAAAGGAAATGAATGATTTATCGAGGTGGACGGTGGAGGGGGACAGAGAGAGACACTGCTTAAGAAGTTGTCTGGCAGATATAATAGCCGTGTAACGACTTGCGAAGTATGAATTCACTCTCTTTATATACACCCTGCAACAGAAATAGCAATGCTTAATTATTTACAATATAAGCTTATAGCATTGACACTCCCTGTAAGATGACTTGGACCAAGGTCAGAAAAATGCTGATGCCACCGAAAATAGCCACGAGCCAAAATGTCCAGTACTTCAAAGTATCACGTCTGTCTCTCATTAGACTGAGGATTGAGCTTGGCCTTGCGTCCTTGAGATCATTTGCCATGAGCTCAATTCGGTCATACAGCACAGGAAAGTCTCGGGCAGCGAAATAGAGTGGCTTGTCAGCTGGAAGCATTGTCAACCTTTGTCCAATCCGCTTTTGGGTGCACAACTGAAAAAGCAGGGAATCGGTCGGGTAGTTCTGCAAATCTGACATCGTATACATTTGGCGAAAGATTTTCCTCGATGGGGCTGACTGCGCAAAAAGAAGACGATAGGATAAAAGCACCTCTTGTAGAAATTGCGTAATTTCCTCTTCGTTGGCACGAGGATCCTCTGGAAAGCTTTCAATACTGGAAAAGGAGTAGATCAACCCGTGGGATCGAAGCATCTCAAGACAAAATGACGGATATCTGAAGAGTGATAAAGTCTTAGTGCTCTTGTCATAGTCAAGGTGAAGTGCTAGCGTATCGACCCATCGTATTTGGACACGAAGCAAGACATGAAGTAGGTATGCGTTGGTCTCTTCGGGATGCAAGGGCTGCCAGACAGATGCTATGCTGCCAGTCTCACTTGCAAGATAGTGAGAATTCGAGGATCGTGCCGGTAGGAGGTGGCCGAAAGCTTTCAGTAGAACAGACATTGGGCGGTCTGAAAGCTCAGCCGATACTTTATACATATCAAAAACAAGACCTGACTGTGGTTGGTCGGAATCTTGATGGATAGCTAACTCTTGCATTGAGCAGACGTTGAAAGCAGCTTGATATAACATAGACCGCCAACCAAGAGCAGCGAAGACAAGAAGCGTTTGGTGGTCGTGTAGCGCTCTTGTGTGATCAAAGACTCCGGTTTCTCGTAAATATTCCGTGATCTCATCGATAGAGACCCCTTCAGTTTCCCGCGCATAATAGTCCTCAATGCCCTGAAAAAGAGTATCTAGGCTCTGTTTGTCTTGAATCTTGTATGTTCCAACTCGGAGCTGCACAAGACTGTGAGGTAGATTCTGCAGCTGTCGAGAGAGCCATTCGTCGTACCAGCTCATGTCGATGCCAGTATGTGTGGTATTCGTCCTGTGTAGCTTGACTCCAGATTGTATTTTTCGCAGGTCATTGTGAGAGTCCTTAGCAAAAACTAACAAGACCCTAGAGATAGAAACCTTGGGGGTTCTTCGTTTTCCTGTATCTCACTTAATAAACGTTCTGCACAAATGAATAGGCTGCCGGACTACTAACCGGCTTTGATAAAAGCCATAGTGTGACGCTATTATAGGGAAAGTGAAAACACTAAATGATTTCTTGACTACTGTGGATAGTATAGGAGTAATATTGACCAGGATCGCATTTTCCGTATGAAACGACTATGACTATCCCTTTCATTCCCACCACTATACTTCCCCAGCCGGATTAGCCCCGACATCAAGCGTTTCAGCTTTCAGCGAAGTGTACGGGATACATCGTAGGCGCTTATACTCCGTATGGGGTATAGCAAAAAGTGTTATGTGGGGCAAATGCGTAGAACGTGGGTCTATTGGTCTATATGAAAATATATAGCGTGCTAAAACGGATCCTTTCTTAACCGAGTGTCTGTGGCTTGCCGATCTGATTTGGAATCTTGCCTCAGTCTCGTGTTCAACGGAAAGAAAGTCGTCTGTAGGGTTTTATTAGAATTTTTCGATTGAAAATGAGAGTAACACGATCGATCAAGTGAATAGCCGCATTTTTTTTTCAGTGTACACCATGTATGACTATATGACTTGGAAACTGCACATCGACGTCAACGCTCACGTAGCTGGCCTTGGCGGGCGCTTAATCCTTAGCCATGCTGAGCTTCATGCGGTGACAACAATTCATAATTTATGTGATGAGCAGCATGTGATAGGGCGTCTACAGTAATCCATCCTCTGCTTTCCTCCATTATACTCCAGAATAAAAAGGGATTTCGGTTGGAAATACAACAATATAAAAAAGCAACCCCGCACTTCTGCGGATGGTTTTCGTGATTATAAAGGGCTGTGGCTATTTTTATGAGGTGCTGCTCGTCTATAAAGGATTAGCTGACAATATATTCGCCAGATCAGCTATGTCTTCAGAATACGAACATATGCCGAGCACGGATTGGGACACTTCTTTTCGATCTCTGTCCGCTGATGAGAAAATACTGCTGTACCTGCTTGCCTTCTTCGATCCCAACTCGATACCGGAATGGCTACTTTCCAGCCCGAAAGTCAATTTTACAGATCCAAGTTTGGAGTTCTTGTCAAATAATCTTTGGTAAGTTGCTTTTGCCTTACACATATGATGGCCTCTTGCTTATAATGAACAGGTTTAGGGGTGCTGTTACGGGTCTAATAGACGCATCGCTCATTGTTCGATCACCCGAACTAGAAGTAATTACATTGGACCGACTCACGCAGTCTACTGTATTCTGGGCTTTGCCTGAGGCAGGAATATCAACGTACTTGGACTGTGTAATTCAACTGGTGTCTTCCGGTTTCCCAAACTCGTGGAATGAAAGGACAAATGAGCAAGGTCACGGATGGAAATCATGGCAAAGCTGCAACACACTTTTGCCCCATGTCACCAGGCTTATGAATCTAGCTGAGACGCATTCTCTCAAGCCTACCAACATAGAGCTCTTTGCAGAGTTGATTTTCCGTGCTGGAACGTGAGTCGAATTCCCCATAACAAATTGTCCAATTTAGATGTTGTCTTTGCTCTGACGTTACAAGATACCTTTGGGAACGCGAGCAACCAACGAATGCGCGCTACTTCGTCGAATATGGTCTCTCACTTGACCTCAGTCATTCCATTCGATCTTACGCACATGCTTGTCGGCTTCTGGGCCACATTGCTTTAGACTTGGCACAACCAGAGTCTGCGTTAAGTGCCTATCAGGAGGCATTGAGAGCAATAGAACAAACAGAGGAAGAAAACTCTCCTCCTATTGCAGACGTGTACGACTCGATCGCGTGCAGCTATACCGAGCAAGGAATGGTCACCGAAGCATTTCGATATCTTTCAAAAGCGGCAGCTATCCACAATGCCCACAACCCGCTTCACATGGCCCGAACATACGCGATCTACGCCATGACACACCTCCGAGCGGAACAACCAGACGAGGCACTAGTGGCACTGAAGAAATGCTGGCAACTTCAAAACTTGACTGAAGAACAGATCATTGAGTCCAGATACCCCAAGCACAGTGGAGATATTGTTCTTCTGGCGAGGATCAAGTATGCTCAAGGGTTGAAACACGAGGCCCAGCAGCTTGCTTCTAGAACCATTTCCATTCGCAGGGGACTTTACGGCGATAAAGGACCTAGAGTGGCCGACTCTATGTTTCTAGTTGCTCGGATGTTGTTAGCCAGTGATGAGAATATTTCAGCTGCAAAAATGCTCCGCACGATTATTGACATGAGCCGAGGTGTGTCTGAAATGCAGGGGCATCTCGCTCGAGCCTTGTGGTTTCTTGGGATTGCAGAGCGTCGATTGGGTGACGCTGTTTCTGCTGAGAAGCTCAAAGTTGAAGCTCTGAATGAGCGCAATAAGCTTGGTGAAAGGTGTAATCTTGTTGAGGAGACTGATCACTGTTTCGAGAGTCTGGTTGGATGGATGCTATGGTAGAAACCAATACGATCAATCGTCTCTCTAAACTGACCCTACTCACAAGTCTCTGTGCACCTCCCAATTCACCCTCTTAATGGCTTAAAATTAGCTACTGTAAGGAGGATATTGCTGAACAAACCATTGCGGTAGAAACGCTTAAATACCTATCCCAGTTTTGTACTTGTATTTTGAGATCAGACTTCTCTACATGAAGATATATGAAATAAATTCAACTAATCTATTTTTACTGTTCATCTTACCTGGCCTGGCTGCAACTATATCTCTATATCTTTTTATTATTTCAAAGGCACACACACCAAGGCCAGATGGACTAACTTATCCATCCACTGGATATAGCAACTAGTCCCTCGTTTACCCCACCCTTTACCCCATCCCTACGCAAGGTTCTCCCTCAATAACCCAATTTATGTAAAAAGTCTCTTGTTTTAGTGAACACTGTTTGAGCCTTGGGTCAAGAGGAGCGCAACCGTACTGTCATTCGATAAAAGTTTGAACTGCTAACCAATAAATAACAGCAAAAAGATATCCTCCAATGCAGTAAAGATCCTATACAAATAGGACAAAAATATATGACCGACGCAGGGATCGAACCTGCAATCTCTTGATTCGTAGTCAAGCGCCTTGCCATTGGGCCAGCCGGCCGTTGTATGATTTGGTCAAATTATGAACTATAGGCCCTAAGAGTCAAGTTAGGGAGAGCTTCAGACTAGGGTGATCCCCAGTAACGCCTCAAATTATCCACTTAAATCATCGCTATACTCCATAACGATTAGTTCACATGTCAGTGATGTGGAAAACCCGTCTACGACCTCTGATTGCCTCAAATTCCGCCAAGAGCGGACCACACTATACCTACTGGAAGGAGACCTCGGAACGCGAAGCAGATGACTACACTTCTTTGGTGGATATACAATGTAGAATTACCTACATATGTACCTAGGTAGGTACCGACGCTGCTAGCGTGACAAAGAACTACTTTAAGGGTTTAGGCGATTTTTAGCCAAAAAAAAATTTGCACTCATGCAGCACCGTAATAAATCCATACGCTAAAAAAACCAGGCTACCGTTTTGGCCCCTGTACGGAGCAGGCCGCTATCCAATCCTCGTCGCCAGCCTATGTTGTAGAGAATGAATATTTGCTCGTTGCTCCTACTATACTTTGACATTCATTTTCTCTTATTACTTTCTTTGACTCCTTGACCAAGCGCCGTTCCTCGAGTCAGACCAGGCAAGGCAGTTTGTTCCATTTCGTATTTTCCTTGTACCTCCTACCTTGTGCACAGCCTTGCCTCGCAACCAGTCGCAACCGGAAGACGCCCGCTTTTTCATGGTCGACTCGCTTTCCTACCAGCGTTGAAGCGATACCACCAGAAACGCTAGCATGAACCTTATTCGATCCACCTGCGATCGTTGCTACGCCGCCAAAACGCGGTGCACCAAGGATGCGTCGTCCAATCAGTGCCACAAGTGCGTACGGTCAGGCGCAGTCTGCAACTACAGTCCGCGTGGCCACGCTGGCCGTCCGCTCGGTCGCGGGACAGGCCAGTCAAGCTCGCCCAGCCAACGCCCAACCCCAGCCACGAGCAGTATGTCGCGAACCTTGCTCTTCTTCCTTGCCCTTGCATCACATGTACTTGATATGGAAAGCTCACAGACATGACACAGTTGACGAACCATTCATCACCCTGCCTTCGTCTGCCGCTTGCAGCATAGACCTCTTTAGCAACCTCCACTCCGATGAGAACACTGCCGCCTACTTGTGGGACCACCCGCCCTTACTAGAAGACTACGGACAGTCTTATTTGCCCATCGCTGAGGCGATACACAGTGGTACGCTTACGACACCAACCGCAAGCTCAAATGCTGCCACCGACTTGTTCTCGTCCTTGGGGGGCGACAGCCCCCGCCGCTCCAGCAGCGGCACACACCATAACACCCATTCCTGCAGCGAGGTGCCTTCTGCCGCCGCTTCGGTCAAGAGCGAGAGCCTGCACAGCCGGCTCGTAGTCACACACACCGAGCTCATCGCCTTGTCCGAGTCGCTCGCCGTATCCTTCAACATAACCGACGACATGGAGGTCATCTACAGGCTTAGCGCCGAGATGACCGAGACACTTGAGCGCCTCAAGGAGAATGGGCCATGCTACCCGCCGATGCCGATTGCCAAGTGCCACGGCATGACGTCTCTGCTCATACTGAGCTGCTACAGCTATCTTCTCGAGGCCTACGAATTTTCCATGGCGAAGCTGCGACACGAGCTGCAGGACACAGGTAGTCCCACCGCGACGCTGCAGCAGCGACAGCAGCGGGCTGCGTCACCCGAAGAAGCCCCGCAAATCAACATTGGAGGCATCCGCCTGCAGGTATCGAGAAAGTCGGCCGCCGAAATCCATCTGCAGATCGTCTCCCAGACGGCCCAGAATCTCCGCGAGTCGCTCCGGCAATTCGTAAGGCACACGGCAGCCCCACGCTGCTCCATGGACATAGACACCGTCGACGACAGTCCGGCATCGAACCGTACCGGGGGCCATGCCGGGGAGACAGGCCGCGGCGACACTATTGAAATTCTAACAACAATGGCCCAGCGGGAGTTGCGGCGACGAGAAGATGGCATTTTCCAATACATAAATGAGAGCGCCGCCCAGAAAACAAGGTGAGTGTGCAGTAATGATTCTACGAACGCGATATTTTCAAATTGTCCATAATTTGAGGTATACTTGTTTCGGTAAGCGTTCTTTTTCACTTTGCGAGCTAGCCTTTGATGCAAGACGAATCTCGGCCTTGCTCCCGTTTCTGTCTTACCGAGAGCACGCATACGTCCAGATATTTCTGCAATGGATGAAGGAATCACGATTTTTAGGGTAGCTGCAGCGGTGTACAACTAAAAAGTAAAAACAGCCTGCTAAGCTACGTGGGTTGTGTAGTGCAAGCGCTTTGCGAACATCCTTGACTTTTCTCGGAAAAGAAATCACCATGTGGGTTTTTGTTGCATGCTTAAGTCAAGGTTCCTTTCACAGCTTGCCACTTCCGTATCGTCTATCCTTCTGACATTTCATCTCAGACAGCACCTAGACAGTCTCCTGCAGTTGAGTCGTCATCATCTTTTTCAGCGGGGCCAAGGCGTCTTCAAGTCCGTTTGTGTCCTCGTTCTCCAAAACGGATTTGCCCGTCGTCATGATTAGTCTCTCTGGCGCTGGCTGCTTCAGGTACGGGATTACTCGCGCCCTGTGTGCCGCGCGGAAGACCTTTGGACACAGTGTCAGCGGAACAGGCTATGAGAATGGAATGGTGGAATGGTGTATGATAATGAGCTTACTCTCATGGTCTGCACAGGCTTGCTTATCTCCGCCTGGATCTCTTCACATTCCCCTTTTTCAACCTGGGCGCGGATAGAGTGCCGTCTCAAGACGCTCGTAAACTCGCGCTGGCGGACCGGGATGTGACGGATCATGTTCTCGTCGATAAGATAGCGTTTCATGCCAAAGAAAGTATCGATTGCTTGAAAGATGAGAGCAGGAAACGATAGACCGTCATACTTGACATGGCGACTATCAATAACCCGGCCAACACCCTAACCCTTCGTAGTAGCTTAGCCAAACTTTACGGGATATCTTGGTATCAACCAGGCCGTCATAGAAAAGTTGATAGATCTTGTCCAACTTGGGTTTGAGTTGTTGGAGGCATCGCAGAGAGTCTGCTTTCGGTTCTCTTCAAATGCCACAATCGCGTCCACCATGTCAATATAGACAATACGCGCCTACTGTCATAATTAGTAACCAAGACACTTGGGGCGAAACCACCTTCAGAGTATGGCTACATGGCGATGTAGTGTAGTATAATTGCTTTTTCAAGCCGGGCCTGGCCACTAGACATGCGGAGGGTTTGGTGGAGCTAAGTTGCCCAGGTCTAGAATTTAAACTGGGGAATCCTCCGACTGTTCGGAGTCCGGACCTCCACTAGATCCTCTCTGCTTACGGTCTTCGAGTTAATTGTAACGGCAGATACTCACGGAAATAATTCCACTTTGTCTTAGGAGATGGTTCCAGATGCCCGATCATCGCGAAACCCCCAGGGCCGCTCCAGGTCTAGTCAGCCAGCCAGCCCAGCCCCGATTCCAGCCCTATTCCAGGCCATAAGTGCTTTGTCAACCCTCCGAATGCATGAAAATAGGGGGCGCGTCGGCTCATTTCGCTCAATTTCTTTGTTTAGGTCAAAAATAAAATGAACGATTCATCCGGCATTGCACGATTCTGGTCGTGGTATCTTCCTAGCGCTGTGGTGGCTACTTCTATACTAGCTAAAACCGATCGAGCAAACTGATCTCGTGAAATCATGAAAAGGCAAAGCGATGATAGCGAAATGCAGTCGCTGGACGACAAAAGCAAGACCGCGACTCCGGATATGGCACGAGCAGACCAAAAAGCCCAAAGCCCACCGAGCACGGAAAAAGACAGTTACGAGGTCGGCTGGGAGGGTGGTGAGGCGGATCCTCTATGCCCTCGTAGCTACAGTAACTTGAAAAAATGGCGCATCACTCTTGTTATTTGTTTTGTCAGTTTGTGCATGTAAGTTATGCACGATCAAAAACAACTGGCCCAAGCTAACACAACATATTCAGGACATGCGCTAGTTCCATCTACACGGCGACATACCAACAGATGGAAGCAGAGCTGGGCAACTCAAGAATAGTGTCTATTCTTGGTCTTTCCCTTTTCGTTCTCGGTATCAGTTTCGGTCCTATGGCTCTTGGCCCCCTCAGCGAGTTTTACGGTCGACGACCTATTTATGTCATTTCCTGGACGATCTATGTTATTTTCATTATACCACAGGCCGTCGCCAAGAACATTGGGGTAATTCTCGTTTTCCGTTTCCTCGACGGCTTCGCTGGCAGCGCTTTCCTCGCCGTGGCTGGAGGCACCATTCACGATCTCTTCGACAGGGCGCAACTACAACACCCGATCTCTATCTTCTCAGTGTCGCCATTTATCGGACCCAGTCTAGGTCCCCTGATTGGCGGTTTGATCTGTTCTTATCTCGATTGGAGATGGACGTACTACGTTTTAATCATTTGGTCTTTTGTTTTGTGGCTGGCAATCATCTTCCTTGTTCCTGAGACATTTCGTAAGTTTATGGGAATTATTCAAGTCCTGTTCCAAACTAACATGTGCTAGATCCGGTTCTATTACGAGACAAGGCGAGGAAGCTTCGAAAAGAGACAAACAACGAATCATGGTTTGCTCCTATAGAAAGAGCGCACCGGTCTGTTGCCCAAGCAATTGGCAACTCCTTACTCCGACCATTCCAGCTTCTCTTCCTTGAACCCATGTGTTTCTGCCTCTGCATTTTTGCAGCACTCTTGCATGGCATTCTTTACTTATTTTTCGACGCTTTCCCGCTGGTCTTTGTCAACAATCATGGTTTCAACTTGTGGCAAGTCGGTCTATCCTTCCTAGGAATTGGTATTGGAATGATCCTAGCTATTTTCATGAATCCGGTTTGGAACAATGCGCGAAACCGCCTTGTGCAAAAGAAAGAACAAGAGACGGGTATCCAAGGTGCTAGCGAGCCCGAGTTCCGGCTCCCTGCTGCTATGGTAGGCTCTCTGATTGTGCCTGTTGGCATGTTCATGTTTGGATGGACAACATTCCCCTGGGTGCACTGGATTGCTCCTATCATAGGCTCTACCATATTTGGATTTGGGTAAGTACAAGCTCTCAAAGTGCAAGAGGAAAAGGTTCAAAAGCTGACGTGGTGGTACCAACTAGGGCATTGCTGCTGTTTACCTCTATTTTCGGTTTCCTTGTAAGTTGTCTGGACCTCTACACTTTTTTTTTATTAAAATTGTCTTTTGGTAGGCACAACTGACAGAACTTGCATCAGGTTGACGCTTATCCAACGTACGCAGCGAGCGCCATGGCCGCAAATGGCTTCATCCGATGCATTTTTGCCGGTACGTATATGGAGGCTGTAAAATGCCATGACTTTGATTTTCAGCATAAAGCTAATCTGAAACCGCAGCCGTATTCCCGCTTTTCGGCGAGCACATGTTTGAAGGGTTAGGATACCAATGGGCGTCATCATTGTTGGCGTTTCTCACTGTTGCCATGATACCGTTTCCGTTCCTCTTTTTCCGCTATGGCAAACTTATTAGAGGCAAAAGCCGCTTCGCTAAGAAGTAGTTGCTTCTGGCTGAGCAAGTATATGCATGACGGCTAAATTCCGCCACTAATTTCATCCACTCTTAGCTTTCGTTGATTAGCACATTTCTGCGCACAGATTTGGGCGGGCAGCCTGGGTGTGACCAGACAAAATAACAATTATTGAAAGCGAAATATTGTAAAATAATCTTGTACTTGCCGTTGAATTCGGGATCCATTTCTGCTTGGGAATCCAATCATTTTATTCGTTGCTGCAGTACCAACTCTCTCCGAGCTTGTCCCTACCATGCTTGTCGGAGGGAGCGCCATAATGCGAAAGAGAACGAGGGTGTTCTGCGAGGGATAAAGCATTGAAAGCTGGAACGAAACTGAGCAAACCAGAACGACTCGACGAGGAAGGTCTAGCTAAGAACATAGGTACGCGAAGAGACACATACAAACCCTCCTATAGATATGACTATGGACCTTGACCTGCTCAAATATCTAGTTGAGTGAGACATACTCGCCGCCTCCATACCAGACACGGCCTCTCCGAATGACCAGACCCTCTTGCCCAACGATCCATTGACCCTCCTCTTTGATGGCACTCTCTTTGGGCCAATACTCATTTTCCAACTTTTGGTTAATCTCACCAATCTTATCAATCAGCAGCTTGACACGCGAATGATCGACCGTCTCGGCGCCATCAGATCCCCTAATCAGAAACCCGTCCTGGGAGATGAACCTTGCGATAGTGAGATGTGCCGAGGGAACAATATAACGCGAAGCAACAGGGACCTTGGTTTGTCGAACCATGTCAAAGATATCCCGGCGAAGATGGTGGTATGTATAGTGCTCTTTATCGCTGCTAGACTCCGCTTCTAGGCACTCACCAGCAGCCGGAACGAAGCTGAGCGCCAGTGCGGCGGAATCAAAGCTTACCATAGGCTTGATGAGACGCGTAGGGTGGCTGCGTGGATACGCAGCAATATCTGCAGACGTGACGTCCTTGGATGACTGGAGGGTCTGGACAAGTTCTTCGATTTGCTCTTCCCTCTGGGAATGAGCGATTTCCAAGACAGTTAGGTGAAGGTTTTCAGGCGGCATTAGCCAGAGTGCTATGGCCACTCATGTTAGCGAGATAAATGGCTAAGAGGGAAATTTCCCGTCAGAGAAATTGTATATTGGTAGACTTACAAGGAGAAATGCTCTTCAACTCATTTTGAATAAAGCATATCAAGTCGCGGACATGAGGGGAGGGTCTGGCCCAAATGACAAGACAGTTTCGAGGATCGACAAATCCATATTCCTTTCCAGGACCGTCAAGTCGTTTCAAGATCTCGTCAAGGGACCAGCCAGGAAAGTTATGGGCTAGGATCTTTGCGCTTTGCTGGCTATTGCGAGTCACTCGGTGGTTCTCGTATTGAGATTGTAATATTGTCTATTATTAGAGGAAAGAAGGGTTAAGCATCTGATATTATCTCACAGCTTTCGCATCCACTCACCGAATCGTTATTTGCCTCCTCAATTAAGGTCTGGAAGGGGTTGTCCTCTGACAACGGGACTGGCGCCATGATGAGAGCCTTGAGAGCTGATCGAGGTTTTGTTAAAAGGTCGATTTATCATAGGGGTGATAAGTGAGTCAACTAAAACCTCGGCAGTTGACAGGCTAAAAATACACCTGCCATTTGACGATCGAAGCTGAAACAGGCTAAAATAGCCGGCACAAGACAACCCGCCAGTTCGTTACATGAAGATGAGAGGGAACAAACTGGATGCTTCTTTTTCTGGCATATGCCTGATGTTATTAACGAGAATAGGTGCTAAAGTATGTATAATATCGATGTTCAAGAATTAGGTGAACGATTACAAGCCAGCTTTTTCCAAGATTCGTCGACAAGGTACATATGCACTATGTAGTATGTAGTAGTACTCATGCTTTCGGAGTATTAACCTATGTAGGTAACGGAATTATTCCCCGGACAACTTATCTCCTATGCACATGTTTATTTGGGGTAATTTTTGATGTGGTGGCTCTTCAGTTTGACAAACTGCTCAAAACCGAATCGACTCAGGGTAACACCGCGACCAGAGTTCTTCCAGCCTGTCCAGGCGAGGTCCTATAAGGTACTTTCGTTAGCGAAGAGTGACAATAGTTGAGAAAGAGCCGGGCTTACAGGGCTAGGGAAGTCAGATCGGTTGACAAAGACAGTGCCAGCCTCAACACGCTCAACCAGCTGCTCGGCCGCCGCAACATCCTTGCTCCAAACACTGGCGGTAAGACCGAAGTTGCTATCGTTCATCAGACGAACGGCCTCGTTGTCACCGGAGACCTTCATTACAGGGATCACAGGCCCAAATGTTTCATCCTTCATCACGGCCATATCGTGATTAGCGCCGGTCAGTAGTGTGGGCTTGACATAGTTTCCATTCGGAGGGAAGTTCTCGAATGTCTCATTAGCAGGAGTCTCGTTCTTCGCGCCTTTCTGCACGGCATCCTCGATTTGCGCAAGAATCGCCTCCTTCGCATGCTTGGAGACAACTGGTCCAATCTGGGTCTTAGGATCGGAAGGCTCGCCGACACGGTAGTTGCTCAGTACCTTCTTCACCTCAGTAATGAAACCATCGTAGACCTTCTCGTGAACATAGACACGCTCGATAGCGCAGCAGCTCTGTCCACTATTGAAGATAGCGCCATCCACAACTTCCTCAGCGGCCCAGGCGAGATCTACATCATCTCGTACGTAGGCCGGGTCCTTGCCACCAAGCTCCAGACCAACATTCACAATCCGATCCGAGGCTGCCTTTTGCACTGCCAGGCCCCCAGCTTCCGAACCCGTAAAACAGATATTGTTCACCAGTGGGGATCGCACCAAAGTCTCAATAAATGTGAAAGATCCGCAGTGGAAGAATTGGAGCACGTTTTCGGGAAGACCGGCCTCGGTAAAAGCAGAGGCAAACTGTTCGACGATTGTTGGAGTCTGGGGGGAAGGCTTCAGGATAACAGCGTTTCCAGCGAGAATGGCAGGAATCAAGCTGTTCACAAGAGTGAGGTAGGGGTACTATATATTGACTTTTCAGCGTCTGCAGGTATACCGATATTTGACGAATTGGACTCACGTTCCACGGGAAGATAATCAGCGCCACACCGACAGGCGAACGCTTGATATACCGTCTGAATCCCTTCTCCTCCTCTCCGGGCACAATTCCTTCCTCACCCAGTACGGAGGTGCTAATGCGTGTCAAGTAACGACTGCGCTTGATAGCGGTCGCAATTTCGACCCCGGTATAAGCGATGGGCCGGCCCATCTGCTCAGTAACCTCACGTGCCAATTCATCCTTCTTTTTCTCCAAGATGTCAAGAGCACGTTCCACAATCTTCTGCCTCTGTTCCAAAGTTGTGGACTGTGAGAATGACCGGAAAGCTGCTTGAGCGGCCACGGGGATCTGTTTCAAATCCTCCGATGAGACACCGGTGCGGGTGACAACAGGCTCATTGGTGGCGGGGGAGATAGTCCTAATAGTTTCCAGCGACATCATGCAAGGTATCTATGATTCAACTAATATGAAGAGAAGACAAGGAATCGGAGAAGATGTTGGGGGGAAGGGGATGAGGGGCAGTCACGTTATTCCCCGCTGTTTTGTTATCTCTTATCGCGAGAATGAGGTCATCGTCGTTGAGCACTTCAGGGGCAGATCCCCAGGGTACATTCGCATTGCTCAAGCTCTATCTATACATCTCTAACTAGACGTGCACCTGCCCATGTATAACGGTAATTGTGCTGATACCAATTGACACTAGAATGTGTTAGTTGATGCAGTTTTGCTGAATATCATAAGGCTTATACTCACAAAGTAGTCCGGCCAGCAATGCGAGGCAGAGTAGCCCAGGAGCCCCCAAGAACGATATTGTGTTTTCCATCGAAGAAGTCCGCTGTCGATATCAATTAGTTTAGGACCGGTGTCGGTGCTCAAGGCCATCACTTACACGTGTATCCAGGGTAGATATCCATGGATTTGAAGCCGTCGTGCGGCATCAATGGTGTGCTAGTCCATTCCCAGACACCTCCCATTTCGCCCTGACCAGCTAACTGATCCCCATTGGGTGTGACAGGAACAGGGTGCCAGTTATTAAAGCCAACATTGCAACCGGTGAGATCACGGAAAATAGCCTGGTCAGCAGAGTGGAGCTTGCTATCTTTAGCAACCCCATTGGACACATTCCTATTATACAAGTTAGTTTCTGCTATATTAGATCTAGGCTTCCTTCCATACCTGGGGCTATTCGTAGCTCGATCAGTTTTGAGCTGGTCTGAGTAGTGATATATGCTCCTGGTCTCTTCAAACGTGGGAATCCTGCATTGCATGCACTTTGCATAGCTTGCAACTTCATCGTAGGAAGCAATCAATGGCCAGTCTTGTGCAAGCTCAAGAGCCACCGGTCCAAACACAGTCCGAACTGTGATGTCCTCCAGCGAAAATCTTGCAGGATTGGAGCTCGAACCAGCCTGGACGCATGAGGAACCGATGCCCTTGGAAATGGGATTGTCTTGGCCCTGATTAACCACCCAAGACGCCGGGTATGTTTGAATACCCATATCCTGCACGTACTTGGCATATTCACCATTGGTGATGGGTCTCGCCTGAGCTTCAAAGGCATGCACAGTGGCCTTCCTTTGAGGCTTCTCGTTGTCCCATCCAAAAGATTCATTTGGCATCATTTCTTCGTTGGAGTCATCCAATCCAATTTCGATAGTCTGTTGTGGAATGGTAAACCATTTGTTTGGCTTTTCGTCTCTCTTCGCCTGGCGACTGATTTGCTCAAAATTCGGACGATCAACTCCTGTGGGAGGCAGAGTTTTATCACTCTGGAGTAGCATGTAGAGGAAAGTCTCGAGATGCATTGCTTCGTGCTCATATCCAATCCAAAGAGCCTCTCCAATGGCGCGGTCTTGCAACGCATATCTCTCTTGCAGGATTGAACGCGCACGGTTCCGCACTCTATCTTGGTAGTCCAGAATTTCATCTAGTGGCGGCCACTCGTCAGGTATTTCGCTGTGGGTGTGGCATTGCTGCGGATCCTCCACGTCCGGATCAATGCCACGCTCAAAAATCAGTCTATAATAGCTAGGCTCAGTGGGCTCCTCCTGCAAAGCCCGCGACAGATGGATATCTGGATTCCGGCAGGATTAGCACTAAACGTAGTAATCATTGATTATTGGAGACTCACCGAAAAATGCCGGAATGTGGCCAAAGTAAAAGATTAGCGCATTTCGGAGTTTGATCGGTTTGGACAAAAGCTCCTCACGAGGGACCATGGTTCTGGTCGCGAGGTCCCACGCAGTCCAAAGGGACTGGAATTGGTCAATACTCGGGATCGGTTGGGCTGCATATTTCGAAGGGTCCATAGACACGTCAAGCGCGGCGGGTGATAGCAGATGAAGGTCTGTTCAAACACAAGTCAGCAGGTCCGCAGTGTGGATTTGACGAGAACATCGAGGCTCACGATAATCATCTGTCAGATTTCCGAATTCGACCTGGGAAATGAGGTTTGCATTGCGCCACAACTCATCCCGTTCATTGCGACCGTATTTCCATGCCTCTTCAAAGATGAGCCTCTCTCCTTTGGGAATACTGATCCCATTGATGACCACATCAATTCTTGGGACATAAAAGGCTTGATGCCGTCCCTCGCGGGTATCATACTCAGTCACGATCTCCCATTCGTCGGGCTTGAAGGCCTCAAAGCCAAGAATCGCATTGGCATGCAGGAGGCCATTCTCATAGAATTGGCGAGTAATACCTTTGGTATCGTTATAAGCCTTAAACACCTTCTCTGGGTTCTTGCATGCATCCAATCCGATAAGCATGAAATCGGACGGGCTCAATAGCTTGGAAAAACCCCCAAGAAATTCCGCAGCACTTGAAGGACTAAAATTGCCCATGGATGATCCCATCGACAAGACCACGGTGGGCCGCTTTCGGTTTTCTGGGCTTTTAAGCCAGCCGACAGCATCATCGTACGTCCCATGGAGGCCATGGAATCCTACGTGGATGAAGCTTTCGGGCGAGATTTCAGAGAATGTTCGCTGTAACTCGGCCAATGAAAGGTCCAAAGCATAGTAATCCACTTTCTTCTCAGTCCGTTCACATTCTCTAAGTAGAATCTCGATCTTGCGCAGGTTTCTAAAAAGAAAAATTGTCAGAACTTTGGAAAACTTGGACAGGATCATCCAAACGCGCGAGGCGACGGATAGAGGGTGTATGGGTCACAGACCCACTTCCGAGTTCCACCAACTGTGCATTCTCCGGAATGCGGGCGACTATCCTCTTCGCATGTTTTGTCAAAATCTCGATCTCCGTGTTGGTAAGATAGTATTCATCCAAGTAAGTGATCTCCTCGAAGAGCTTCAATCCTTTGGCGTCGTAGAGTAGGAGGGTGGGGAATGCGCGCTGTCTGTCTGCTGGTGGGTCCAGATTCTTGTAGATATCATCCACCAGGGAAAATTCCATGTCATTCTGGTGGATATCGACAATTTCAACCGTGTCGACGTTTCTGAGCAAGGTAGGAGACATGACTTCGAGGGCATAGATGTTAGAAGTCAGTCTGGAAGCAAAAGTAGGGATAAGTAAAGTAGAAAAAATAAAATTTCAACTTGAATCAAGTCGTACCTGGCAAACTAGGAAATCTCTATGACAAATTATTCGAAAGCGGAAAGAGCGGCTGAGGTCCACGGGTTAAAACGACTTTGGTATGCAAGAGAGTAGGGAAAAATCACTACAGGCGCCATGCAGACTTTATAAATGTGAGATTCAAGAAGCAGATTGGCCTCTAACCCGGTTTTGTCTTGGTGAACATGTTTGCAACAGGACCCCCGCAAGTCTAGATTCATGGTCTGATTCCGTAAGTGGGTTATTACGGGAAGATCTGTAGTATCAGATTGGACAGGATTGACCCCATGCCATTTACATCGTATATCGGATTCGGAGTTGCTCACTCTGCCGCCAAACAACTTTGGGTATTTCGACCGCTGGCTGAAAACTGCGACCAGCGTTGCACATGCCCAAAACAATTTATCGGCATGGGCGTAGTTTCACTCTTCCACATTGTTGCATCTTGCCAGTCGAGGTGCCGTAGCTACGGAGTAACCGGGGAGCTACGGGCAGGTGATGTCATAGGTAGCTGTTTGTCGCATTTGTAAGGTTTGCTCTGTTTGTGTTTGTTAGGTTTGTCTGTTTGCGGGTTTTGCTTTGTTTGCATATCGTTGCCATATAAATCAGGCGATAACCACAGTGACATCCCTTGTTTCAGATTGGAAATGTTGCAAGTCTATGTTCAGCACTCCGTACAAAAGGTTAGAACAAAGCACGTTTCAAACAGAGTCTGTCTTGGTCTCAAGTAGTACAATGCAATTGTTTTTAAAGAAACAATGATCTCTTTCATCAGTATAGGGGGTTCATCTTTTGAAACCACTCCGGCAACTGCTCGACGGACGAGTATATAAACCCCGTAAAGAATCATCTCAAACAAACTATTCAAACGAACTATTCATCAGCTTGAGAACATCACAAGGTATTCCTATTCCAAAATGGCCAATATTTTTCAACGTCTGCGCAAGGGCATCAAGTCCCGACGGTCAACCTCTAAGGACGAATCCACCAAAATTGCCGAGCTCGAACAAGAATTGTCTCGAGCCCTCAATGAAGTGCACGACCTTCAGGCGCGCCTCGCAGAGCACGATTTTATGCTCGCACACACCACCTCAAGTAACCCCACTCTGGCTATTCCCCTTTTTCAATCTCATTCTCAATCCCTTTCTGACATTCCTAGAGCAGTTTCGCCAATAGATACAACGCCAACCTCTATCGATGATATCTGGATCCCTTCATGCAGTGGCTCATTCCTAATAGATGCAGAACAGCGGTGGCAAGACGGTGACCCAGAGCTTGCAATGGAGCTTGCCTCGGGGGTCATTAGCCAGAACCCCTTTCTGTGCGAACTTGATGAGGTGCGATGTCATCTATTTATCGCTGCTGTTCAACACTATCTTTGCCAATATGATGAGTCCATGATGAGCTTAGAGACGGTTATGCAAATTAACAACAGCGATACCGTCTTGCATAACCCAGAATCTAGCATTATAGCCGGTATTACTCATTTTATCAAAGGACTGAACCTCATAAAACTTGAACGGTTCCCGCAGGCTTACTCGTCGTTTTCAGGAGCACTGGGAATACCAGGCTATGGCGAAAAGGCCCGTGAGTTCCAAAAGGAGGCTGTTATTGGATTTGCTCGCATAGCGGCTACTGAGTCTGATTGTTCGCCGGCAGCGTCGCCGACAGCGTCTACTCATGCATTATTAGACTGGGAAGATAATGAATCATCTTGAAAATACAGCCAATTCTCAAAATCCTGCCTATTAATCTGATGTCGCTACTTCGGTATTTCCTCCGGTTCATTCATTGAGACTCGCAATAAGCAGTTCGGCTCGTGTCCAGTTTGATGGCGGCCACACAGTAGTCTAGGCAAAAAGGTCCTAGAAATGTCAGATAGGAATTGGGAATCAGGTTGGGAAGGGGGAATAGCGAGAGTGGTGTTACTTGAGGTGATGTGTGAGGGTACATATGATATGTATGACCCAGGGCAACTTGGTATAGTATTGGAGCGCTTCGCACTGCCACTCGTTCTTCCCTTTTCAGCAGATTATCCCTTGACAATGGACTTGTATTGATGCTTCTTAAATATGCGGCGAAGAGCTTTGATCATTTGTTACAGGAATATCTTGTTTTGATGTCCTCAAGCTGATGAATAATAGTTATAGGGCAAAAATATCCCAATAAACTAGATTCCGACAGTTTGAATTTTTGAACCCTGATTTTGGAATAAAATATGGCATTATTCCACTAGACCACCACAAAAGCTAAGGTTCCTGTTTAAGGCCTGGGAAGCGCCATATTCCAGTCTGACACCTGAGCCCCGTCGATCAAAGCGACTACGAGCCTTACAACGCGGGCCCTTCTATACACGGCCTCTGTAACGCAGTTGCATATCGGAACTAGGAACGGACTAGATGCTTTTCCTCGGCAAAGCAATTGGGAACTCCACTGCGTGATCGACCCGGGGAAGGAGATACTTCTACAGTAGGGAATATGACTTTCTATGCAGACTTTGTAGCTATCGTTTCGGAGACTGTTGTTCTCGTATCAGTTCTTTCATGTGTCGTCAACTTCTAATTAAGCCCAATGCACATTCATGGATTTTTGTGACTCTTTGTAATGACCCTAGCCCCAATAATTATCCAGCGGTTATTAAGAAAGTCAATTCTGGTCACTGGCAGGACGAGCTTTCGAAAATCCCCAACGTCCTCAATGCCAAATACAAGGGCTAGAGAGGACTTTTGCTTGTTAAATAGATAGAGAGGCATGAGATGATGTACTGTCAAGATCACTCGTTTGTAGTTGAACTTGAATCTATTACATATATTAAAACACAATGTTGATAACTTTCTTCATATAGTAGCAACCTAATGTAGCACTTGCTTATAGCACCACTTTATAGGCCCTAGGTTAAGTAGACAAGCAGCTTCCTGCTTTTTATAAATCTTACTTATTTTACTATTTAATCTTCTACTTATAAGACCTTGGTATTAGTTCACCTTAGTTCCTATTGTCTAATAGAATTTGAATACTTATTATATGGCTAAATAGTAATTTCTTTGTATCTACCTGAAGCAAAACATACGTGTGTCCATGGATGAATAATTTGACCGAGCTAAAACAACACCTATAGAAAGGTGGGAAATACAGTCATGAAGCTCATTTTATTCATTTCTTGCTCAACACGCTCAATTTTCACAACTTAATTGAAAGCATACATACACAAAGCGAACAGAGTGATAGAACGCGCCGTTTCAGTTTCAGCGAGGTTAACAATGGGTTTGAGGACAACAAAGGAAAGGACGACCCAGGTCTCGGTATCCCAGACAAAAATGTCTTTGTGTCGAATTCTCTGGATGAAACTCTTTTCACGCGTTTGTTGTCTTCCTTGTCGACGCGTCTGTGAGGTACATAAGGACCACTTTCTCGCTTGCTTGCAATCTTCCTCCACCAACACACGAGATACCAATATTCTCTTCCATCTTGTTTTCTGTCAGAAATTTTGAGCCATTGCAAGACCAACGGCAATTTCATCATATCCACTTCACAAGTTTACCAATATCAACCCCTAAGGCCCTGTTGGGGACAAGACAGTATTCCCATCATGCCCAAAAAGATAGCCCACGTGAGCAATAACGGGCGCTCCTGGAAGGCCGGATCTCTCTCTTCTCAAGAAGAGAAAGAGCTCATCCAAGAAGTCAACACTTTACGAGAAAAAAAAGCTCAAGCTTATTGCAAGCGCCGTCAACCACATCACCGCCGAGTCGCCTAACCACGAGCTACTGTATCTGTACTATCGGGTTGAGGTCGGTACCTATCTCTTACCAGCTTCGAACTTCATCGGCAACGAAAGACCCTCCGAAGCCGAGTTTATGGTCAAGATCGCCAGGCAATCAGCAGATAAATCCAAAAATCCGTTCCTCGTTGCCAGATGTGAGTTCTGGATGGGTCGAGTTGAGTTCCTGCGTGGAAACATGCACAAAGCTCATGAGCACTTCGTGAAAGCGAATCTTTGCGCCATGGATCCGAGCGAGGGCGTCGAATGCCAGGACCTGAGCTTTTATCTGGATGTCACCAGGCATGGGATTAGTGAGCATACTCGGGCTGCAAGACTACGTGCTCATGAGGACGCTATTCTGGCACACGCGAAATTCGACAAGACTGCGAACAATTCTGTGTCGACCGAAGTCAAACGCAAGCGACCATTGAGGACTTGGAAGGGGGCTCTTGTCAAACTACAACTACCAGTGATCAAACAACGCCCGCTTACTAAAGTCATCAAGGCCCAGTGTAGGGTGCCAATTCAGCAAAAAGTGGACAAGAACCACCTGGAGCAAGGGATAGAGAATCAGAAAAGCTCCAACAATCAGGTACTTGGAAAGGTCCTGGCAGAAGAGCTTGGGTACGAGTCTTGGGGCAATTCTGGGGATGACACCGACGATACCGATACCGATACTGACACTGAGAATGAATCGGACGATGACTCCAGTGGAGGCCCTACAGACGGTACAGGTGCCATCAAGGATGAGAACACCAAAAATGAGAACGCAACAAACCCCCCAGGCGCCCCTAGTAAAACCCAGCAATCGAAGCCATCTACTGACACGACCACAGCTCCAGCAAAACTCCCGACTGAGCAATCTGCCTACAGAATGCAGCTGGTAGCGGCGCGAGCCCGGTACAGACAAGAATGTTTCCAGATGGGCCTGACAACACGACTCAATCCAGAACCCTACGAGCGCCCGAAGGAGCCATTTGTGTTTGGAGTCCCCCATGAACCGACAAAACAGACTCAATTCCGGGCTGGATTTTTCAAGATTGGCCTGGAGAAACGCAGCCGCCCCATGACCATTTTCCCGAAACAGGCTGGCGAGATCACTATTTCTCCTGAGGAATGGAAATCTATTGAACAGGATGCTCGTCAGAAGATTGTCACTTATGATTACTTGCGACGAGAAAGATATGAGTTGCTCAAGGTTGCTGAGGAGATGTAAATTGGGGATTGGTTGAGAATCACAGACTACTGGATCCAGAATATGTAACTACATGTGACAATATATGTGCGAGTCTTTTTTTTTTTTTAACGTTCGATTCGATTTCCTCTTTCAATTTTGATTCGCAGCATAACAAGGCATTGAGTAAAGTAAATACTTAGAATTAAAGGAGTAATAATCAATTTCCGCAGCTAAATTCATCTCTAGAGAGTGCTATAGTTCCAAGCCCTAAAAGATCGGATGGAATCTGCATAGACACTTGGTTTCCGTTAATAAAGCCAAAGAAGGCAGTTCCTTCCATCAAACAGTTTCCTGGTCTAGCGGTTATGATTTTCCGTTAACAAATGCGATTAGCAGATGTTCCGGAAAGGTTCTGGGTTCGATTCCCAGGGAAACTATTTTTTTTCTTTTTCTCCTTTTTCGTCCATATTATTTATCTGTTTCGTCTATAGAGGCTCACTTCATTTTTATTTTCCAAGATTGTTATCTTAGTTTAGTTATGGAATGTTGGAGTTGGAGTTCTTAACAATGGTATCAACCGCATGTCTTCTATTTCCAATAGATGTCTAAATATTCTTGTCCAAATGATTGATTGTCCAAAACCCAAAATTGGTATCTCAAAAGAATTAAGTAAAATATGTGCGCTCTCAAAAAATATTCACAACTGAATCAAAAATGCCAAATGTCTAAGAGCCGAAATGGGGAGCGTTAAGGACCAATCCCATGAGGCATCCGCCAATGGTACCAGCAATGGGAATGGTCATGATCCAAGCAGCCAACAAGAGACCGACACGCTGGAAGTTGACGGCCTTGATAGTTCCGTTGCACAGTCCAACACCGACGGTAGCGCCAGTGATACACATGGACGTGGAAACGGGCAGGGAGTACTGCGAGAAGACCAGCACCGTGATGGCGGCACCCATCTCCATAGACGAGCCACGGGACGGTGAGTGGTAGGTGATCTTGTTACCCATGACTAAGTGTACAGTTAGTAAAAATGAAGATTGGTTAAGTAAAATATGAAGGGGATGCTCACCTTTCATAATGTTGTATCCGTAAGTGCAAAGACCAATGGAAATGCAAATGGCCAGAACAGCAAGCTGCCAGATAGGCACGGGGGACTTGGATGCAGCAGGGGTGCCGGAGGACCAGGCGGAGTAGATGGCAGCCCAGGGGCCAACGGAGTTACCGATATCGTTGGCGCCGTGAGCGAAGGAAGCAGTGCAAGCAGTGATGATCTGGATGAAGGAGTAGGTGTGCTCGACCTCGTTGGGGTATTTCTCAGCGTTGGCATAGACACGCTTCATGCGCTCGCCCTCGGGAGTACCCTCGTTACCACTCTGGGCGGTGTGGATGTCGTAGTAGAAACCGTAAAGAAGGCCGACAGTGATGATGGCGGGGAGGCGCTTGGCCATGAGCTTCATGTTGCGGAATTCGTAGATCTCACCGGCACCCATGGGGTTGTCACGGAGAAGGCGCATAGCCCAGCCAATAGGACCACGGCTCTTGAGGAGCTTGGCGTTGTGACGGTCCTCAGACTGGGCCATGAGTTCGCGGTAGGTGAGCTGGTTGGCCTCGAGTGATCCGTCTGTAGAGCCTGGGATGGAGGCAACACCGGTCTTGGGCTCCTTGTCATCGACTGGCTGGTGAGATTCATGCTCTTCGGAATCGTCTTGCACCACAGCGTAGTTGGGGACGTGGGCGACCTCAGAGTTGGTAGGAACGGGACGGCTGAAGAGCAGAGGGCCCTGGATGAACATCCACCATTTCACACTGGGGTCCTTCTTGATCACGCGGGAGTGGAGGAAAGGAACGAAGAAGATAGCAGACAAAAGACAGACACCACCACCAGTGCCGACGGTGACGGCAGCAACATACCAGGCGGGCTTCTTGTCCAGGTGCAGGTTGGGGGAGCCCTTGTACACAATGGAGAGAGTGCAAATGGTGGCAGCAACCAGGAAGAAGAAAGGGGCACTCCAGACGGCCCAGGGGATAGGGTTTCTCCGCACGTGCACCAGGTACTTGATCATCAGGAAGATGATGGCGCCAAAGCAACCGGAAATGACAGGGGCCATGCCGAGACCAGCGAAGATGGCACCGAGACCCTTGCCATTGTTCCAGCCCCATTGAACCTGGGAAGCACCAACAGTGGCAACACCGACACCGGCGACAGCAGAGATGAGGGAGTAGGTGGAGGAGACGTGGGCGGAGTTCTTGGTACACCACATCACCCATGAGGATGCAGCAGCAAGGGCACAAGTGAAAGCGAGCATTTGAACGCCGGCATTGCCTTGGAAGGCTGAGTTGGGGATGATGCCGTTTTTGATAGTATCAGCGGTACGGGCACCGACAGCGACTGCACCGACAAACTCGAAAATGGTACCAAGGACCATAGCCTGGCGGTAGGAGATGGACCGGGAGGAGACACTGGTAGCCCAAGAATTGGCAACATCGTCTATGAACATGCAAAGGTTAGTCGAGGTCAATCAGGAAAGGATAGACGTTGTGCTACTCACTTGCACCGTTGTTGAATGCATCAAGCATAGCAAACAATGTGCCGATGGCAAAGATGTAATCGTATTGGTGGAGAGCCATCTTGATGGATTGTACCAAGACAAAGCTTGGTATTGGACTTTCGGTTGCACTGAGAAAGAACAGAAACCAAAACCAAGATGAGAAGACTGGCTTTTTATGTATGCATGGAAAATTCTAAAGACTGATATGGCCCCCCTGTTCCCTACATATGCAAAACATGCCCAGGTGCCCTGTGGGAAGCATCCTTACGCCAGGCAAACTTCCCGTTTGGGACATTCTGGCCACACGTGCTGATCCTACTCGCAACGGGAGCCCTTCGATTATCGTCCATGGGCTTGGCAAAAAATTTAATATATCGAAGCCTAGCCAAGACGGACAAAAGCTCTTTTCCGAAGGCTTAGGGCGCTCAAGCAAAGAGGACGAGACCTTGGCAGTCAACTGGGCGGAACTAATTTTACATTGATAGGAACGTCCTGATTAGGTTTAGATTGGCTGAGTTTCAGTGGAATTTCGCGAAGCATCACATTTGATTGGCTGAAGGCGCTCGGTCATTGGATGGTTGCGGCTCTTGGCGGGGGTGGGGCCGGTCCGCTTTTACCTATGAGAGCACAGTAAGTCTACACGTGGGTGTATAAGAGGCCTATCTCGGTATCCCTGAGAATGTCGAGGTGTCCCTGTCGCATGGCTCCCCGTTCTAGAAGACTGTAACTTTTTAATTTCCAGGTTTTACCAGGCTCTGAGGTGAGAGCACGTGCTCTATTAACGTTGTAGGAATCTGCTCTCTTGGCAATGGCCAAAAAAAAGAAAAAAGAGGATTGGAAAGTACATATGTAAGGAGTTAGTCTTACCTCTGTTGATTCCAAGGGGGTTTGACCAAGACAGCCAACTTCATGGCTGTGCGGTAAGTCGATTCGCTCACGGGCAATGTGCATAATAAGACTACCACGGCCCGGGCCAACTGCAACATCTGAAACCCACCTATTCCGTATTCCATAGGTAGAAGTCCAACGATACGGATAATATTTAATAACTCATGCGGGAATTTCTCGCCTGATTGGTCCCACTCACCAGCGGCGTTCGCGTCCTGGTTCGCATCAGTCCAATTCTCCGATCTGGCCAATTTAGCCTGACTCGCAATGACCCAGCTCCGCCAAAAGGACGAACCAGTTACATCACTCTAACCCAAAGGAGGCTTTTCAGCTGTAACCTAGGAAGTTATTTCATTCCAATCGAGCCAGATCGTATGTTTTATGATATGGTGTGCCCCGACCTGGGTCTCTAAATGGATACATCCGTCTGACAGGCCAAGCTTAGCGATGCCTTCGCCACGCTGAACTCTAGGAATTCCCGGGCGTTCCGGTGGAATTCCCAACCCAAAGGTCTTTGTCCAGAAGCGGGCAAACCGAACAGTAATTGGCTAGATCATCATGGAATGGAAGGAATGCCAAGACATGGCTTCTCATTCAGCCACATGGAGACATTTTCCTTTTGGAGTTAACCACTAACCCAATAGACACAGAAGGTACTTCAACTCTCGTCTACCGAGACCGGGACCTCTCAAAACCCACGCGAACCATATCCCTAAATCGAACATTCCCATCCTTGACACCCCAAAGCGTCTCCTGGCTTGGATTGGTCCAGTCCACGTTGATTGTCTCCTGAATATCATGTTCGACAAATATAGGCTGCTTTAACGACGGATGAATCGACTCAAGGCCAATTGTTCCGGTATTATCTATTTCACTGTGATGCATCGTCGAACGATTCTTGCTCCAGACTGCAAACAATGCTCGTAACGCTGGGAGAGAAAGAGCGATGATGGCATTACTAATTTCTGTGGTAGACCACACCATTACGACAGAGAAATACCAAGTTGCGTCATCCGGGTGTTGAAGGGCGAATGGACGTTCTATACTCTGTGAGTTAACAGACCGTGATTGGGAAAGTGACAAATACTTACACAACAGCACTTAAGATATAGATATTAGCCACTCCACCTCGTTCACTGTCAACGAAGAAAAGAACAAGAGAACTTATAAAACTCCCACGAAAAGTACAAGCGCCAGGGCTAGCTTTCTTGCTAACTTTGCCTGAAGCGAGAAGACAATATTCATTGGCAACAGCAGCACAAGCGAGTCACAGATGAGAGTGAGCACAGAAGTCGGAATGAAGACGACCTGAGCCCATGCATCTACCCTCTGCGCCACCCCACAAAGCAGCGAGAGGAACGCATTGCAGAGCGACGACGAGTGTCTGCGCCACGTACACAACCGACACAAAAGCAAAAGAAATGCGAAGATAGAGGGTGAATCGCGGAATTTGGTTGAGTCGAGCATAGAGGGCGATTCTGGAGATCCGGAGATGCGGCACAGCCACATGTTGAACATCTACACAAGCTGAGCTCCAACAAGCCATTTATACATGTGCGCCAAAGGCCCCCAGGTCGCTCATCAATGCCGCAAGATGCTGACCAGAGCCATAATGGATGACCATTAATGAAAGACCCAAGACTATCCAGCTGGCCAACTATATGGATGTCGAATTCCCGTAATACGAGTGACCGGATCCTAAGTATATTTGTATTTACCTGCGCGATCATGATTGTGAGATCGTCCCATCCCAGCCTATGAATCATCCACCCCGAGCATACAGGCGAACCACAACGACGATGAATGAGAGAGTTGTCACAACGACCATGCCTACAATCGCCGGCTGGCGGCAATCCTCCGCCAAGAAGGCCGGTGAGTATTCAGGAGAGGACATGGTACAACCAATGTCCCGCCCGCAATCTTGCCCAATTTGAGCTACTCAAACTAATGGCAACCCTGATAAGGGACTACGATATTGAACAAGTGGATGCTAGAAAGGAGTGGGTATTCAAGAGCCAGTTTACGGCTATTCCGTCTGGATGGCCATGCAAGATTCAAAGACGCTCGCGCGATTAATGGAGAAAAAAAAAGGGAAAGGAAAGGAGGGAATATCACCGACGGCGCAAGCGGTCCCATAGCCTCCCCAGACCTGCCATTGGTTTCTCGACAACGACAGTGGGAATGGATTGCAGAAGGAACCCGATGGGGATAGATACTGCACCGAGAATGACTGAATATGCCCATTGATCACCAGTCAACTTCGTGATTGAGAATGCCCGCCCACCGACGAACATAATTAGAATTTGAGCGCCCGTCATGACGCAGGTGACTGCTATGAAAAGCCAGTTATGATGAATCCCTTCGATGAGGTTAAATGATCGCTCAGTTTGTCGATTGCTTTATTGGGTTAGTAAGGCAAGTTAAAGATAAAGGCCTCAACGTACTTGTACATGTTGAATATCTGCATCCAGACATAAAGTGTTGAAAATAGCAGTCTGTAACTGTGATGTTTGAAGATCACTATGATAGGAGAAGATAGAAGAGCCCGCGAAGTACAGAACGAGTGTTACTACCATCTGATACACAGATTGGCCAATGATCATCTTCCACATGGTCGGAGTAATCAGAGGTGTAGATGTTGGTTCGGGCTTGCGGTCAAGGATCCGACGAGGAGGGGGGTCGGTAGCTAGCGCCAGAGCTGCTAGAGTGTCTTGAAAGAGGTTTACCCACATGAGCTGCACTGGTGTCAAAACCGACTCCTGCGACGAGTTGGCTACCGCCGAGACAAATGCCAGGCCCACAGAGGTGAAGGTGATGGTAATTTGGAACTGGAAAAAGAATATTAGATCAACCGGCCATCTATAATTCTTGTTGATAGAACCTCTAGCTTACCTGCAAGAATTTCTTGACAGCATCGCTGACTGCTCTTCCCCACATGATAGCCTTGACAATAGAAGAAAATGTATCGTCCATCAGGACAATAGAGGAAGCCTCACGAGCAATTTCGGTCCCAGATATTCCCATCGAGAACCCAATATCAGCAGCTGCCAGGGCAGGGGCATCGTTGGTACCGTCGCCAGTAACAGCAACAACTCTCCCAAGATCCCTCAGACGCTGGACCAGAACCCGCTTATCATCCGGCCGAGATCGAGCAAGAACCTTGAGGTGCGGAACTATCTCCTTCTGCTGTGATTCATTTAGCGCACGAAATTTATCGCCTTCCATCACAAGATCATCTGGACCATTGATGATACCACATTCTTCAGCGATCGCTCTTGCCGTTAGAAGGTTGTCACCGGTAACCATGCGCACAGTGAGACCTGCTTTATGGCTGGTATCTACAGCACCCCAAGCATCGGCCCGTAGAGGGTCTTGTAGACCCAGAATTCCTTGAAATGTAAGCTCTTTCATCAGCTTCTCGAAGTCGACAGTTCCATCCTCGTCCCTGTAAGGTAAATCCTCCACATCACGGAAACAGATTGCAATTGTGCGCAAGGATTGCGAGGAGTACTGAGCAATTTTGTGGCGTATTTGTTCAATGCCATCCTCCGTGGTTGAAGTAGTACCAAGCCCTTGCATCGGCTGTGCAATTGTGGCCACACATTTCCCAAGGAGAATCTCAGGAGCACCCTTCACGTATAATCGATATAACCCGCTGGCTAGTTTGACAACTGTGATCATGTATTTGCGAGAAGCATCAAAAGGCAAAAGGTCCACAATTTCCGCGCTGGCACGATCAAAGTCAACCTGACCTAGTTCGAGATAGTCCTGGGAGAATCTCAGTAAGGCGGCCTCTGTTTGGGACCCAAGAAACTGCCGACCTCCAGCATATTGACTTTCAATGGCTGTCGAGTTGATCGCAATAGATTGCCTCAGAAGCGACCTCGATTGACCCGAGAGCCGGCTGATGCATTTTGCCACTGACGAGGAATTTTCTTCACCCGCAATGTCTGGGCTGCTAGCTCGATCAGTAAATTGTGAGGTAGCACCAAAGAAACCCGAGACAACAGTCATTTCATTCTGTGTCAACGTTCCCGTCTTGTCTGAACAGATATCCGTGGCTTGTCCCATAGTTTCGCATGCTCGGAGCTGTCGAACCAAGTTATTGTCTCTCATCATTCGAGTAGTAGCAAATGACAACGCAAGTGTAACCGCCAAGGGAAGCCCTTCAGGGACTGCGATCACAACAACAGTCAAGGCCAGTATGAAGACATTCAAAAAAGATTGTCCCTTTTCCGAGGCGGATTCGATGCTATTCCGAAGGCCTACACAGAACTTGATGAACAAGATTACAAACAGCATAAGTGCCGCAAGTGCACCAAAGCGGGCGATGTTCTTTGCGAGATTGCTGAGCCGTACTTGAAGCGGAGTGAACCCTGGGTCGGTGTTGAGAGAGAGGAGGATTCTTCCGTAGCTTGATTTTGTGCCTGTGGCCAAGACAAGATATTCACCGACACCTTCCACGATCTTGGTATGAGAGAGGATGAAAGGGTCGATCTCAGGAGAGCTATCAGGACAAGTTGTATCGATAGTGCTCTTATCGACCGGGTCGGACTCGCCAGTTGCTGAGGACTCATCGCATTTGACCTGATGACCCCTTATCAACACGCCATCAGCAGGCACAATATCTCCAGGACTGATGTTGACGATATCACCAACAAGAACCTCGGAGATGGGAACCTCATGAATCCTCGCGGATCGAAGGACCCAGACATTGCGATCTTGCTGCTTTTTATTGAGTTTCCGGAACTTATACTCCTTTTGATAGTCGTTCGCGGCACCGGCGAGAGTAATGACGATGATAGCGACGAGGATGGCAACGCCCTCCACCCATTCAACGGGCGGGCCGTTACGAGCATGCTTGCTTCCGAATGTTTGGTACAGCCCCAAAGCAAGCGAGATAATAGCAGCCCCAGTTAGAAGGAACAGGACATGATCGTTGTAGGCTGCCCACATCAATGACAGAAAGCTCGGGGATGGTTTTATGGGTAGGCGATTGTCCCCGAAGAATTTCCTTCTGTCGACGAATGCATCGTAACCAAGATCTATCGAGACAGGGGGCTCAGAGATAGCGATCTTTTCTGTCGGCGCAGTGCTTGTAGTACTCGCTGTGACATTCACAGGAACACCCAGGTAGGTCTCGTCCAGGCTCAGACCGGAGTGGACGTCGGTTCGCAGTCCTTCCTCCAAACCTTTTACCCCGCCGAGGGCATAGAACCCCTGGACATCTTTGGATTGTACAAGATCGCCTAACGCGTCAGGATCCAGGGAAAAAATCGAAGAAGTCCATTGGGTGGACTGTTCCGTGGCACGTTTTGATCGCGGGTTCTTCTGAGTACCGTCAGTCAGACGCATTTTCAGTCCTCGCCATCGTTGAACTTACTATTCGCAACCAAAAAGAAGATACGCGAGAACCATTGGCTCCCAAAGTCGGCGTCATTTCATGGAAAATGTCATTGGGGGGAATCAGATGGATAAAATCAGAAAGGAGGTGCACATGTGCTTTTGATGAAATACGAATACGGGTAAAAAAAGGAAGGAACTGTAAAATACCACTTGGCGTATCTTGGGAGGATTTGAAGATACATAGAATATGAGGCAGGATAGCAGTACGTATTATAACCATATGTATGATTGACTCAGACGGAGATTATTCTGCTTCAATCCAGTATACTTTTGCAAGAGATATATATCCGTTTGGGTCTGGAACACACGCCACCTTGCTACTCTGTACATTCTAGGGTATTAATCAATAAAAATCGGGTTCATTCACTCGGTCATTAATATGAGGCTTCCTCGTTAGTTCTTCTGACTAGTCATGCCGCTATTCTACCAGTGCCTATCATAATTAGCCATGCGAGGACGCCCGCGCGAGATATGCAGCTTAACAAACAACCAAAGTCCACCAGAGCAGGCAACTGAGTTTCTCATAAAGCTATACTGTCTATTGTATTCCCACAAAGCAAACCCAGAGATCACGCGGGAAGATTGTTGACAGTCCAAAGTCTTGGGAAGGAGGCTGTGCAAGACTAAAGACCATGTTAATGCCCGAGGCTTACTGCCCCCCTGACCAAAGTGGTTCAAAAGAGGTGCGTCGGGGCCAACAAAACTTTAGAAATGAACCCAGAACCCAGAAAAAAAACTGATTGGGAATGGCTAACACTGGCAAACACTGGCTAGATACAGACTAACGATGCTGGCAATATTCCACAACGCCTCTCCACATTCAAAGAAAGTCTAATTCAACGTACGCTGTGAATTCTGATCCGCCGCCTCTACCCACGCTACTCTCCTCAGATCGTCCAGCGCCGCCACGGTATCTGGGTGGTCCGTTCCAAAAGCCTTTTCTCTGCGAGAATACACTGTTTCGGCCATTCCACCGGCGACGTCCCACTTGCTTTGCGATTGGTATATAAAGCCCAGATTGGCCATCGCGCTGAGTGTGTGTGGGTGGTCTTTACCTATCGTCTCTTCCATCAAACGCAGAGAGCGGGCGGCCAGGATTTCGGCATCTGGTGACTGCCTCATCGTTTGGTATGTTACCGCAAGATCCGCCATGGCAACCAGTGTATGTGGATGACGTTCCCCGAGGACTTCTTTCATGACGGCTGTTGCTTTCCCACCGAGGTCTTTGGCTTCTTCGAGCCGACCTTGATTTCGATATGTTGAGGCAAGGTTGCTGATGGACATCAGAGTTTGGGGGTGCGTTTCGCCGAGCACGGTCTCGCTGATAGCCACGGCTTCTTTTTCAAGACGCTCAGCATCCGACCATCGGCCTTGTTCGCGGTATGTGGAGGCAAGGTTGGCCATAGAAGTCAAGGTGAAGGGATTATTCGTCCCGAGTATTTCCCGACTAACAGCGACAACCTCTCGTTCTAGTTTTTCAGCGGAGTCTAGCCTCCCCTGGTCTCGATAGGTCGATGCCAGAGTGAGTTTCCAGTTTAACAGCGAAGGATCGGTTGGAGGTAATTCCCTTTCCCCAAGATTGACCAGTTGGCGCGCAATTGACTCGGCCTCCTCATACCGACCGAGGTGGGCATATGATATAGCCAGATTAGACATGGAGCCCAAGGTGGATGGATGACTGGGACCGAGAGTCTTCTTCTTCATCTCAAAAATCCTCGAATCGAGTTTCTGAGCCTTGCCCCAAAGCCCTTGACTCCGATATGTGGACGCTAAATTCGTCATTGAAGTCAACGTCTGGGGATGCTCCTCGCCGAGGATCTTCTGTCTCAACTTGGTCACCCGGGAAGCGAGAGCAGCTGCCTGATCCAGCTGCCCTCGGCCCCAATATGCCGAAGCGAGATTGTGCATCGCTGTCATAGTCATTAAATCTTGCTCTCCCTTCAGGTTCTCGCAGGCGTCCAGCACCAGAGTGCCCTGATCTTCGGCAACAATCCATGATTTGGCCTGGAGCCATGTCTTCACACATGCGGCTAGCTCTTCGAGTATTATCGTCATTGCGTCAGAACCCGCATCTTTGCCGAGTAGCCGATTCCCCGCTGTCGTCATAGCCGACTCCAGGTCTGTTGCTTCGGTTGTCCAGCCTCGGCCATGATATGTGGCTGTGACTTCACTGACCTCCCTCTGGAGCGACTCGAGGGAGGGAGGGAGTTTGTCCATAGATCACAGGCAGGGCAGCAAGGATCATTGAACTCCGGGGTAGGTTGTTGTTTGTTTGTGTGGATGATCTGATAGGCGTGTTCTTAATCACTTACCCGTGTCGGATAATCTTCTGGGCTGTCAATAGATGTGATTGATCGTGATGAGGAGACTGCGCGACCGGCATGCGACTCTTTCAGAGGAAGATAATAATTGTGAGCCGCGAACGCATTGCCAAGGTGGGTGTGGGGGGAACGCGAATGCACCAATTAATGCACCGATTAATGACAATACAGAGCGGAGAGGGGTCAATGGAGACTTGTGTTCCCCGAGTAATAATTCGTGTAAATTAAGATGATCGTCATGCCACATAGTATGTCATATTTATAGCTCAACTCTGCAAGATATCCTGTAATGAGACAAATATGAGAAATGCTGTTGCCTGGAAAGCTGGATACTGTATTTACACACATCTTGCAAGTATAAAACGGCTAAATGCCGGCTCAGCCCTATCCCCCTTCCCCAGTGGAGATGACACACGCCTGTTTGGCGCTAGTAATAGGGCTGTAACTTTAATTACCTAGGTAGGGCTGAAAGTTACATATGTACCTAGGTACTAGTACCCGTATCTGTACCGTGGTAACATTAGAAACACCCCGTTCCAAGGTTTCCCCAGTCCTTTCAAGGTTGGGTCGCTCTCACTTAAGCTTCAACACTCGAACCTTGAGAAACTTTGTCCAGATTCACCATGCTGTCTCGCCGAGACACGCAGCCAGAGTCCTGTGGGCCAGAATCCAGTCATCACCATCAGCAGGAAATCCATGACGAAGATATAGACCCTTGGACTCGCATCCAGAGGTTCTTCAAGATTCCATCGCAAACAGGACTGAAAGAACTGAATATCAATTATGGATGGCCAGTAATGGTGCTGTTACCTCTGGCCGGGCTTGCAAAGATATTTCATTGGAACCCGACCATAGTCCTCGTGGTGAATATCGTCGCCATTATCTTCCTGTCCGAGTCGATATCTATTTCATCCGATGAACTCGCTGCGCATCTCGGCGAGCTGCAAGGCGCACTACTCAGTGCCACATTCGGGAATACCGTAGAGCTCACGGTGAGTCAAAATTATTGCCCCAAATATCTTACAAAAATGCTCACTCAGCCTAGGCAGGCATTCTCGCTCTGGTTCACGGCGAGATCCCATTCGCACAATCTGTCATGGTTGGCAGTATTCTCTCGGATATTCTGCTCGTAAGCTCTCACATTTATGAAAGTTCCACTGGTCGCGATATCACCCGACTGACAACCACATCTAGGTCTTCGGCTGTTGCCTCGTCACAGCTTCGTACAACAAGGAGGTTTTAGAGTTTAACAGCGCTCTTGCAAAGACCTTGTCCTCTTTGATGATGATCACTGCCGTGACAATGCTTCTCCCAACGGCTCTCTACTCGACTTTCCCAGTATCCGAGATTGATGACAGAGTGCTATCCTTCTCACGAGGAACGTCATTAGTGCTCCTCGTGCTCTATGGAGCTTACCTCTACTTTTATCTCGGGACGCACAAACACCTTTTCCTGTCAAATGAGAGCGAAGCTGGTGACGATGAAAATAACGGAGATTCATCATCCACTCCCAGCAAAGGCAGCTTAGCTTCGTCAATTATCCGATTGACAACAGCCGTGGCCGCAACGGTCTTTTGCACAGAACTCCTGCTTGAAAGCGTTGAAGACATGGCGCAAACGCTCGGCGTCTCTGAAGTATTTATCGCGATCGTTTTTATTCCAATTGCTAGCAATAGCACCGAGGGGGTTACTGTCATTGCCGCATCTCGTACAGGAGACACAGACTCTGCAATCCGGGTTATCATCGACAGTCTCTTGCAGATTGGTCTGTTTGTCATACCATTCTTGGTGATTATCGGCTGGTGCATTGCTGTACCGATGACTCTTTTCTTTGACTCGTTCCAGACTGTTGCCATGTTTTCGGCCATTCTGGTGGTTAACCATCTACTTCGTGATGGACAGTACGCTTACATCCATGGTGCCATGCTCCTTTCTCTGTAGGTTTCCCCCGGTGCCTTACTGAGTTCTGAGGATACTTTTACTGATACATATTATAGGTATTCTAGTCTAGTAGTGGCATTCTACGCACGCTAGATAGCTCAAGGGCTTTGACGGCTCAGTACATCGTTAGGTGATATTCCAAATAACGGATAATGCGATATATCAGGACTGGACGAATCTAAACACCTAGGTAAATTACATTCATCGGCACCTCAGGCCTAACAAAGAACGAGAACGCAATGATTATGTATCTATTAAAAGAAAGCAAAGTCAGTATTGAAGAGCAATATCCCCAACAAAGCAGTGCGAGCGACTCACGTTCCAATCAACATCAACCCCTCGAAGTAATTACTCCGCCCGTCAGAAATAAGATAAGTCATAACCACAACACCAAGCAAAAGTGTCGTAGCCTCAAACCCATCAAATCTAAGAATAAGCGGCTGATCAAAAGCCCAACCAACGAGGACCAACAGCGGAGCAATAAGCATCGTAACGCGCAACACATTGTTAATAACCGCCCTGATCCCAAGCTCGATCTGGTTGTAAGACCGAGACCCGACAACAACTGAGCGGTACTTGACCGAGTTCCCGAGAAGAGGAACAAGTGTCACGGCAAGGAAAGATTGGTTCATACCCGTAATCGCAGCAACCCCGCTCAAACTGCTGACTGTGTAATAAGTGCATGCAAGAGCAGAAGCGGACGCAGCTGCCAGGATTATAGCTACCGGGCCCTTGCCGATATACGACTGCGGGATTTGGGCCTCGATTATTTGGCTCTGGCGAGACTGGTGGCCGCTACGGGCTTGGTCTCGCTGGCTGAACGGGGTGCTGGCGAACATGGCTGCATGGGTGCCGAGGCGGAAGATGAGGAAGGTGAGGAGCAAAACAACGAGGACAATGGCTGTTATACGTTGGACGAAAAGGATCTGGTCTTCTGGGGTGGCCTTGGCGGATGGGAAGACGTCCATTATGGTTGGCAGGGCGAGGAGGATGAAGACGACCATCATGAGGGACGAGAGGACTGTTGTGAGGGTGCGATCAAATCGGAGTCGCTTTTGGTCATAGCCTGAGACGAAGATTGTGCCGCCGAGGACCTATAGGTATACATTGTATCAGGAGGATGTTCATAGCATCAGTGGTTGGATTTGATACTGGGATTTACCAGTAGTAAATTGCTTAAGACACTTCCAAGTATCACGGACTGAGCGATTTGAGGTCGCTTTTGCACGATCGCATTGATTCCAATCTGGATAAATGGTCAGCCTATGTTTGAATGAAAGACCGAGTCCCTCCAGGGCTGGATATCACCATTAATTCCACCGAATTTCCTAGTGTTGATTTCAGCACTTCATTGACAACTCGGCTGCGACCTACGGCCAGCGCATCGACCGATCGGTTAATCCATAATCCAAGTGGAATCACAGCGACGATATTGAGAGCGAAGATAGCAGCACTGTTCCACTTCAGGGCTCCTGCTGTGATACCGATAAGAGGCATCGAGAGGGATAAGACGCCCAGGTGGTGCTGGATCCGTGCCATGATAGAATTGCAATACAGCATAGATGAACCTCGATCGGGCGACATGACCCATAGAGGTAAAGGGTGAAGCTGAGAGGATTCACCCGTCTCTAAAAAATCCAGGTCAATAAATGAGGCTGTATGACCGTAACATTTCCATACAGTACATACCGTCACATCTGTAATTAAAATGTAATTGAGCCAAACACGTATTTTATCTGCACGGCTCTTTAAGCAGAACAATCCCACTCTGTACGCAATCCACCAGTTACATACACTAATGCGCAGATGCCTAGGGCCGAGTGATAGTGGAGTAATACATCATCCCCTTGATCCTCGCCCGATGATTCTCCGTTTCTTTCCTCACTCTTTTGAAAATGAATAACACAGCTAACCCCCGACTGCGAAAGCCAAGCAGGATTGACCCTGAAACCATGGCCGGGTCGCTCGACGCAAACGCGACAACCCATGAACAAGATGCATTGCTCAGAGACGAGATTGAACGCGAAAGAAACGCGGAGGAATCTGCAGAGTTGCGTGACACAAACTACCCCGACTCGAAGCGCGCTTTGTTCCTAGGCAACTCTGTTATGCGTGTGCTCAAGATTACCCTAGGATGCAGCTACTCCAATCTTCTACTGCCCTTTGTGTTTCTGGGTATAATTGGGGGAAGCTCTAGGATGGGACGACTCAATTTGCTTCGTGTTCAATTTCCTGGCGATTCTTCCTCTAGCCGCGTTGCTGTCGTTCGCCACAGAGGAATTGGCAAAAAGCGTCGGGCAAACCGTTGGAGGGCTAATCAATGCCACATTTGGAAACGCAGTTGAAATGATTGTAAGTGGCTGGATGTTTGACCCTCTGCTAAGGTGGAAACTAACATCGGTCATTGCACAGGTGGGGATCACTGCGGTCCGGCAGGGGGAAATCAGTATTGTGCAGTCTAGTATGGTAGGCAGCATCCTATCGGGCAACCTTCTGGTAGGTTTTCTTGATGCATACTCGCTACCTAGGTGGCCTTGTCTACTTACGCGAAATTTAGATCCTCGGTGTTTCATTGTTCTGCGGCGGCTATGCAAAAGATGTGGTAAAATGCAACGTGGATGTTAGCGGGATACTGTCATCCTTGATGGTGGTCTCCTCTGCAACATTGATCATTCCATCAGTGCTCTATTCAACCATACCATCCAAGTCCCACGAGGTGGAAGCCAGCGTCCTGAGTCTTTCCCGCGCTGCCTCTGTGGTCCTACTCACGTTCTACCTGGTCTACCTCTACTTCCAACTGAAGAGTCACTCCGAGCTCTTCGTCGACGATAAACAAGAAGAGGAAGAAGAGCGAGTTCTGGGTCCCTGGTCGGCAAGCATCATTTTGATCCTTGCAACTCTTGGGGTCACTGTCTGCTCTGATTGCCTGGTGGACAGCGTCGATGGCTTTGTAGACAAGTGGAATGTGAGCCGGGCTTTTATTGGCTTGATCGTGGTCCCCATTGTCGGTAACGCGGGAGAATTCAATACTGTCATCAATTCTTCAATCAAGGGGAATATGGACCTCGCGATTGGTGTGATTGTGGGAAGCACGTTGCAAATCGCGTTATTTGTGAGTCCATTCCTGGTAATGTGTGGCTGGATTATTGGGCAGCCCATGTCCTTGCGCTACAGTCCCTTTGAAACTGTGGTATTCTTCCTATCGGTAATAGTCATGGACTGCTTGATTCGCGGAGGTCGATCCAATTACTACGAAGGGTTATTATTGGTTGGAACGTGAGTGATCATATGAGTGTTCTGGCTGTCTGCGGTACTAATGACTTCTCTTAGGTATCTGATAATCGCAATTGCATTCTACGTGCACCCAGATGCGGTCGATGCACCCTTTGTTTAAAATAGTGCAGGGTGGCTACGATTAATTATCCCTTAGATACATTAAGTTCCGACAACATACGAAATCTAGGTTCCTAACGAGCACTCGGTAATCATTCAACATGTAAAGGCAGTACTATATTTAGGACCAAAGGCAAGGATCGCCATCAATGGTGGAGTCGCCTCGTAGGGCTGAGACTTGGCGCTGTGACGAGATGAAGGCATCAATTTTAATTAAATCCCTCTGATCAAGTCAATTAACTCGACTTCTATGACGTTCTCATGGAGACTGAGGGAGGCCTCCAAAGTTGACTGCCTCAAACTCCTTCAATCTTCGTCCAGAGATCCTATTTTAAACAATATACCTCTAACTTGAGCACAACATAGATATACGTAAGTAATAGAATCATTATTCACATATAGTATAGTATATTACCGGCTAACCGGACAAGGTGAAAGGACCAGGCAGCAGAATTCCGCTCAATTCCCTGTTTTCCTTTCTCATCCTCTTGTTCCCCGCTACTATTGAGTTATCTTCTGTATACAATATAGTATTTAGAGTCAAATAACTATTGCTTGCACAGTGGCTGTTCCAAGTCACACAGCATACACACCAGCTCAAACAGATCCATTTATAGAGCTACGTAACAAGGCATGCCTTCGAAGAAATGCCCAAGCTTCGGTCATGTACGATCAATCACAGTTGCAGCGGCTAATGTAGACTAATAAAGTCTGTCTCTATTAGGAAATGTAGTGACCGGCCTTGTGATTCCATGTCAAATTTAGTACACTCACAGACTGGTCACCAACCAAATATCGCCATTTAGCGCTGCGCCATGCTCTATGTTTATGTAGTTTGCGCCCATGCCCTGTTGATACGACATGGCCTAGTCACACAAAGCCAGGGCGTTGAGCAGATCGGGGTATAAAAGTTCCCTCAATTCGCCCATCCAAGGTGTATCCTCCCCCAAGTACCTTTCTACATCATAATTCTCATTGTAGTCACTTTTTATGTGGTACCAGTCTCTGCCGCCTATCCCTATACACCAGTCCTTCTCATCATGGGTCTTTTGAAACTCTTGCTCAAAGCGATCCTCATCCCAATTGTTGTCCTCGTCGTCATCACGGTTGTTATTGTCCTTCTCATTAAAATGCGTCGTGATCGCAAAAAGAAGGAAAAGGAACTGGAGGGATCGTTCCAGCCTCCTCCTATACAGCAATGGGTGCCGTACACCCCGGTCCAGCAACCAGCCCCGGCATATGCCAAAACACCGGGGGCGATGGAGCAGGGAATTGGAACTAGGCAGCCTTAGTGTATATTTTCTGTTTGGGTAAGTATGCCTTCCAGTGGGGAATTTAGGGATCATCTTTGCTAATCGCGGGGTGCTGTAGACTGTTTCACTATGGGTAGGAAGGTCTATTTTTGTAATTTTGCCGAGGACTTGGTGTCAATTGTCAATTGTTTTCATGGAAGATTTGTCTGTTAATGCAGACTAAGGGCTGGTACAATGCAGTCATTGGCAGTCATTGCATATGTATCAGTGCCCCTATTTCATATTACTGAAACTTGTACTACCCAAAACTTAGGGTGTTTTCTAGATCGGAGTTTAGGTATTAGGCGTACGAATGTACTCAGACATTTTTAAGGCATTTCCCCATGCTACTTTTATGCCCGCACTGGCGTTCTACTTGGTGACCCGGACCTAAGCGTTCCATATAAAAGCGCCGGCCAGATAGGAAAGGCCCGGCAGACATTATCCTTTACGAGATATAGGTAGATTATGGTTTTACAGATAATACAACCAAAGCATGGGCGAGGAATGTTTTCATGTGATCATTATTGGCAAATCGCAGAACTGAAGTACATTGACATGAAAGTAGAGAGTCGAGCGATCCTAACGAAAGACATTGAAACCGCAGAAGAGCAGAGTTGATCTCAATCTAATCCAACATAACCAAGGGACATCCCGAGGTACATAAGGATTGCAGGTCACCACAACTGTCTGATCCTAAGAACTTCAGGCCCTCAAGGTGCAGGTAATACCCAAATCCATGACGAGAAACAAGCCATACCGTAGTCTGGCAATTTTAAAAGGAGACTTGTTCGATGGTGTCGCGACGCAGGACCTCAGCGTCTTCCGGCAATAAAAATCCTGCTTCAATCTGTCGATCGATGGCTTCTCCCGCCTGACGTCGATAGTTTTCCACCGTTTTGTAGACAGCCCACAGATTGACATCTTTGAAAGGGACCTCGGTGCCTTTCAATTATAACCAGGTTAAAACAATTAAAAGAAACTCGCGGACATGAGAGACTTACCAGTGTGCCAATGCGGATGTGGCTGAGGGGTAACATCAATGATTTTGGCAGTAGGCACGTCTGTATGAACAGTTCTGACCCCAGCAAGCGCATTTCCATACTCATCTCGCTCAATATCCCCGAAATTGTCGATCTCAATTGTGGTACCTCGCGGAGGAGCAACACCGGTCGTAATCCAGTTGTTCATAGCATCGAAGAGAGCGTGATAAACGAAAGAATTGGCGAAGGTGGTCCATTGGGCACCTTCCAGGTCAACAACCGACAAACGCTTCTTATCGGCCATGGAGAGGTATCGAGTCTCGCGATGAGACATACCGGCAACTTCGTAGAGCCGGAATGACGGGCTATCGGGACGGCGATGGGGAGGCGCTTCACTTCCGCCGTAGAGGGCCTTTATGTAAACGAGCTCGAATTCACCTAGAATCTCAATTATCTTTGCATCGCGCAAGTCTGGAAGTGGGTTGCCAGCATCGCATTGGCACGGCATGAATCCCTGAAATGGGGCGTATCCGTCAGGAAGTCGGAGATGACGAGATTCGACGATGAACTTCCTTATCAAGTCTGCAGTCTGGGAAAGACCAGCCAGTACAACGCGGTCAGCCTTGATACCCAGCTGTCCCGATCTCAAAGCATGTGATGCAGCAACAAGTATCTCCGGAGACTGCAGAGTTGCAGCCCACCATCTTTCCTTGAAGATCCGGTAATTATCCCACAGCGCTTCTGAATTAGCAAAGGAGGGGATGTTGCTGGAAAACTCCTCTAAGGTCCGACAGGGGATAAAGTGCATATCTCTGTAGCGTTCGGGATCAACGTTTTTGATCTGGTCGATTGCCGCGGGAGCCTGTGAATCAATTTCCAGCCAGGCATGTCCTTTCGACTATTAGCCTAGAAATTGGTCAAACTAGAATGAACGACAACCCACCGTTACGCATCAGCCACCGATTAATGAGACGCCAAATGGTTGTTCCACCCCATAGGTGAGATGGTTCCGCGACGACAAGACCGGAAAATTTGTCAGGATCAGCAGGGCAACGAAGAAGAAGACGCGTGCAGTATGAATTTGCAACGGCGACGCCGTTCATTAGATATTCCCGGGAGACATAGTCATACACAGGAAGCAAGTCACTATGATGGAGGTCGTATGTTACGGGCTTGGAAGTTTCAGTTTCAGGCAGGAAGGAGACACTTGGCTTCACGACCCGCACGTGCATGTCGCGTTCTTCTTCAAATGACATCTTGACTGGCGTGCTCTGTTCGTCCAAGTTATGCTAAGGTTGTTATTTGTCAGTTCCCGAGTCCAAGATGGAGCCCAGGCGACACTCGGCAGGTGTGATACGTAGAAGGGACTCACGAACTAGGGCCAATGGAGACACGTGACGAAATAAAAATCGTGGTTGAGCCAAGGCTGCGTTGGCTTTACCTGAGTAGGCCGGCGTTGTAGAGACGAAGGGAACACCGAAAGAGGAAGAGAGAAGTGGAAGAGGAAAGGAGAGAAAAAACAAACAAACTCTGAATTTGTCGAAGAAGAAAGGTGGGAAGGTGATGGGTTGGAAGCTGCGACAAACAAAAAGATAGACGCTTCTGAAAACAGACACACACAAAAGACCAGAGATAAGGGTATACCTATATTCATCATAATCGCGATCTAAACCAAACCGGAAAATAGAAAGAAACCACATCAAGCATGTTCAAGACCTGGATTAGCTCGAAGTCTGAAAAAAGATCTGTAAAGTCTACAGCAACTCGAAGACATCCAACTCCCAGAACCACTGTGCAATACCCATAGCCCCGATACTCATAGTTGCAGCCATGAGGAGATTGACACCATTGTTGTCTAACCAGTCATGACCAGTTTCAAGACGACGACTCTCTCGACTTTCCTCAACGACGTTCGTCACCTGGGTGCCATGGATTGCAGCGTTATGTATGCTACCGGTTGTTCTAGCAGTGCTATCAGCAGGAACAACCGGCTTTCCTGTGGAAGGGTGAATGAGAACCTAGAAAACTGGGTTAGAGCTGTGTGCACACTGGCCAAGGACATGTAGTCGTGAACTCACCTTCCTACCACCGCTCCCCTCTACAACCTTCCCAGTTCTCTTATCAACAACACTGGCCTGCAAAAGCCCACCAAGAACACTGTCAAGAACACTGCCCAATGCACCCCAAATAGTCATAGCTATGGTCCACAGAGCCCGATCCTTCAAGCCGGCACTGGCGCAGAACGGAAGAACTGCAGCAGACGTCGCAGAAACAATGAATGATCCCAGAAGACCAGCCCCAAGACCAGTCGCGGTAACACCACCATTTGTACCGGGGGGGAACTTCACGGAGATTCAGTGAGGTAATCAGGCGGGGTTTAGATTTCGAAAGAATGCCGAGCTCGGAGGAGAAGGTGTCTGCAGCGACAGCGGCGTAGTTTCTGCGAAGAGGAACCTATTAGTTATATGCTCTAGAACAGACAGTCAAGGTATGGAATGTGAACTTGAGTGACATACGCTACAATACCAACCATCAAGATATCAGCCGCATTCTGACCGAGCGAGAAACACGATTCGGTGTTTGTTGTTTTGCCCAGGACAACCGCATGAGCGATCGATAATACGGTAGCGACAACGGAGTTCGCCAGGACTTGAATATGGTTCCGGGAGCCTTCGCCGCCTTCCGCACCGGTTGCAGAGAGGGTCAAACGCGACTTAATCTCATGTTTTACCTGTGATTGCGATCCTGTAAGCTGCGGCCATAACATAGATGCAGGTTGAAGATTGGATGGTTTACAGCTTCGCTCCACATATGGGTAGCTCCGTACCTTTGTAACCTTAGTACCGCCAAAATAGAATACCGCAAGGAGTGCGACTGGCGCCGACCATGGATGGAGGGCGTGCGCGGAGGCTGAACATCCCGCAACAACCAGGCCGAGCGGGGTAAGGGATTTGCGCGACCAAGCTCGATAGACAAGTCCAACAACGAGGGGTATGCCTATATAGGGCTTCATTTTGCTTGTCTTGTAATCTCGAGCACCGTCTTGTTGGGATAGATGGTGGTTGAGGTTGAAGAGGTGTAGCTGAAGAGGATCGGAGCTTGGGTGGAGTCCGAAATAAGCATCATCACATGATATGAATTCCACTTTTATACAGCTGAAGAACAGCAAAAACAAGAATGTACCAAATAGAAGTTACAGGTTTGTATGGCTCAATATTATGGGCATTGACACATTGGTCTGCTGATGGATGAACTCTTCCTGACATCTTAATACATATGGATATAGGTTTTTCAAGGAGGAATATAGAAAAGGAAAATTAATACGTTCCATCTGAAGCATATTACAAAACCATCAAAATCAACATTTTAAATACGTATGGTATGTGCCGAGTCAATATATAGACACCAAGAGATTGTGCGCCTTTTCGCTCCTCGGGGTATGTCCAAAATCCAGGAAGTATAGTATACAGGGCGCAAATCGAAACAAAAACAAAAACAAAGGAAACGCTAACGGTAACGGTAACAAGTCCAAAAGCAAGACGGTGAGTGGAAGCCGCACGAAGCTCGGCATATACTAGGCAGTCTTGCTAAAGCGCGAGGCCGCTGCCGTCGCCGCTCCAGCGGTAAAGGCCTAGCACCTCGCGCCTGCGTGACTGCTGCTCGCCGAAGTCTTCCGGTACACGGCCGCGGACTTGAGCCAGCGCCGAGCGCATCACCTTTCGGAATGTTCGCTACAGGATATTAGCTTCTGTAAATGTCGAGGCTTGGTCATGGGTAAATCTTACCTGATATTCAGTGTTCAAAGTCACGACGCAGGCCTCATGCGCTCGCACGATCGTTTCACAGGCCCGAACAACACTAGGGCTGGCATCTCCTTGCAATTTATCCGCAGTCAAGAGTAGCAAGAAGCTACCTTGCAAAAGATATATGCCAAAGAAGAAGGGCATGAAGCTTAGATCAGGGTCGTATTCCAAAATGTCCGAGGCCGCCTCAGCCGAACTGACTGCATGGCCCATGGCAGTGATAAACGACTCAGAAGAGATCCAGAGATCGTTATCGTCGAGCAAGTTGATCGGGTCCCACTTCCCAGCCAGCAGAACGTGGAGTACATGCATAATATGGGTGCCATAGGCAACCACCATCCTCGTGTGCACGATGGACTCGCTGACATGCGATCCTACCGTGCTACTAGACCGACCAGACGGGCTGACGTGGTTGATGTTGGAACCTTCCATGGCTGTGTCAGCGTCGCCGGTTCCGAGGGCGATAGAGCTGGTATATCGAGCCTCGAATTCTTTCAGGCTCTGGGCGTAGACATCGAGCTGACGGCGGATTTCCATGGCCTGACTTTCCCACTCACCGCTGTTGCGGAAATGGAGACCGAAGCGCGGGTGATTGCGGGCATGTTGTAGGTCCACAATCTCACCCAGTATTGACATCAGGGGTAAGAAATATCCAAACATGCTATGGCCAGTGCATTCAGAGGATGGGCCGGCACGGCGGTAGTTGACAGATGAAAAATCGCCCGCCTGCCAAATATCATCGTTCATCGGCTGTAACAATCCCTCGCACTCTTTATCCAACAACGTCAAGGGTCGATTGTAACAAAGCGCCAGATGGCGATCTGTCGCATATAATAGCCACCAAATCCGCCGGCGCTCCTCACGTTCTTCCTCTGTGAGATTGATCGCAGAGTTGCCTGGGCCGTGGCCCAGTAAAGAGGACGGCTGCCTCTTATTGCCATTCACATCCATGTCCCCTTCGCCCTCCATTTCGCCGTCTTGACGGGTCGTCGCATTAGGGGGGTAATTCGCGGCCTAGCTTCAGCTCTCGTGCGAGAGACCAGGCAGCTGTCCACCATCGCATACTTGCGGCCTTATATTCGCTGGCAGAGACGACAGTCGCTAAGTGAACATACGTAGCGACGTCATCAACTGCCCCAGTGGCACTACTCTGAGCACCCAATTGATCCATGGAGACCCCAAAGCCACCAAGAGCCACTCCGTTATTTACCATATTAGCGGGATAGTTGGGAGATGCCTCTCCAGTGGCGGGACCATGGATAAGAGGCCGGAGTAAGCCAATCGTCAACTCCAGAAGCTTCTGGCAGACTCGGCCTCGAGCTGAAGGGGGGTGATGTCAAAAACGCAGCCTCGCTCGTTTGAGCCCCGACCCACAGCATGCTGGCGAGAAGCCCAGGGGTGCACGCTCGCGGCTTTGTGGGGTGTAGGAAAGATTGCTTGCGGAAGACATATCCAACCACATATGGTGATGACGGAGAAAGATGCGAGGACGATGAGCTGGTGAAATAGACGTCAAGGAGATCGCAGGCGAGAGATTGAGGGATTATGGATATGATGTGCGAAAGAACTGGTTGCAAGACCGGGTATCTTAATGAGCTGGAGAAAGGAGGCATGCTGAAGGAAGGGAAGTTTGCGGGTGATGGGGAAGGGAGTGGTAACCAGCTAGGTGACTGCGCTGGAGGAGAGAATCCCATAAAAGAAGTCGATGGATTCTCCGTCGTGTTTCCAATACGGAAGTGGTTCATGGAACTCGGATTCGGGTCTTGCGCATTCATCAAAGGGTATGCGCCATCATTATACCCTGAACCGAACCCTTGAGGATGGAGCATTGAACCCGGCGATCGAGGGTTCCCATTCGAGTTCTGCATCATTTGTATAGAGCGCATATCCGGCACGGACATCGAGGGTCGGTGGGGTTCTTGGAGCGCTGCGTAATTATTGAATGAGATGCCCGCGATGCTGGAACTCATCTGCTGCTGAGAAGGTGCTTGTACAGGCGCCTGATTTTGCCGCATGGCAGATAAGCCGGCCACCTCTGCATTATGCGACCGAGATTGTGCGCGTTCGGTTAGAGTCCGCGCTGCGTCAAAGGCGCGATCGTAATGTTCGTTCGATTCGCGCAAAGATTGTCCGTTTGAGGGTCGTCCTTTGGCATGCGCTGTGTTTTCGCTGCCACCCATATCACTGTCGGTAATTCCAGTAGCGGCTATATCCTTTTTCGATGCTTTCCCACGCTTCTTACGCTCGCGGGCGTACTCACAGCTGAGTCCGAACTCTAGTAACTGTTAATTTCAACCAATGCGCAAATGGAAAGGGTCCTTAGAAAAGGAAAAAAATCATACCAACACAATGCGCACAGGGATTATGTCCATCACACTTGGTACGCAATTGGTTACATTGGTCGCAGGCCCGGCTAATTCTCCGACGAGCTGGGGTTGCGGATGAGTTTTTGCGAATAGCGGAGCGCGCCTCAGCAAGGGAATTGCGCAATTCCGGATCCTTGAGACCTGAATTCGAACCCTTTTGTTCTTTATAGAGAAGATGTTGAGAATGTTGCGATGTCTTCGAGTCGAGAGAGTGACCGGGGTCGGTCGGGATGTCGGCAGTATCGGCTTCACGTGCTAGCTGGAGCTGTTCGAGCGCATACTGTGACCCCTCAGCAAGCGTGTCCAGCCCGGGGGTTTGAGATTGTGTCATTCGTCCGGCTTGAGACGGAAAGGGAGAGTAAGAATTGGAAGAGAGGGAGGTCATCGACATGCTTCTCCGAGGAGGCGGAAACAGGGCTATGGCGACATAGAGGGACAGACCAAGGGATCTAGTCTCTATAGTCTACCAGAATCAAAAAATTGAGTCGAATGTAGGATATCGGGTAAGCGAGGAGTCACAACGGCATTGCAGAAAGATGCAAGATGCAGAGAGAACGGGGCGACTTCGGAGCTTTTTTGTCCACTCAGCACAGCCCAAAGCTTAGTTTTCGCACAGCTTAGAAATCCAAATCCGAATCGCAATATATCAAAGGATTAAAGATTAGAAATATGAAGATCAGAAGATCGGAAGATTAGAAGATTAGAAGATCAGAATAGAAGATCTGGGGAAATTGTGTAAAGGCGGGGGCACTGGCACGTGGTTCGGTGAAATGGAAATGTGTGGTGTCACTTATATGGGGACATGGAGAGTAGTAGCATTCTCGCTCTTCTCCCTAAATCAATTAAACACTAAATACACTTATATCCAGACGTTTTAACCTGTTCCTACTACTCAAGACGCCTTCTGTTTCAGAACTGAACTAAATCTGCAAACTCCCTTTTCTCCCTTCGCTTATATCCGCATTCCCCACATTTCACCGCGATCAACGTTCCATAACATGGTCATCCACTTCAACACCGCTGCTCCGTATTCCCAGGGATCCGAATCAGCATACATAAATATGTGGCGAGACTACATAAGATTTCGGACCTGAACCCCTCATCTGGCCACGGTCACATACCCCGGTCTTGGCGAGGACAAAGCACATTAAGGTACCGTGTACAATATACATACAGGGGCTCCGGATATAATACTTCTGCAGACGGGACCATTCGCAAGTGCCGGGTCTACAGCGCCCAGGGTACAGGGTATACGGGATGTTGAATGATGTGTGAACTTGACCAATGGCCTTGGGAGGTCGGCAATTGTACACTGTACATTTGTTCTATAGCTGCAGACGTTCCAAAGCGGCTAGATCGGTGCTGCGACTTTGGCTTTTACATTTTGCCTAAATTCGCATTGGGAGTTCTCCGGGTATTTGGCTTAAAGTTGGGATTGGTCACTAGATAATACCCTACGTACATATGTAGGTACGGAGTAGGGAGTAGGTATATGCAGGTTTACCTAGGTAGGGTTGTGATGAGTCAAGAGTAGAGAGACGGCCCCTGACGGGAATATATGGAAGTTCGATGTCATATTCATACAGGTAGTATATACTGTTTTCTCCCCCATGCGTAATGTACAGATGCAGATGAAGCCCAGCAAATAAATCGGGCAGAAAATATACAGGAAATTAAAAGTCAGCTAAATGAATCCAAGTATCACTCCTTCACAGCACTCCGGATACGGATAAACAGAAATGCGAATGCATAAACGCCAGCGGAATGCGGTAATTCCCAGAGATTAGAGCATCACGAGAAGAAGTATTCACTCTCACGAATTCGGGTCAGGTCCCAGTCGCCCTTTTTAGGAACGGGGCGGAACTTCAGAGGCATCCATAACCACGTCGTCAGGTAGGGCACAGACCGATTATTTGGCTGCGCAGAGCTCTGGGACTGCTCATTCTGCTCGGTCTGATCGATCTGATCAGCCTGACCGGAGAGCTCACCATGGACATCATCCTCTACTTTGGACGTCTCGCCATGAGAGAGTTGATGGGAGGTCTGCTTCGCCTCAAACATCTCGAGGTCACCGACCAGGCTCTCAATGGCCGGGTCGGTGGTATCAATTGAACATCCTATCGGTATCCGTTGCGGATCCGGAACAACTTCTGGAATGTGCCCGATTGGGTTCGTACCCATTTTTTTGTAGGTAGTCAGGTCATGGTCCATACCCCCCATCTCTTCAAAGATACTGTATGGTGTCACCATAGCACGACCCTCGGCCTGATCCTCCGGATCCTCCGAGTTGAGTAGAGTTTGCCGTCGGTGTTCATTGATCAACTCTTGGAGTTTGGTAATCCTAGTGTTGTTGCGGTGCGTGAAGATCGCCCGACCCAAGGGGGTGGAGCGGGAGACTCTAGCTGAGGAACATATTCTTGCCATATCGCACTTTGAATTCAGCGCCGAGACGCCCGACAACATCATCAGAATGCATACGAACGAAGGCATCTCGAAGGATGAGGTTCATCTGGTCGATATCGGCAGCATGAGTCCAGAATGAATCGTGGACAGCGGAAAAGGTCAGACCCGCTTCATGGCACGCATTGGCGGACATGATCATGTGTGTGGCATCCAGAGAGTGGATGAAGTTTGGCGGGAAGGCCTGAAGCTGCTTGCGCTTTGACACAACATCATCAGAGCCGGGGTCAACGAGGCTGATGTCTTGTAAACTAGTCTGGACACGTCGCGACTTGCGAGTGCGATATGGCTGGACCACTGGAAGACCCAGTGGGGTCGTCCAAATCACAGTCGACCTGAAGGATTTCTCTGGATCAGTGGATGTCGAATAATCATCGTCGCGTTCATCCCTCGGTACTAATGCTGCTTGCGTGAGCTCCTCAATTTGCTCCGGTGTCACAGACTGTGTAATGCGCTGGGCACAGTCGCCAAGCCAATACTGGATCTCATGAGCTCCGTTGAACATGGATCCGAGAGCGCCAAAAATCTTTGTTGCAATGTAGAAAGCCGCGCTGTTCCTATCCGGAGCGCTGAGATCAGGGAGATAGTCGATAAGCTGCCTTTTCACCTGTCTCGTCGCCCCCAAAAAGGTCACGCCGTAGACATTAGTCATGACCGTCTGCTTCACAATCTTTCTGTTGACTCTGCCATCGAGAAGCTTAGCCAAATCGTTGCCATTGGCTGCGTCCTGTGCAATTTCCTCCTTGACAAATTCACACACACCGGTATAGACGTCCGAAGGGCGATCAGAGGGCTCAAGATTGACTTGCTGGGCGCCGACACGGTCACCACCCAGAGCCGCATAATGTTGAAGTCCATTGCAAGAGCCATCTTGGTGAATTGGAAGATGGGAAACGTATTCCGTGGGCTCAGCGAGCTGCAAGGCGTTGCGTAGTTCGCAACACGCTGCCAAAAGCTGCCATGGATCCTCAGCCTGCAGCCACCATCGTCGTCCACGGAGTCCTGTGTTGGCAGAGTCAAGAACATCATCCAAATGGTCCATTGTGAATTGCTCCCGTTCAGACATGCTCGCTTTATCAAATCCAAACAAGTTTGCAATCTGAATTTTCAACCAGCGCATGCCAGATGGCCCAAGTGCCTTGCCCTTATCGAAAAGGAGCAAACCTCTTGAATTGTCGGCTCCCATCTGATTCAGGTAAGGAGGGAGCGGGTAAGCTCTCCCGCGGAAATCCATATTATGGGGCAGATAGAAGGTCTCTTTTCGGAAGGCTCGCGCTACCTCAAGCTGAAAGTTCTGGAAGCATCGAACAGAATGAAATCCAGAGCGAAGATTTTCGATTTCACGAACCTTTCGGTTCCACTCTTTTTGAGTTGCGTAGTCGGCGTCTGGACTTGGTTTTTCTGGCATCTGCAGGTCTGGATTCAAGGGGGGCAAGTTTTCCCACAGCTTTCCCATCATTCCAAGCCTCGAGCATCACTTCAAAAACTTGCTGATTGATCCTCCACCCAGTACCACCCAGAACATCGAGGCCTGCTCGGATCTCTTTCAGTCCATCATCTTTCAAGACAGCTTTGAGGTAGGCTGGTTGTAGTAGTTCACCGGGAGTAGTGCGCACTAGGCTGGACTCGTATATTTTATACCCGCCAGATCTTGGCCCTGTCCATGGTTTAGGTTTGCAAACCATGGGGAGGTGGCGGGCCAACAGTTCAGCGGGTGGCTCTTTGGCAACAATGTCCACAATTTTACTATGCATGTGGATATGACCAGATCGTTTCCCGAAGTGAATCTGATAAGAATGGTCGAAGGCCGGTTGCATATTGAGAGTCCTTTTTTTGGTGACAGGATCCTCGGTCCAAACAGGGGCTTTGGCAACTTCGACTAACATGCTCATCAAAACAGCACCAACTTTGACCTGTGAGCGAGAGCCCCAGATTATAGATTCATCTTCTGCATTCATCTTCTCAACGAGCATTCGCCATCTAAGTCGGCCTTGCTTGTCTTTGCGATTTGCGAGAGTCTCCTTCAGTGCCTTGAGACGACTGGGATCCACAGATTTGTTCTTCTTCAGATAGGTGTCGGCAATGATTTCATCTTGCAACTCCTTTCCAACTACTGAAGCGATGGCAGAAAGTTTGAGTCCCTTGTCCATCCCCTGGCGGCTGAAACAAGACATCACAGACAAGAGAGTGAGTGCAGCTAACCGGTCGGGATCGAGGGCTTGCAAAAACACACCATACTCACAGCGCTCTTTTTGCTCAATGCTCATGATACGGCCCGCAAGTGTCTCTTTAACGAGCTCCAACTCTCTCTTGATTCTTGTCACAAGGTCCGTGTGCCACTGGCTCATGATTTTATTGAGCTTTTTCTCGTCGGAAACGACGTTGAGCCCGGATTTTTGTCTCTCGGAATTATCTTTGCGCCAACGCCAGAGGGCCGAATCGAGACTATCGGTTTCAAGTCGTTTTTGCCTCAATTCTGAAACCAATTGCTTTCCTTCCTCTTCAGTGCCTGTGAAGTTTTCGGGCAAACGTACAGCAATATTGCCGGAGAAGAGGGACAGGGACTGTTTCAGAGACTCCAGTCCCAATCCCTTTTGCTCGGCAGGCTGCACCTGGGGGGGTATCATCGACGATAGCAGAAGGCGCTTCAGTAGTTTCGGAGAGACTCATATATTTTGAGACCAAGTCCAGCATGTCGGAGGAGCAAATCTAGGTTGGGAACGTTAGCAGGACTCCGGGGTACAGACTAGAAGCATAAACTCACCTTAGCCAGCTCACCAACATCAGAGTCCTCAAGAACCTCCATGCCGACAAGCTCTTCCTCCAAGCCCGCATTTTGAGCAAGTTCCCAGTATCGACGAACCGTTCTGTCACGCTTCGATCCATGAAGCATACGCAGCGCCATTCGAATCATAATCGCGAAACTGCTTGCATCCGGTGTCACGCCACCAGCAGGCATATCAACTTCGAACCATTTCTGCAACGGCAGAATCATGTCATGCTGCCGATTGAGGATCATGTGCGCCACCATCTTTTTCATGAAACGGTTATGAATAAGGAGATACTCATCTGAGCCAGGTGGGTGATAATGGCCAAGCCGACTAATCAACTTAGAGGCTCGCTCGAACTCCCCAACCTTCAATGAAAGCTCGAGATTGGCATTCATCTCTATCTCATCACCGCCGACACCATGCCTCCTGCGGAAAACTTTTGATTGCGATTGTGGCGTCGAGTCGAGTATGATCAGTGATGATGCATCGAAGCTCTCAAAAGGCATGTGCATGAAGTGGTCGTAATTCTCAGGCGAATGCCCGTCGATGCTAGAATGGTCGGCGGCTGTAGCAAGATGACGTTCGGATCGCGGAGACGGGTTGCGTGGGCGATCGTGAATCGAATTGTATGACAAACTCAAAAGCGAGTTCCGATTACTCGAATATGACTGAAAACGTGTTGTCGGCAGATGGAACGATGATCGGGAGACCTGAGCCCTCCGCAAGTGAAGGAAAGCATTTTTTTGACAAGCCACGCGGGATAACATGGTGCATGAAATCGGCGTTTTTGAGGGTTGGAGATCGAAGATTGGATGTTGGAAGCGAACGGGAATATAATGATACCAAAAGGAAAAGATATTAAGGGTAAATTATAAGATAGATGCAGACTTTCAACGATGATAGCCAGAAAAACAGAACACCGCAATGAAGGACGTTGAGCAAGACCAATGCGATTGTTCCGCTAGAGAAGACGGATAACGATCGCGTTGACACGCTGTCCTGCAACCCTCGACCGAACCCAAAGAAAAAAGAGGGAAACGGGGTACAAAAGAAAAACACGAAGGCAGCGGGAGAAAGGGAGATTTATCGGACCTGTCGCGATGAAACGGAGATGGCAGAAAAACCGAACATGGCACGTGACTCATATCCATTCTCTTATCAGTGATTGGCGGACAAGTATGAGTGGCAAGGCCTGGGCAAACAGCTTCGCATGTTCCTTTCTACATTGACGTGGTTTTGTCTTTAAATGGAATGCCTGGGAAGATGATAATAAGGTATCGCTAGGAATTGATTGTTCGGATTATTATACAGTATAACCCCTCGCTATTCGGCACCATTACCTGTTTGGCCGTCTCTTTGCCTCCGACGATTTTCTTTCATAGCCCAACCAGTCATGTCAGGGCGGGCAGGATCAATCCTAGGGGCGCTCATTTTATCGAGGTAGTCTTCAGACTCGATGTTTGACTCTAGCGATGGGAGAGTTTCCGTATCCTTGTGAATCATAAAGCTCTCATATGTGTACCAAGAATCCTCAGCCTGGGATCGGTAAGGGTTAGTGGGGAACAAAAGTCAACAAGGTCCAGCAAAGAGAGAACATACCTCGGCATCAACCCAGCCGTATGTTTTCCATTTCTCATCTTGCATTTGCTTAAGAAGGTCTAGATTGCCGGCGTTTGCAGCCGCTTCAGCATCTTCAGCGGCCTTGACTTTAATATCAATCGCACGTGCTTCGCTCTCGGCAGGACGGTCCTCGTCATCCTTTTTAGCACGTCCGCCTTTCCCTTTTGGCATCTCATCTAAAGCATCCAGGTGGTGAAGTTGAGGGTGGAACTGGACAACCGATGTGACGGGGGAGAGATGCAAGTTTTCTAAGAATGGGTGTTAGAATCGATGCTGCCACCGGAAAATAAAGCGATTGAGTAGAACCAACGTACTATCTGTGAAGGTGGCCAGCATGTAAACGGGATCGCCTTCTTCAGAAGGTTTTATCCGACCTCCAAGTGACTGCACTCGCATCAATGATGCAGAATCCACAGCCCTCTTATTATCCAATATCTCCACGTCCCCATTCGCTTCCATCTTTACTCTTCCCCCTGCAGCTGCAGTCCCGCTGCCAGCAGTGAAGCCGCCTGCCATACCATAAGCGCCTCCGTCACGCGCGGAACGGCTCTTCTGTACCGCATCCCCGTAGCGCATCCCCTTATTAACGTCGTAGTTTTCTCGGGTGCTGATGGGGACTTCAACTTCAATAAGACCGGTGCGCGGTTTTAGCCGAAGTTGAATCGGTCGTTGATTCTCTTGGTCATTGTAGGGACGGTCGTGCTCCCGGTCAACGTATTGGAAGACATAGCGAGAAACATCCGAGTCAGTGAGAAGTACGTCGTAGGAGGCGACGACAGGATCGTCATCGGGAAAGGCCATGTTGATAGGGTAGGTGGGTATCTCAGATGAACAATGAGCGATTAAAAAAGAGGAACTCGCAATAATGCCCCCAGATACCAACTTTGACTGATAACTTTTTTTTTATCGAAATTCATCGGCGGGGAGGTGGCAGAAACAACAGCTATCTGTTCACCGCCATTATTGCTTAGTCGCCGACCCCTGCCCCCGAGATGGTTTAAATTGAGATCGCTCCAGTTCCCCCTTGTTCCCTTCTTTTCCTTCTCGAGGACCACCGAGTCGTGCTGAGAGAGCTACCATGCTATCCTCCCTCTCCCCTTCATCATGAAGCACTCTCCCCTGATGTCGAGGCTCTTCCAGCCTCCGTCATCATCGAGCACGCCAATTCCACCTCGATGCCTTCCTAGCGTGAGAGACGCACTCCTTGCTCAAATCTTCCTATTTTCCATCGATTGTTGTCGATCCATTAGTCCATCCTCACACCAACCCGTTGCCATGACTTGAGGGCATCTGAATCGCTCGTGCCAACAAGACGTTTGTAACAGTTTGAGTTGCAGACACCCACGGTTCCTTTTTACTAAGGCAATTAACGATACTTAAGTCGACAAAGAAATGCCCACAGATGGGTTAGTCGCATCGAAACAGGGATGTTAAGGCCGCGCAGGCGGATTCATCCAATTGAGACCAGTCGGTCGAAAGTACGGTTCCCTTACAGTAGGGCAACCAATGATACACAAGTCGACAAAGAAATGCCCACAGATGGGTTAGTCGCATCACAGGGATGTTAAGGCCGCGCAGGCGGATTCATCCAATTGAGACCAGTCGGTCGAAAGTACGGTTCCCTTGCAGTAGGGCAACCAGTGATACACAAGTCGACAAAGAAATGCCCACAGATGGGTTAGTCGCATCGAAACAGGGATGTTAAGGCCGCGCAGGCGGATTCATCCAATTGAGTGGTTGGGTTTGAGCAAGATTCACATACAACTAGCTAGACTACTCTCAGATCTCCGGATTTGCACGTCAATATAGAGTTGTTTGGCTAAATATTGGGTCTCCGTATATTGTAGGCTTTTTATATCCGGCTTGATAATACATACCTAGGTAGATCTACTGCTGCACTCAAATTATGCGGGTCCACAAGGGGGTGGTTAGGATACATCCATGGCACCACCTACCTACAACTAGATTAAAAATGCTGTCAAATGAGAATCCAAAGTTTCTGCAACTGTAAGGGCCAAAAGTGATTTATATATATCCTCAAGCTTACACGTAGGTCTCATACTTTCCTAGGTATTCTATAATCGTCGTTTGATTGATTTCCAATAGCCTCACCATGCTATTGCCGAAGAACCTTATGACCGCAGTATGTTGCCTGTAAACCTCAACATTAGCCTTCACATAGTCTCGCCGAGACCCGAACTGCATCCATATGTATAGCATAGCCGAATGGGCGGAACCTCTGACAAGCACCATCAGAATACTCCACAACCCGGGAATCTGCAATCTGATGAGCGAGATCTATGGGGACATGAAATGGTCTGGCGGTCTTCAACTCATAATGCGGTATCAACGCATAGCGTGGAGCACTACATGCGAGACGGTGGAGTTTGGGAGAGTTCGGGGAAGATGGTTAATATTATCGGCACGAGGCAGTGGCGAGCTATGGAAGAAAGAGGGTAAGGTTATAGGATCTCATAGATATGTCCATATCAACTCTCAAGTATGAAAAACAAGAGCCTGGCTGCATGGGACAGGAGGACCTAGTGCTGATCATAACTGGTAATACAAGCATCGAATACAATTCCCGATTCCATATCCCATTTTTCCTTCCCTAGCCAAAGACAGCCACGCCGAAAGCACTCAAAGTGTATACCTAAACAACGGCGACCGATCCCCCATGAGCTGCAACTCCTCATCCGTATACTTCTCGTGAATCTCGTCCCTACTCGTCTTCGCATTCCGCTTATTTACATACCAGAACCTCACTTCCAAAGCAGCACTCGCCACGACACCCGCCACCGCAAAGGCAAATGAACTCCCAAATCCAGTAGGATACTTAGGTGCCTCGCGCTCAAGATATATAAATGATCCCACAAGCCCACCGCAATTGCCAATGCTAATCATAAACGCAATGCCCATGGCCTGCTTCCGCGCGCCGGCGAGATTGTTGGATGTCCACGCGTTGGTCCCCGGAATAATCGGGTACAGACCGATACAGGCAAGGACGACAGCAAAATAGCACGCTGGGATATTATCCTTGATATCATCGGCGAGAGAGAATAGGATGCAGAACGCAACGATCACGCAGATCTGTCCAGAAATGATGATTGGCATGCGCCATCGCAGTTTGTCTGCAATGACACTGAAGACGTATGCAGATATCGCGCCAGCGAAGTAGGGAGGCATTGAGAGGAGCTGCGCGTTCGCAGAGGTATAACCCATGTTCTTTATAATCTGGGGTAGGGAGAATTTCAGTCCGTAGTTTGGTACGGCGTTGGACCAGAAGTTGAGGACCTGTAGGTAGAGATGCCAGTCGGTAAGGACTTTGAAGAGCTCTTTCCAGTCGAATTTATTGGCATTTTCGTCTACCACAATACGTCCTCGCACGGCCTGTCTGCGTAGCTCCAGAAACCGGATCTCTTCCGGGTCCAGCCATCTACTGGAGAGCCTAGGGGTATCCGCTAGGCAGAAGTAGCAGAAGACTGCGAAGACCACTGTTGCAGCTCCTTCAATAATGAAGATCCATCTCCAGCCGTTGTAGCCGCCGATTCCGCGCATTTTGGCTAGGCCAAATGCTAGAAGCCCGGAGAATGCACCGGCTAGTGCGCTCGCAGTGTAGAAAATTGCTATCCTGCTTTGGACTTCATGTGGCTGATACCACTGGGTAATAACCCACACGGCGCCTGGGAAGAATCCGGATCTGCAAACAGATCAGAGAGGAGCCTAGTAACAGAACGTGGCGGTCGTCTTACTCGAAAATACCAAGGAGCACGCGAACCGCACACAGTCCGGAAAAGTTCTTTACAACCCCCGTTAGGGTCACGACGATACCCCACAGAAGCATCAATATCGATAAGTAGAGCGACGGCTTTTTGAATTTGGCAAGTAGAATGTTGCTAGGAACCTCTAGTAGCCAAGCCCTTGTTAATAGGGTAAGCTAAAAATCGTATTGAGGGTGCTGTCATACCGAATAGCACATAGGGGACAAAGAAAATCCCCAGGGCAATGTTATACTGAGTGCCTGACATATTCAAATCCGGCAGCATGCCTTCGATTTTGGCATTCCCTGTGGGGCGTTAGAGTCAAATTCAGTAATATCGAAAAGCCATGAGCAGGAGAGACACCTACCAATACTTGCCTTGTCAATATAGCAAACAAGGTAGAGAAACGCCAACATAGGGCAGAGACGCCAATCGATCTATACTCACCAATGTTATGCCCGAGTCATTTCATATCAGACACATGATCCAACTAACCTTCCGAATGCACTTGTTCCTCTTTTCCTCTGGAAAGTTGGCAAGGAAATGGGCGTCATCACGACTCAGCCCGCTTTCCATATACGTCTGCTCGAGACTAGGCGCAGCCTCCAGACATTTTTCGGGAAAGGCATCCTCCACATGTATGACACTAGACGGCTTGGAGGTAGGCATGGTGTGGACCTGCAATTGAGTAGAGGTAACCGGATTTCATCGCAAAAAGAGTCTCAATGGGCGTGGGCCTTTATACTATGGTTCCTCTGGCGCTCAGATAGCCAAGAGGCTAACCCCGCGTCTATTTTCTCCAATTCCAGGGAAGCTCACCATTTGCGGGGTAATAAGGGCATGGCAGTGAGCTCACAGCCGGGTGCTGAGAAGCCTATATGGAGCGGAATTAGGGCTCCGGGGTAGTATACTGCCTTTATAAGCATCTCCCAACTGCACCAGCCGAGAAATAGCCAGAAAGTGGCACAGCACAGAAACTTTATACCACTTATTACTGTCCTGCCATGCATTTTATAGCAATTGGTGAGATTACCTTGGAAAGCTTGTTTGTTTGTTGGGAGAAGCCGCGGAAAGGGCCGCTTCTTGAACGACAGCTTCTCAGCATATAAATATGTATGCTATAGATCTCTAACAACCTAACCGGTTTCTGTTGTCAATAATGACTTGGACAGCACATCCATCTTTTCCCCCACTTGGTTTGTGCTGGGCTGGTTTCCCCAAGCATAAAAATATCAATTGCTAAATGCTAAAACCCATATTTGATCCGGACTCATAAATCGTCACCTCTGGCTAAGACCACAAGCACCAGGCTTGTAATCTTACCTTTCAAGTTCCACAAAACAACTGCAGTCCCACTGAGAATCGTTAGCTGACCAGAGAACAGGGGGCATTCATCTGACTGCCTTGTTCTCCAACAGCTGTATGTGTTCCTCTGCATCAGACAACACCGAGGGTAATGGCAGCATGGCAGGCCAGGATAAAACACATCCAACCATCTGTAACCATGAGCCGGGCACATAGCAAGAAATATGTATGTCTCAACATACCTGAGCGGGGTTCCTCAACCGTGTCCAGGTATTCAACGTCCTCCGTCTTCATCTTATCCTCGGGAGATGGAGATGCAGTTTGCCGCGGATACCTGCATGACCAGCTCAAATGAGTGACCCCTCACAATCACAAATAGGGTATTCGTCACATACCTGTGTTTTCCCCAAAAGCAAAAGTGGGCAATGGTGCCTACCACGATAATCGTAAAAAGAACGCTGGCAATGGCCACGGGCAAAAAGGGCCACTCCTGGAGTTCGTGAGAGAGGTCTGCCAGATTGCTGTAGCTAGTGTGCGTGTCAGTTGTCGTTATCTTGGTGTAGGGTCCGTGGTCTGTCCAGTCTGCGCCATGCTGGATCTCAAAGCGAGCTGCTTCGCGAATGATCCCTGGGATGGGTGCCATTTTCGACCGCGACGGTATGTAAACCACTGCCCGTTGGCGATATAGCTGTACCCGTCTTCGGATTCTCTGGGTCTTTCCCGGTGTTGTTGACGTGTTAACCTGAGGATGGAGGGTGAGGGGAGGTCGGTAAGTCGATAGTGCCAGCGACTTTGTACGAGGTCACAGCGCTGATCAGTGTTGAATAAGACAGTATCGAGAACAGGAGCCTCGGTGCGGGTTGTAAGTTGCGATGGGTACAGTATTTTTGAGAGAGAAAATAAATGAAAGAGATTGAAAGACATTGAAAGAGGAAAAGAGGATTTGGTGGGTTAAATGTCTGAAGAAGCTGGAAACTGCCTCACTTGACAAACAAACTGCGATTTGAGAAACGTTTGAAGTCTTAGGGGAAGGCGGTATTTCTTGATTATTTGACCAAACAAATATCGAAGAGATGGAAAAGATCTCAAATGATGGAGGTGGCTACTAGAGGGCCTTTCTAATGAGCTTAAGGAATCCGTAGGGAGCCTATCTAAATAGAAGTCGTTTTGCCAGGCAGAGTCGTTCAGAAGGTTCAACTCAAATAGCAATACATAGGTAGCATTATGGTACACCCGAGAGGTATACATAGCAACATCATCGCGGCTGGAAAGCGACAGAAGGAATCTCAAGCTCATCCTCCTGCGACATAGCCTGCATCCTCGTCAAGAACACCCCAGCTTGAACAGCACACTGACTAGCCTCTTTTCGAAAGTTCAGAATCCAAGCAACCATAAGCACATCATGGGGCAAATTAGCCTGCACGAAGTACTCTACTCGACCTTCATTCTGTTGCATTTTACTCAAATGCCTCGCCAACCGATCATGTTCCTGACACATAACCTCCCTGCCACCGGAAACAATCAGAACAGGCGAAGGCAGGGCAAAGGGATGCCAGAGCGGCGCGAGATACGGTTCGAACTCGCTGGTGACGTTTAGGTTCCCGATAAGATGCTTCGCGCCCCACGCGGGGAACGAGGGTGGGATGTAGTCCGTCTGTACATTGGGAATGTTCTGCCAGGCATCCTTGTTGCGGGCGCCGGGAATATCACACCAGGGCGAGAAAAGCCACGAGCATGTTGGTGATGGGAGGACCCTTTCCTCCTCGTAGTCGGTGATGTAACGTAGGAGTGCGAGGACGAGGTGGCCACCTGCGCTGTCGCCACTGAAGACGATGCGAGATGCCGGAATGTGTAACGTGTGGAGGAGGTATGAGTAGGCGGAGATGGCGTCTTGAAGTTGGGCGGGAAAACGGCCGTTGGGGTTGCAGGCTAGACGGTATTGTAGGCTGAAGACATGGCTTATTGTGGTGTGCTCTAGCAAATTGTTGGCGATGAACTGACACGATGATGTGCGGCCGTCGCCGAGGACGTAAGAGCCGCCGTGGAAGTGGAGCACGACATGCTTGTCTTGGGTGGTGGTTGTGTTGTATTGGTAGAGTGATGGGAACCAGGTGCCTCCTACAGTCACTGGCTGGATCTCGTTGTCCACGGTGATGCTGGTATAGAGCTCTGGTGGTCCTGGCTCTATCGCGACGAAGCGGTCTCCGTCCAGACCTGGCTTGAGAGAAAGTGGTGGCTTTGTGCGAAACGCTACGAAAATGCGTAGGAAGACTTTTATGAAAGTATTTCCTAGTGCTTGTCGATACGTCCAGTCCTGCTCTTGCCGAAACCGAGGGAAGATAGAGCAGGGGCGCGAAAGGCGCTGATAGAATTGAGTTCATATTGACCAGCCTATTGAAGCTGAAATGGACATTAACGAAAGTGTTAGAAGGAATGTTAAAAGGCAAGATCGAAGCTTTGAAGGTTGCCAAAGAGGCACTGGGGTTCTCCAGGTGATGTAAACTGTGCATCAACTTCTCGGGGTCGCCCCTGAGCTGATTCCACGGTTGGGTTTCTGCCACCCTTTAATGACCTCGGGAGGTAAGAAGACGTTTCAGTGACAAGGGTGATAGGAAAATGGATATCATTTGAGTATATATGTACTAGCAGACTTGAGCTGTCATCGAGATCCACATGAAGAAAGGGAATAAAAGAGAAAAAGAGAAAAAGAAAAAAAAGACGAAATCTAACATTTTTGCATGGAATCATACAATCGCCAAGACATCAATGCATTGCGACGTGAGATACAGACGTGAGAATATCCAACAATTAGAAAGGGGAGAAAGCAAATTTTAGATCCCATGAGAGTCATAAAAATCGGAGATTATATGTGTAACTGCTGTGTTCAGCATTTACTCTTCTTCCTCATCTTCGGCAACCTGTAGGGAATTGTTAGAATCAATACCGTCGAGATCATAGAAGGAATCACTTACGCCATCGTGGAAGTTCTTTCCGTCAGTGGTAGCCTTGATGACACCAGCACGGATACACCAATCACCGAAACGCTCAGGGGTCTCGCCGTCGGTATCACGCTCAAGAGAGTAGCGCTTGAGGAGGCCCTTCATGATCTCAAGGATCTCGTCCTCCTTGATGGAAGAGCGGTAGCGCTTATTCAGGCGCTGGCCGTGGTAGCCACCGCCCAGGTACATGTTGTATGCACCGAAGGCCTTTCCAACAAAGGCAACTTCGGCGAGCCAGGGACGAGCACAACCGTTGGGGCAACCAGTCATACGCATAACGATGCTGTCACGAGCAAGACCGCACTCCTCAAGGGTGGACTCGAGCTTGGAGATCAGAACGGGGAGGTAGCGCTCAGACTCGGCCATGGCAAGACCGCAGGTAGGGAAGGCAACACAAGCAGAGGATGACAGACGCAAGCCAGAGAAAGCAGTGTTGTCAAGCTTGTACTTGGCCATGTGCTCCTTGATGGCGGGGAGGTCTTCGTCGGTGATGCGAGAGATCATCAGGTGCTGGTTACCGGTCAGACGGAACTCACCCTTGCCCATCTCAGCAAGTTCGCGAAGACCAGTGCGCATCTTGAAATCGGCAGTATCTTCAATACGACCGTTCTCGATGAAGAAGGTGAAGTGGTTGAGACCAGTATCATCCTTAAGCCAGCCGAAGGTGTCGACGTTGGACTTGAACTCGAAGGGGCGAGGTTCGCCGAACTTGAGGCCGTCGGGAAGACGATTCTCGACCTCGCTTCGGAAAGCGTCAACGCCCATATCGTCGATGGTGTACTTCATGCGGGCGTGCTTGCGGTTCTTGCGGTCACCGTTGTCACGCTGCACCAGCATGATCTTCTCGCATGCAATGTGGACCATATCCTTGGGAATGTATCCGAACATGCGACCAGTCTGGGGGTAGGTCTTGGTGTTGTTGTGAGTGGAACCCATTCCACCACCAGCCAGAACGTTGAAACCTTCGAGGTTGCCATCGGCACCCTTGATGGCAATCAAGCCAATGTCGTGGGCGTAGACATCAGTGTCGTTGTGAGGAGGAATGGCAATGGTGATCTTGAACTTGCGGGGGAGGTAGGTAGGACCGTAGAGGGGTTCGTGGTCAACGACAGCATCTCCAGCAACCTGAACTTTCTTGTCGTTGTCATCCTTCAGCCAAATTTCGTGGTAGGCAGTGGTTGAGGGAAGCAAGTGTTCACTGATCTTGGAAGAGATGGCCCAGGTCTCACGGTGGAAGGAGGACAACTCGGGGAGAGAACTGCACATAACGTTACGGTTAACATCACCGCAGGCAGCGAGTGTGTCCATCATGGAGTTGTTGATGGCACGCATGGCGCCACGAAGGTTGCGCTTGATGACACCGTGGAACTGGAAGGTCTGTCTGGTAGTGAGCTTCATGGTCTCGTTACCGTGTGAGCTACTGATGGCATCCATCTGCAGCCACTGCTTGGGGGTAGCGACACCACCGGCCAGACGGCAGCGAATCATGAAGCTGTAGGCAGGCTCAAGACCTTGGGCCTTGCGCTCATCACGGAGGTCACGGTCATCTTGCATGTATGTACCGTGGAACTTGGTCAGCTGCTGATCACTGGCGGGGATAGCGCCAGTGCTCTCGTCAAGAAGAGCCTCAGCGATGGTGCCGCGAAGGAAGTTAGAGTTGATCTTAATATCCTCGTTGGTGATCGGGGCAGGCTCCTCAGGGAGACCTTCCACCTTATCAACACCCAGAGACTTCCACAAGCGGGGCTCCCATTCGGAGTACCCGGTCTGGTAGGCATCCGGGTCTTGATCATCACCGAGGCCAATGTCGGTGAGCTTGCGACCACCCAGGAAGGCGACACGATCATCAAGATCCTTGGCAGGCTTGTTGTAGTAGATCTTGTCCTCCTTACGGGGCCAGTAGTGGCTGTCACCAAGACCGAAAACAGAATAGTTGATGGTGGACAGATCAAGATCACCGGCGTTCTTCACATGCTCCCAGAGACTACGACCGTTCACAGGGAATTCACCCTGGCCTGCAGTACTGGTGATGAAAACCACGTTCTCCTCAGTGGGCAAGTCCTCAAGCGGGAACTCATCCATAGCAATGACCATGGTCTTCAAACCTCTGGCGCGACCACGGTTGCCAAGACGCTTAGCGAGGTTCTGGGCGTTACCGCCATCGGATGCGAAGAGAATGGTGAGAGGGGCACCGAACAAACCATCCAAGAGCTTCTCGTAGGAGTCCTTGGCGTTTCTCTTCTGCAAAGCGCGAACCTCAGTGCCATAGGACTCAGACAGAACAGGGGCGTACTTGGGTTGGCGGTTCATGAGCTGGGTAAGCTGGTTGTCCCGACGGGAGGAACTCCTCCAGGTCACGCTTGATGCGCTCGGAGTCAAGTTGGAACTTTGGCTCACCCTTCTCCTCGTTATCGGGGTTCCAGCGGTACAGGGGCCAGTAGCCGAGATCGATAGCCTTCTTGGTCTCCTGCAGCACTGTGAGTGCCGAGTCATTCTCCTGGTTGTAAGGCAGGTAGGCGACAACAACCGAGGGACCCTTGAACTGCTGAGCCTCGGACATGGCCTGAAGAACCTGGGTGTACGAGCTGTAAACAGCGACCGAGGCGACATATGCGTTACCTCTGTTCATGGCATAGAGACCAATATCCTTCTTACGGCGAGTAGCATCAGATGCAGCGCGCTCAGAATAGGGTTGGGAGTCGATGATGAGCATGTTCACGTTCGCGCCAGATGCGAGAACGTGATGAACACCGGAGTTGCCCAGATCGTAAGCCCAGGCATCGGAGCCGACCAGCCAGTCGGACTCCTCGTAGAAGAGCTGCTTGGACTGCAGAAGTTGGCGGGAAATCGCGGAGCCATCGTTGGAGAGGCGACTAATCACATCAGGAGCCAGTTTGTTAGCCTTAGCGGCTTCCTTCACATTCAGAGCCCAGCGAGACAACCAAGTCTTGGGACATCAGTAGCAAAGTCGTTGGACCTGGTGGCTTCCTCAACCTCCCGGATGAAGCGCTGGCGGTGCTCCTGGCGAGCTAGCAGCGAACCAAATCCAAACTCGGGGCTTGCGGCAATAGTGCTTGAGATACCAGCGTTATTGGATCCAAGCTGGTTGGCAATGTGGAGGCGCTCGCCAAAGAGCTGATTCAAAATCTTCAAGTAAGCGTTCTCGATGCGAGGTTGCTCGAGAGCGTGTTGAACAGCAGGAACCTGAGAGCTCCCGATGTCAAGGTTCTGGATGGGAGAAGCGGAGTTTAGGTTCTGCAAGACACCACGAAGGGCCTGGACAGCGGTAGAGGGCTCAATATATCCGAGACGGTACCCGACAATACGAGGAGGCTGATCGCGAGCGCCAGAGGGCGTGAGGCTGGACAACAAGTCCATGAACGAAGGACCCCATCGGGTGGTCTTGCGAACCTGCTCAAGAACTGCGATCTTATCAACGGAGCTAGGGATAGAGTTGGAAATCTGTCCACCAACCCAGGGGCGGTACAGGCGAGCAGTGATCAGGCCAATGTTCTCCAACTCCGGGTTGGCACCAGCATTGGCGAGAGCATCCACGAAGACTCCAGTAGAGCCAAAAACGAAGATAGCAGACTTAGCATCAGCAACACCGGTGTACTCGATGGCATTATATCTGCGGCCCACCTCTTCGAACAGAGCGTTCCAAATCTGAGCTGTCCAATCAAAAATATCGCCCGCGTTAACAGGCCGGATGGTGGCGCTGTCCACAGTCGTCGCGGTTGAGCTCGGGGTCTCACTGCCAGCACTGCTGTCTCTCCGCGAGGAGCCAACTGATGAGTTGTCAACGCTAGCGTTGAAAGGAGTTTGAGGTTGAGAGGGCACAGTCAAGTTTGTTGACTCGGGTTGGCCGGAGGGGGAGTACCCACGGTCTCTGCGGTGACTGTGGCCACACGACCGGAGTCAGCGTAAAGAGTCTGGGTACCAGCAGAGGTGGCAGAATTTCCACCAATGTTGAGAACCTTCTTGACGACCTCAATGTCTTCTTCGGGGATAGAGGGGTCCTTGGCCGAGTTAGAGGGGTCGAAGAAGTGGATGACACCCTTTCCAGACTTGTGAGCAAGCGCATGGGCTGTGATAGCAATGTCCTGGGCTTCTTGCACGGTCTCTGAGTGGAGGAATGTGAAACCGGACTGACGGATGGAGCTGATCGCGGAGTAGTCGGGGAACGGAGAGGGCTCCAGAGCAACGTGGATGACCACGGGGCTGTTGGCGAGACGGTAAAGGTGAGGGACGGCGGTGATCAGGACTGAGGAGCTGGTGACGACGGAGATAGTCTCGCCATTCTGAAGGGGAGTGAAGGCGGACAGGAGGGGATCTTCATTATAGCGCACAGCTTGGACCTGGATATAGTATTAGTTGGGTTCCGGTCTCGCAACCCCAACGATTGCAACTCACCTCGGTGACTTTTGAAGAGAGGTTGCTCGTCTTGTTTGACTTGAGGGCCTTCAGCGACTTGGAGAACAATGAGTCATTTTGCAGCGAGGGCTGCACGGAGAGAACGGTATCACTGGTGAGGTAGGCGATCCTCGCCACTGTACAACCGCATGGTGATCAGCCATTGCCCTGCATTTTCGAGAATGGAAGATAACTGAAAATGACTTACCGGCTTCAGCAGCGCTTGAGATAGACACCATTTTTGCGATTATTTGCTGTTGATCACAGCAGTAAGTGGGATGATAAAATCGCGATATATCTTATCAGTATGTATGCAGCGATCTCCCACTCGCAGCACAGAACCGAAGAGATATAGTAACAAGTGAGAGGAGACAATTAATATGATGTCTCTCAGCTCTCTTGGAATTGTCCTTCTAGACAAGAAAAAAAAAAAGCCTGTGGTTTTTGTTTCCTTCGCTCGCTCCATTCTCCGTCGTCGGGGTTAGATCAGCAATCTGCTGATTGGTCTTCGATCACGACATCAGTGCAAACACCCAGCGACTGGGATGCAAACTTTCCGTTTTGGGCTCAGTGCGGGGGATCCCGTGATACCGTCGAGCACGTCAGCGTCGGGGTTTGCTAGCTCGTGCGGTACCTGTCGTTTAAGAGAACTACATCGACAGCTATGTACATATGAAATACACTTAAATCTCGGGTTTGTCAAGGGATTTGCTTCATGGGATGATGTGAAGTCCAATAATCCCGGGTTATTTGGTGACTTGCTCACATAGCATTGATTTTAAGTATTTTTCTTCATGCTTTTAGCGTACCAATAGCACCACAGCAATTACCCATGCCCAACAAATGCATTTTATTCGGAGTATTCCCGTCTTTTCAACGTATTCTACTCCGTACTGTTATAGGGGAATTTCCTCCAGGCTTCAGGCGGTCCCTACTAGAACAAGACTACCGGTCAAACGCCGAAGGTTAACGGTCACCGATCTCGCTCGAGTATACCATGATCCTAGCCAATCAGCCTTAATTCTAATAATTCGGCCGAGTACATCACGAATCCTAAAAAAAAACCTAATCTCCTTATCTCATTTACCTAGGTAATACTAGAATAATCCGTATGTACATATGCAGCTTTCGGCGTTCGAAAGACTCGAACATCTCAGTATTACTGACCCTAATCTGTTAAATCGTCAAGAAAAAATCATACTGATATTATATGTGAGGTGTGCCCAAAAGCAATTGTGTACAAAACAAGACATGCCCTTGCGGGGAAATATGCAGAACCCCCCATTTCAGATAAGCAATATACATATCCATGTCCCGACGCCAAAATCCTGGATGTCAGATGTCATCTGTGTTTAAAGCGCCCCAATTCCCATGACGGAATTTAAAACGCCTTCCAGACCCAGACAGGAGGGACCCAGATATCGATCAACGACACAGAAATGGCTTGATCAAAGCCATATACCTGGACCGGTTCCAAATTCATATGTGCAGTGTATCGTAAGTATCGAGCAAAAAGGGGCTCGGGCTTCGTGATGGTGAAGTATCGAATGAAGTCAAATGATCGGTTATCCCGATTTGATTGAGTGACCTCATAAAACGATGGGACGGACACAAGAGCCAAGATGGATTGTGTTCACTGGCTGGGCACAGACAAATTCATTGTATCCGATGCACACAGCCGGGAGGAAAATAGAGGGCTGAAGACATTGAGCCGAGTTGAAGCGAGGGCTGTACATTATTGCGACTGATATTGTTCAATAGCCGCCAAGAGATCATTTATCGAGGTGCGTTCCAGTCTTGCATCTTCACATTCATGCCACCAGGTACATGCTCAGGAATTGGCTGCTGAAGGACAGTAGATCGAACAATAGATGGCGACGGTGCTGGGGGACCCGTTCCAGAACGGCGTCTCCTCTCTCTTTCCAGCGCACCGGGCAGCTCTGTGTTGTTTGAACGGTTGCGGAACTTGTGGTTGATGCCGCTGAGCCAGTTACCGTCCTCCTCTTCGCCCAACCAATAGCTGTGGCCGATGCTGACCATCACGCGACCCAGCCTGCCTTGCCAGCCCTGGCCGTCGGGGCTATAGGGAGAGAAAGGCTCCCGATCGATATCGGCAACGCTGGCGACAGAAACGTTGCGGCTGTGGGTCGGGAGTTGGGTGTGCCGGGGAATCGCAACCCAGAGACGGAGGGCCTGGCGTGCGAAAGCGAGCATCACCAGGACAAAGTAGACGCGGACTGCCCACAGAAGGCAGATGAAGATGATGCTCGGGAGACTCTCGGGCTGGAGAACGACATTGCTGAGATCTTCGGCGGCACGCGGGGGATGAGCAACGAAGTTGTTTCCTTCTTTTGTGTTCTGGATTTCGACGTAGGCTGCATCGTACTTGGGGCTGGTAAAGCCAGCGGTTTGGGCGATCGTGTCGCCTCCTGGACCGGCGGCTTCGCCACTGTCGTAATGTTGGGATACCACCAAGAACCAAGTCACACCGAAAGCGGCAGTGTAAGCGGCGTTAATCAAGCTGTCGAATACATAGAGGTAGGCGAGGGCGAGACATTGTAGAGGGGACTGTTTGCGAATGTGTGGGAACAGAAGTGCGGCGAGACCAAGGGCAACGAGGGACCAAAGGTACATTGAGAGTTGTACGGGGGACAGGTGATAGCCGGTCAAAAGGGCTAGTAGGCCATAGAGGCCACTGATTTTATTCAAGAGAAGCGAAAGTGTGATTAATGAAGCACCAGTCTCTAAGCTCATCACATAGAGAAAGGACTTTGAAGTGACGAAATAAGTTAGCTCCGGTAATGGATAAGATTTGATCGCGACTCACCTCTGGCCGCGGAATGCGGAGAAAACGGGAAGTGAACCCCATGAGTGTGTATTCCAAGAATGTGCGTTATCAAGATGAAAATAGCGATGGAAATGTGGTTGGGTATATATACGGGCAAAGCAAGGGAAGAGGAAAAAGGCTGGGTGTATGGCAGTGCAGATGGCCCAGGGGCGCCATTTCCCGGGCGATCCGCCCGCAGATCAATTTCCCGATTCTCGTACATTTTCACTTCTCATCTGTTGTATTCATGGATAGTTACTCACTTCATCTTCTTTTACTCAGCTTATCTGTGTCTTGAATATTATATTCGGTGTTCTTATTGAATTTATGCATAGACTCTACCTGGTCATCCATATGGCCTCGAAGGTAATACACAACAGAAGACTACATTTTTATGCCCAGGGGGGCTTGCCCCCTTACTTTCGCGATCATTTTATGCATTTATGAAAATATTGGTGCCTGAACCAATAAAGTTTATGCCTCATTATCAGGGCATGAATATTCCTAATTAGGTATAAGTCGGCTATATGCTGTCACATGTCAATGCTATTTGAATGGTTTATACGGAGTACTGAATAATTGAGTATTTTATTGAGAGGCTATGGTCTCACTGGATGAGTATCTACGCAATATATCAGAGCCCTTTCGTTGTATACCCTCAAATCGGCTTCATGGGCCATTTGTATACCTCGGGAAATAGCTAGCTCATCCTCCAAAGAGGGGAAGTAACCTTGGAAGTAAATGACCGACATGCTCTACCCGTCTTTGCCCCGCCTATATTTGGAGGTTGAACTTGGAGTTGGCATCAAGACATTTCATTCATTCCGTCATATAACCTGTTTCTTGAGACTCCGCAATGACTATCTCATCAAGCCAAGAATCGAGAACTGATCGGTTGGTCCGATGGGCCGCCGACCTGAGATACAACGACATTCCTGATGATGTGGTCCAACGCACCAAAGATTTCTTCCTAGATACGCTAGGCTGTGCCATAGCCGGTCGTAGCCATCCCGCTGTTTCTGCAATAGTGCGCTTTGCAGCTCAAATGGGCCCGTCTAGTGGAAAGAGCGAACTAATTGATGGTTCCCAAGCCCTCACTACTAGTCCTGCATTTGCTAGTATGATCAATGCTGCTGCTGCCCATGTGGTCGAGCAGGATGATCTGCACAATCGAAGCATCATGCATCCGGTGAGTCTTACCTGTGTTCTCGTTGCTTGTTGCACCTTGAGGCCCAATATCAATGCATGATATGTCGGCCAACACCATGCTTATTTGGCCATAGGCGACTGTGATTTTCCCAGCTGCTCTTGCAGTATCCCAAGATATTGGGGCAAGTGGAGAAGACTTCATCACTGCTTGTGTGGTTGGCTACGAAGTCGGTTGCCGTGTTGGAGAGTATCTGGGGAAGAGCCACTATGAGGTAAGATCCATTGGATTTCCATGAATATCAAATAACCATGCCAGCAACCCTAGGCACAGCCAGCTAGCTTTTCAATCATTAACTTATAGTATAGAAATTCCATACCACTGCCACAGGCGGAGTGATTGGAGTTGCAGCAGCTGTAGCCCACCTACTGAAGCTTGATGCAAACCAAACATCATCAGCAGTCGGAACAGCTGGAACTCAAGCTGCAGGATTATGGCAATTCTTGATGGATGCAGCACACTCAAAACAAGTGCACACAGCTAAGGCCTGCTTTGATGGTATATTTGCAGCTTACTCCGCTCGTGATGGCCTTTTAGGCCCACGGGATATTTTGGAAGGACCGCGTGCAATGGGAGCTGCTCTAGTCCCCGGCGAAACAAATTCAGAAGCAATTGACCAGAACTTGGGTACTGAATTTGCCGTTGTTCGTTCGAGCTTCAAATGGCACGCATCTTGTCGACACACGCATCCTAGCGTGGACGCACTGTTGAACCTGATGGGCAAGAACAAGGTTTCTTTTGACGATATCGACTCTGTCCTAGTTCCCACATACCAGGCTGCTATTAACGTACTTAGCCTAAGTGGGATTGGAGACACAGTTCACCAGAGCAAGTTCTCAATGGGCTTTGTGCTAGCCATTGCGGCGAAGAAAGGCCAAGCTATGATAACTGACTTCACTGAAGCTGACCTGGAGGATGCCTCTCTGCGTGCATTCCAGAGTCGAGTGAAGATGGAATACAATGCGGAGATTGATTCTCAGTTCCCAGAGAGATGGCAAGGGACTGTTATTGTTCAATGCAAGTCCGGGGAGACTTACACGGAATCAGTCACATTTGCAAAGGGAGACCCGGAGCTTCCCTTGACAAGGTATGCTTTCCATATTTCTAAGAGATGACACGATCAGGCTCTGACATTACTAGGTCTGAAATCGAGGCAAAAACTCACGCTCTCGCCAAATACGGCGGAATCAAAGACACGAACAAGGTTGACTCTTTAATCCAAAGAGCGTGGAATTTGGAGCACGAGAACGATGTCAAGGGGTTTGTCCTTTAACACGTGCCCCTCAAGTGATCACATGTACAAAAAATGCCATGGACATTATGGAAACCCATCGAGACGTAGTATATGTGACGGATGAAGCAAATCATGGCTCCTTTACGAATACCAGAACAGTACCTTCGTCTATGTTTCAAGGATTATACTAATTGACGGGTATGGTAGTGTTGAATTCAAGTTTCATTGGCGCCGGCTATGCGGTGCGTTACCCAGAAGGGAAATGCCATATTATACAGCTTCATGAAATAAAGCATATCAGGCATATCAGACATGTGAGCCCATGCTGCCAGAGCGGTAATCACGAACTCCCAAGGGAAGTCAAGCGAAGTCACTTCAACCGCCACAAAAAAAAAATAAATAAACGTATGATGCTGGTTAAACGGAAATCAAAACACCTTGTCTCCTCCCAAGAGCTCATAAAATAACTGGATACAACCGCATTCGGTATTGAAAGATCTAGACGCGCGCTATCGACTCGAGGTGCGGGCAAAGAAAGAAGAAACATGTACATCTTCGAAAACTGTAGGATATCATGACAGCCTCGATTCTCATCGAGGTAGGGCACGTAGGGACCGGGAATGGATGCGGGGGAATCTTAACAGGCACAGCCGTCGTTGCTGGTCGTCTCCTTGGGACTGATATTGACATCGATCACTGTGGGAAGGGTCATGGTCAGTATGAGGACTCGGCGAATAAAACATGAGAATGAACATACTGGTGCTCTCGCCTTGCTTGGCCTCGCCTTCCATTCCAGGGAGAGCCTGGGCAATTCTCCGGAAAAGCTGCTTCACGTTGTGCCCGACCTTTGCGCTGGTCTCAATAAACATCAATCCGTTTTTCTTTGCCTCTTCCTCGCCCTGTGCGGTGGTGACTTCCCGCTTATCGTTCAAATCGGTCTTGTTGCCCACGAGCACAATAATAACATCGTTTCCACGTTCTCCGCGCACATCGTCAATCCATTTTCGTGTGTTTTGGAACGATTTAGCATTCGAAATATCGTATACTACCACGGCAACACTCGAGTCTCGGATGTAGGAAGGAATAAGGGAACGGAATCTCTCCTGGCCGGCGGTGTCCCAAAGTTGAAGACGCACAGTGCGATCTTCAAGGTACATGGTCTAGATACGATAGTTAGTCCAACCCTTACAAATATATAGGCTCGGGGCAATGCCCAATGAATTAGATCCTTGTGCGGGGTATAATGTGGCGTACCTTGGACAAAAAGTCGATGCCAATAGTTGCTTGGTATGTGTTGTCGAACGAGTCATACATGAACCGAGTAATCAATGATGTTTTGCCGACTGCAGTAACGTTAGACATCTTGTGCCAGCCTCTCATTGACCAGAGCGCATGTAGTAGAGGTAGGAAGTGAAGAGACGCTTACCGCTCTGTTCGCCTAGGAATACCAGCCTACATATATCCATTAGCAATGCAATTCTGATTCCATACTGTGCCCTCCGAATTCTTACTTGAACTTCTTCAAGGGGTTCGAATACGACCCAACGGAGGTAGACGCCATTGTCACGGAGATATTGATGCGGCTGGAATTCAGGGGTAGTGAAGCCGCACGGAATGAGGTCAGGAATTTGCGACTGGGTGAAAAACACAAGAACAAGACTAATGAGAATATAGAAGGTTAAGACCAGCGTCTTCCCTTGAAAGAACAGTAAAAGTAGGGGGAAGCAGGTGGTCCAACACGTCCGGGGAAGCGCAACGCGAGGTCACCGCCCGAACGGAGCAGTTAATCCGCTCCGGCCACCGAGTCCCCATCACCTTCCATCCAAGAGCTTCAGCTACCTTATCGGCTGCGTTTTCTACGTCTGCGATCATCCTGACCATTTAATTTATTCATCAGGCTTATAGAGGTCGCCATGGCTTACCTCTATCCGGCCGGTGTCTCCATCACCACTCTCATTGTGGTGGGATTGTGTACGTTTCAATGGATCCAAGGTGCGATCTGGCAGCTAATGAGAGATGTGGATTCTAGATATGCTCTTTCACGGAGACGGAGAAGCGTTCAATGTATGAGACTCACGTTAAATAAAAACAAACGATTTGCTCAGAAGTCCAATAACCTGACACGTATTAGGTCGGCCGTTTCCTTGAGGAGGTTTCTCCTTATGCTTTTGCAAATATCGGAATCGCATCGTGTATCGGCTTCTCAGTTGTTGGCGCAGCATGGTAAGCCGATTCTTGACATGATTTGACAAGGTGATATTGACCGCATATTTTCTTTAGGGGTATCTTCCTTACCGGCTCATCGATTGTTGGCGGTGGTGTCCGAGCACCCCGTATTCGCACCAAGAACTTGATCTCCATTATTTTCTGTGAAGTCGTCGCTATCTACGGCGTCATCATGGCCATTGTTTTCTCCTCGAAGCTCAGCCCGGTACCCGAAGGCGGAATCCACACCTCCAGCAACTACTACACTGGATACGCGGTCTTCTGGGGAGGAATCTTAGTCGGCATCTGCAATCTTATTTGTGGTATCTCCGTTGGTATCAATGGAAGTGGTGCTGCCCTGGCAGATGCCGCTGATCCCAGCCTGTAGGTGATCCT